ATGCTTGGACTGGACAGGCTGGACTGAGCCGAGTCAGCCTGGTTTCCGGCATGCCATGCAGCCCGGCAAGCTGGTGCTGGAAAGCTTTTCTCCGCCCAGCCATACATGATGGTCATCATCTGTATGTTGCATCTGTCACAATACGCCGAGAATGCTGAACACTTACAGCAGCATATTATCATATCCATGCGCATGGAAATGTCAACATTTGCTTGTAGGGTTCATTTCCCCCCAGACTGAATAGCACACCTACACACAACAATGCCCAGAAAGTAATAATATAGTTGTGGTAGTGTGTGTACAGTCATACATGTATCTGTCGTGGTCTGATTGTCGCTAGCACCATCCCTCTTGCATCATACGGTACATGTTCCCACAGTGTTCTTATTTTGATATGCTACCAAACAGCAGACCTATTCCTTGATATTCACATTCTTGTGTATATTTCTATTGTACAAAATGCCCCTCTCCCGAAATCGCATTACTGGCGCATGTATTGTTATGTATTACGTTACGTATGATCTTGAAGTCTCATCAATCCACGGCAGACTGCACGGTGTGAAGCGTGACTTGAACACAGCATGAAGTCATTTGGTAATGCGCTACAGAGCCTGCTGCCATCTGAGGCACTCTGCAGTGCTAATGATGCGAGCCTGTGCCTAGTCATATCCTTGCACATCATGTCAACCTACTAATTCCACCACCTGCACCCCAGTAACCATGTAAAAAGGTTATAATACAACAGTGCGGCCTAGTGAAATTCTACCCCTGGACTAGATCTACGTGGTTCTGTTGAGTTGTACTTACAGTGACCGGTGCCAGGTGAATCCCTGGACTGTCACCAATGAACTCATGAACCCATGAACTTTGAACCTACGAAATTTGACCTCACGCATGCGAGCTTAAGAGTTCCAAAAAAGGATGATAACACTGTGCTGGACACGCAAAATTTCGATTGGGGCGGCAGAATTTTAGCGAAAACACTCCTTTCGCTAGATTGTTGAATATCACTGTCGCTAAAATTAGCCGTTTCAAAGTAACTTCATTTGGCATTGTACAGTTCGAAGAGGTGGGATCTGAGTCTTCTGAAGTAAATTTTGCATAGTTGCGATAGAAGACAGCAATTATGGCCGGTCCATCTTGCCAACGTCCATACCCCCTAGCTAAGATGAGGCCCTGCTTACGCAGTCTTTTCCCTTTGCCCACCACTATGCGGTCAACTCGTGCCTGGCATGGAACTAGAACAAACAATGTGCCAATTTGCTTGTCCATGGCAGGGTACCATTCTTTTTCTTCCAGAGCATCCCTTATGTGGAATGCCCTCCCTGCTCGCTTGAAGCGAATTGAAGACATTAGATCATTTTCTACAGAACTTTTGCACGCTCTAAATGACGACAAATTGGCTGTATCCCTATATCCTTTCCTTTCGGAAAGGTCTTTAACCAATACAATAAGGCTTGGGAGTTTTAAAACATGAATACCAACGCACTTGCCCCTTCTGTTCATGTCTTGCCCCGCTCTAGTAATGGTTCATGAATCCGCCCCGTCCACATTCCCTCTCCGTTTTTCTTTCCTTCCAGTTGCATCTTTCCTTTCTGCTCTGTTTTACTTTCTCTTTTCTTTCGTCCCTCTTGATTTTGTACTTTGTACTGTTGAGGCAACGAACTGAAATAGTAAAAACCAAACGAAACCAATGACCAGGGAATCGTCACAGACTTGCTACTACAGTAAGATCCATTTCAGATCGATAAAACATGCATTTCCAGTGTTACTGATCTAATCAGTATTACAACGTGGCTACTTCGAGATAATATGCACATTACTCTACTGCCTGGCGAAATGGCTAGGTGCAGATGATGAGCTTCTGAATAACTGTGCATTAAAGCGAGCACATGCAAAGAAACAGGAGGTGAAGAAGTGGAAATCAGGGTTTGCACAAAGCAGCTATGCATCCAAGCCTATAGTCCGGCTTCAGCTAATATCATAGTCAAATACCTGAATCAGTTGTCAGAACAAGCAAGCAAGCCCACAGCAGTACCTAATAGTATTCAAAAGAGTCAATGCATAGTCAAGGAAGAATTGCTGTAATAATTAATGAGCTGCTGGTGAATCAGCACTTGCAGCCAGCGGTGTGGCAGAGAGTTCAACACAGCAGCAGTACTGTACACACGCATAGTGCTGTGCTGTACATGTTACGCATGCCTCCATGTTCTGCATACACAGCACACCTGACACACCTCAGAAAACAAGTCAAATTGCAAGCACATGTGAGAAAATGTTAAAGAAAATTCAGGTGCAGTTGCACCTCACAACACAGTCAAAAACGGTCAGGTCAACTCCTCCTCTAATAGCTAAGCGCAGCGCATGCACCTCTCACACTCACCATTGGCGTGCAGCACAGCGGCTGCCTAGAAGTTCTCTTTGTTATAGAAGAAGCGTGTTCCAGTGGCCGTGTTGGTGAACTGGTTGCAGATGGTGTGCAGGCGGCTAGACAGTGCCTTGGGACCGCAGAAGAAGACACCAATATCCTCCCTGGAGCACATACACATGCATCACATTGGCCAACCAACAGCAGAACAATACCGTGATTAGGTACACTTCATTTCAAGAATATAACATTATTGTTTACATTACATGCTCAAAGCCCAACGGTGTTAAACTTGTCCGAGTTCGTCTGCACTTACCCAAGGTGGTTGCTGCCAATCGAATCAAAGATCTGCACCCAGTTTGGACGAGCGAACTGCAGCACATTCGCATCTTGCATTTGCACAATGGGGCTGCCGTCCTCGGCCATGGTAGAAGCAACCAGGGCTCTGATCTGCACACACACACGCGGAAATAGGTGCACAATCATCATCGCCATGTCTCCAATACATTTCCTGTATGCTTAAAACACCGAAGGCAGCAGAACTAGAATAGTTCACACGGCCTCATTAGGCATAAGGGCAAGTGGAAGAGGCTGACAAGGACTAACCACTAATTCAGTGCATGACGGAAACTAAACTCGTTTGACAAGGACGAGCGAAAAAAACAACAACTATGAAAATGGCTCTGGACTAGAACACCGTGCATGCTCATATCCACATGCACTCGACTAGAAGAATACATTTGGGGGGGGGGGGGTTATCCCAACGGACAACACTAGGCAGTGTTCTGCCACACCATCAACATAAGGGAAAACTTCTGTGTGTACATTGTCCACAAACAGAGTTTTCCATACTAAGCGAGACCAACAACGGCTCACTGCTATCAAAACTCGCCTTTTCCTTCAAACCTGGTTACGCAAGTTTGCTTACCTGTTCAGCAGTATTGCCAGGTCTAGTAAGATAGATCCGGAATTGGACAAAGTCGCCTCTCTGCTGAGCATTCATCTACCACCCGACATGCAGCACAGCACACGGTACATTTTCAGCACATGCACCAAAGATGGTTAATCAATAAGTTTATCAATGGCTATAGGATATCGCATGGAACACAAGAAAATTTATAGTTTACTCGGGTAAAAGTAGCCTACGCTGTAGCAGTATGGTCGTTCCTACATGCTATATGTAGATTCCCAAGCCCATATCCACAAAATGTATGCCCGCGTATTCAGTGGTCCTTTTTCTGGGCATGGTTCAATACAACAGTCTCAGAGTCTGTGCTCTTTCAGTGGAGCCATCACTGATTGACAGGCCTACTCAAGGTAAGCACTAAAAGCAGTTCTCCCATTGGCTTCCAAGTGTCCATAGTGGTGAAGTGCACTGCTATTTCATATGTTGCAGACAATTCAAACAAGGAGGGAGAGAGACAGGGAAGAAGATAGATGTATAATATATAGATCAGGCGCGTAGCACCGCCGTTGGAGGTGGTGTAGTCGGAGGGGGTCCGGGGGTCTCCCCCGTGATAATTGTGTAATAAGGGAGCAAAATCCTGCATTCTGGGCACTTTTGGCATTGTGTTAAAAAGTGGCTCAGCCAAAGCCGGACCGGCCGTGGACCGGCTGCTACGCCCCTGTAAATGGATAGATAAATAGATGGATGGATGGATAAATAGAGGGGGGATGGAGGCCCCCGGGAGGGAAGGATATAGGTAGGTAGGTGGGTGGGTGGGTAGGTAGGTAGGTAGGTAGGTAGGTAGGGAGGGGGGGGGGGAGAGGGAGAGAGAGAGGGGGGGGGGGGAAGAAAAGAGAGAGGGATGGGAGAGAGAGAGAGAGAGAGAGAGAGAGAGAGAGAGAGAGAGAGAGAGAGAGAGAGAGAGAGAGAGAGAGAGAGAGAGAGAGAGAGAGAGAGAGAGAGAGAGAGAGAGAGAGAGAGAGAGAGAGAAGAGAGGGAGGTAGGGGGAGGGAGGAAGGGAGGGAAGAAGCAGGAAGGGAGAGAGGAAGGAATAGAGGTGGGAAGGAAGAGAGGTAGGAGAAGGGAGAGGGAGGGAGGGAAAGGGACGGAGAGGGAGAGAAAGGGAATGATAGAGGGAATGATAGAGGAAACGAGAGAATGTGAAAAGCAAAAGAAAGAATAGTTGAAAGCCGTTTTGTAACTACTTGTAACCAAAATTACTCCTAAGACGAAAGATATGGACTATTTAGACGTTGAACATGCCCCCGCACTGATACCTATAATGGCTAGTGGATGGTGCAGAGGGACGCATATCAGTTCTAATGTTAACAATGTCACAAAAGCGCAAGTTCCGGTATGGGGAGCAACCAGCTTTCCTAATGTCACAACCATACCAATCTTCATATGGATACCAGGATGCATCACTCTGGAGAGCTACCGTATGATGCATCAACTAACCTGGTCTTCAAGGGAGCGCATCAGATCGGCAAACCACTCAAAGGCAGACAGATCCGAGCAGAGCCAAAAGAAGTAGACTTTCTGCACAGATATGAGTGAGCCAGCCTCCAGTGACTGGTACCTATGCATGCAAACACAACATCAGGTGTACAACTACAACTTGTTGAAGTCTACAAAGGAAGGAGGCAAGTGGAAGCCGAGCAAAGTGAAAGCATGCAAATGGTATGTAATGCATTGGGTCACCTATGTATAATGTGCCTGCAGCCAAGACCGTTAAACCAAGCCTTCCATGCACATCGATACTACTATGATGTAATGTGCACGAAGAGTCTAATATTGCAAACCCACCAGAAAGTTTACCTCTGGGCATACAATGCCCAAGTGAATATCAAGATCCTGACACTGTACACTGTAGGTGTAAGAGTGTAACCTGTATTGATAAGCTGGCAATACTGCTTTCTTCAACAGCACATATCTAAGCAGTGCACCTAGCAACAATAACAACCAACACTCACCAAATGGACTTGAGCACGGATGCAAACGGCGTCACACCAATACCGGCACCAATGCACACGGCTACGCGATGCTTGAACACATCCTGTATCAGCAGATCACACAGCATTGCAAGCAGCACACTTGCAGCAGTGGCAACGATGGAACCAATAGTAGTGACACCACTGTTGCTCAAGAAAGGCTCAATGCTAGCTCTTCACAATAGCCTGACCAATAGTAAAGCTCACACAATCGACATCATACATGGCCCAGTTTGAGAAGCCTGAGGTATAATTTATAACTGTATGTGAGTTGAACTTGGATACTGCATGAGCCAATAATCCAAGTAAAAAGTGACACTGTAACTAGATGATATGCTGTCACGGCGAAGTGCGACAACTAGGCACAGAACTGACAGATTACTAAGACATTCAACGACCTGACACTAGTGACCAGGTGTTTGCTGTCAACATTGGGCCTAGTGTGGGTCTCAATTCTTGACCCTTTCAGTGCCAGAGCGCTTACTACACGGTCTGGCCGGCAAACCCGCTGGCACTACATGCAGTGTTCACTTTGGGCACTAAAAAAATATCGCCATTTCCCTCACCAGTAACGGATTTTCATCATCTTAGGCTCTCTGGAAAGCCGAAGATCTCCTCTTTTGATCCATGGTGCTCAGAGCTCTGTAGGCGCCGGAGAGCGGCCTACAAACACTCCGAAAGCCGCTCCAACGCGCCTTTGTAGTGCTATTCTACGCTCGGAGACAATTTCTTTCGATTTCCAGGCCATACTCAACGTACAGCGACGATTCAAACACCGGCAGAATCAGGCTGTTCTAGCCCTCATTTTGGTGTTTGTCACGCATGGGCTGTGCACTGGGGAGACCCCCCCCCCCCCCCGCGCATTCAAACACGTCGTAAACTTTAGCATGATGTGCGTGACGTCACGGTCACATGCTTGAAATTTGACGTTCATCCGTTTCCCAGACTTCGAGCTTCGGCGCTAGCGTATTTTACTTCGCGCTTTATCTAATGGTACAACAGTGGAAAACTGCGTTCAATAGATTTCCACTGAGTCGTCATACTTCGAAGGATGTTGAATTTGAAGTAGGGAGACCGAAGTTATAGCTGTTGTACAGTGGCCCTCTATGCTCGTTTCTATGCTCTACGCGCGTGACGAGTTATCTCGTCCTTGGCCATTAAGGGTGGTTGTTTCGGGTCCTTGGCACTGAAAGGGTTAAAACTTAAAAGGGAGACTGATGTTTGCTTTCTTTGACTATCACTAACCTCACTAGCCGTTCCAAAGGGTCCATCGATCAGCAATCTGGAGAAAATCACACCAATCACGTTATAATCTGTCGCCTGCCTGATCATGGGATGGAGGTGCCCCACGGAAACAGGAAGAGGATCCGCATTTATTCATTTCTAATCTGGACATTGCTCCTCAATAGAACTGGCAAGAACTAAGAACTTAGAAGTCCTAGATGTGTGACTGCAGTATGGACAGTGACGGGTAGTGGGTGACGTGCAAATTTGTATACTTGACCGCAGCACCCTTCTGACTAGAAGAGGCTGCTTGCATACGACGTAACGCCGGTATGTGCATACATGTACTGTGACACTATGCCAGAGAAAGAGTACATGCATGTACTGTGACACTATGCCAGAGAAAGAGTACTCACTTAGGGGGTGCGCTGATCGGTGGTGGCTCATCCTCTGCCTTGCCACTGACATTCATGCCACATCTGCGAGCCAAGTTCTCTGCAAAAAGCACACATTTCACACGGTGATGATACGTCTACCTCTGAAGTACATACACATGTTTGAATTCCAAGGAAGATGATGTACGGTACCTGACAGCTAATTCCAATCTAATTGAAAGTCAGTGCAGTCTGCTTTGCAGTCTGCTTTGCAGTCAACACGTCGTCATACAAATACACCCGCCATCCCGCTATCCCGCTATCCTTCCAGACGTGTACATGCACTGATATCGCTGGTAACTAACACGTAGGGATGATAATCTGGTCACGACACATGTACTGATTCGAGGGTAATATAGCGGTGACTCAACTCCTTTTTCAACTGCATAGAGCGGTTGTCAGTTGACAAAACCCCTTTTCTTCTTTTTAATAATGCAGTTGCGTGATGTCCACAACTTTCTTAGTGAAGAAAAAAAGGAGAAAATGATGCCCGATACGGGACTTGAATCCTTTGTTGTCCCTGCCCTTTTGGCACGTGTGTGCCCCTTTTGGCACGTTGGTGCGGACCGCGCGCGGACTGCGCCGGTTGGAGATTATCGTACATGTTCTTGTTGTTGTGCGCATGCTTGCATGCTTATCGTGCGCATTCTGGTTGTTTTGGGTGCCTTCTTCCTGAGACTCTCCTTGGAACAACAATGATAATCTGTCCTCTGAGTGTGGCGTACGTGTGATGTATGAATAAGAGAGTAATCGGAAGGGCTATCGTGCGAGGGATTAAAACCCCCCGACGACAATTGGCGCCCAGCTAGTGGCATCGTTCCCCACGACCCTGAGATCGTTTTCGTTTTCGCCGTGGCTTCAAATCTTGCCTTCTCCACGCGTCCTCGCCATGGCTCCGCTTTGCTCCATCTTCTCAACCCTGTCCTCGGAGCTCCTACTCAGGTGAGCCTGCTTTGTCTGCCCTGCGTAATGTTTTGTACCTTGTACGTAGTTCTCCTGGTACTAGTCTTCGATTTGGGATTTTCAAATAATTGTTTCGCTTCGTGGCATTGAAGTCCCGTGTTGTTCTCTTGTGTACAAGTACCTCGTTCGAGCCCCGCTCCTGTTAGTACATGATTGTGGCCCACGTTGTGTGTGCGGTGTTTTGAACCAGTGGCAGTGTACATTGTCGCCCTCCGGCCTCTGGCTGTTCGAGTGGTCGTGTGCACTGTGTTTTCACACCTTCTGACTTGAAAGTTCTGTTGTCCGTGCTGTCGTGCTTGCTCATCGTGTTGCTTGGTACGTCATCATGGTAGTCAGCATGGGTAGCTTTGCTCGTGTTTGCTTACTCGCTCTGTGTTGTGCACTGGTGCACGTCGTTTCGGTGTCGTCGGACTGCTCCGATCCTGTGTCGTCCGATTTGTTTCAGTTTGGTAGATGTCCCCATCGATTTACTCGATGTGGTGGCACTCCGTCGTTTCCAGTTTCAAGTACAAGTGCTTTCTTTTTCGTTTTACTAGTAATCATGTTTTGTGTCGAGCGTTTTAGTGCTCCGCCTGGTTGTCCCGCTCATGTGGAATGGCTGACGCCCAATGGTGTAACATGCTTCTGAGATTCTCGTTGACGGTCCGGGTGGCAATATTTCTGTGAGTGTGTTGTTTGGTATTTGTGTTTTGGCACGTGGGTCTCTTCATTTCACCTAGGGGGGGCGTCCGATCATGGTGAGCCACGGTCTGCCTGGTGGGCTGGTGGGATCCAGCGCTTATTTGTATCGGTTCGCCTTGCAGGTGTTCGGTTTCCGTGTTTTGCTGGCTGGCCTTTGTGCGTCCCAGTAGGGTTCAGGACGGTGTTTTTTTTGTGTTTCGTGAGCGGATGTGTTTCACGCGTGATATTCAGGTTCAATCCCTGTGGGTTTTTTCAGGTTAGAGACCTGTGGTTTTTTCAGGTTAGAGGCCTGTGGTTATTCAGGGTAGCGCCCTGTGGTTTTTCTATGTTAATTTTTGTTTGCGTATTGGTGACCGATTTGTTTGTGTGCTATCTGGTGTCCTCATGGATAGACTGCCCCTGTATCCGTAGGCGTGTTCAATGTTGCTGTTCTGCCATTCCTTCTTGTGGTTTTTCTTGTCTGAATTTTGGCTCCTAGTATTGCTGAGATGTTTGCGTCAGTCCGTGTTTCTTTCTTTCTGTGTATGTCTCTGTGAGTTTTCGTAGCCCCATCGGCTGCGCGATGGTTTTCCGGACAACTCCTGTGCTGTCAGATGACTGGTCACCCGGTTCAGCTGCCGCGGTCTTCGCAGTAGCGTCGGTTTGCCTTGGCTTCACACCAGGGCGAGGTGGTTGTTTTCCGGGGGCCCACGCCTGAAAGATGGCGGTTCCCTCTATAGGTGGGCCCAGTCTGTTTTCTTTCCACCCCTTTGCTTTGGCTTTTCCCTCGTTGTCCGGAGTTACTAATGTATCCTACTGTTTTGGCCCTGCGTATCTGCATGTGTATGTTGTTCACATTTGATTTCTTTTTCTCCTGTCTGTCTTCTCGTTTTCTTTTCTTTTCTCCCATCCTCAGGAGAGGATGCATTTTGTTTCATGTGGAAGTATGTTGTCCCTGCCCTTTTGGCACGTGTGTGCCCCTTTTGGCACGTTGGTGCGGACCGCGCGCGGACTGCGCCGGTTGGAGATTATCGTACATGTTCTTGTTGTTGTGCGCATGCTTGCATGCTTATCGTGCGCATTCTGGTTGTTTTGGGTGCCTTCTTCCTGAGACTCTCCTTGGAACAACAATGATAATCTGTCCTCTGAGTGTGGCGTACGTGTGATGTATGAATAAGAGAGTAATCGGAAGGGCTATCGTGCGAGGGAAAAGAAACCCCCCGACGACACCTTGACACTCAGATTAAATCTGAAATTTCTCGAAATCGTATCTACCTTTCTGGTAGCAAGAGACACATACATAACCCCGAGTGTGTGCAACTCCCACATCCACTATGGCCTGCAGTATCCTGCTAAACTTCCGCTTTTGGGAAGTGAGGCTTTCGGATGCAAACAAATTTCTGACATGCAAGAACCCATGACAGTACCTGTCCAGTCACCAACGATGCGGATATGCACACTGAAACAGTCTTCTTCTGGAGACTAGGCAAGTGGAACAAAACACACAGCATGTATGGCAAGCATCGTCAAACCAGACTGGGCAGTGTTCGAATCGCCGCGGTGCTTATGTTCATCATTGTGCACGGCAAGCAATGTACGCTCCATGCAGTTAGTAACGAGAGAGCTTGGAAGCTCAGGGCCCTACGCTATGCTTTTTTGCCTTGATGACCTAGACAAAAAAAAGCATAGGGATGTTATAAATTCTTTAAAAAAAATCCTTATTTTTTAATACATAACCTGGGATTCGAACCCGCACTATCGCGCCCTGCATGCATTCCCCGATACACTTTGCATACATATTAATTCTTCCAAGTTGCTTCACATTATGATCTTGCATTTGAAAGCCCTATTTGAATATGCATTGTGGCCAGCCGTCTTTGATGGTACGGTACGGTAGGGATAGGTACGGGACAGGTACGATCGAGGGTAATACGACACCGTCTGCCGTACGTACCATCAAACACAGCTGGCCACATACAGCTGGCCGCAATATTCAAATAGGGCTTTCAAACGCAAGATCATAACGTGAAGCAACTTGGAAGAATGGGTATGAATGCGAAGTGTATGGGGGAATGCATGTAGGGCGATAGTGCGGGTTCGAATCCCAGGATATGCCTGAAAAAATAGGAGAATTGAAAAATTTATAACATCCCTATGATTTTTTTGCCGACAGATACGGGATAGCGCCAGGCGTGACACAAACAAACAAACAAACAAACACACACACAAATACCAAATTAAAGCTGTGTGGACCCTGGCTAGCGCCAGACGTTACTGAAGTAACGTCTTCTGCATAGCTACGGGAATAATAATAATAATAATAATAATAATAATAATAATAATAATAATAATACCACAGCACGCGTAATAATATAATTATGTGGGTATAACTATACGTTCCGCTTCTGTCCTATCTCCTATGATCAAATTCCATTATCAAGATATTAAATATGGTGCACTGATGACCTGTGACGTCAGATCATGGATTGCAGTTCGTTGTAGTACAGGCCAAACACACGGGGTGTGCTGACCGCTGTACATGTCCCTACAGCCCGCTTAGAACTGTGAATCTGGTGTCAGCCAAGTCAGTCTCTCCGTGAGTGACATTCATCCTGCAAGCGACTGTCTAACCCTGTGCATGCCGGCATGTTCCCACACGTTGCATTAAACAACAGACACAGACACATGTATAACACATTGTAAACTCACCGAGGACAATGTGAACGGATGCCACTCGAGCGGTGCAATCTCTGGTGCTTGGATGAACACATACTGTAGTGGAGAGAGACATGGAGAAACATGCAGTAAGCATTTTGATAACATACGGGACAGCTACACCTCTATCCCATGACTACTCTTTTGGCACATTGGAGCCGTGCAATGACCATTCCAGCAATACCTGATTGGTGGTCTTGGTCATTGCCTAGAATTTCGAACTGTGTCACTAGACGTGTCCACTACGAGCCCCCTACTCCAAGGGTGCAGGCATCAGTGGAGCCCGCATATTCCTATTCACAAAGTGTCCACATGACAATCCTGTGCAGTGATGTAATGCATCTCACCTGACCCACGTCGGCATAGAACCCTTCCTTCTGCATTTGAATCTCCAGCACCTTGGATGGATGTTGCACCACCTAGAACAAACACAGTAAGCGAATGGTCACAGCAGAGCTATTACTACGCTGCAGCAGCCTACCACATGTAGTCTAGGCAGCTTTAAGCTCACTTCCTTCAGTATCTGTTGTCTCCGCATTGTGACACAATTCACCTTGCTTTCAGTAGTTCGGGAGCACAAAGAGGGCATCACGGTAACATATTTTTGTTCTTTCTGTTTGGTATTAGGGACCATCCGTAAATGTCAAACTTCTTTCACCAAACGAATTATTTTAGTTTAGACCCAACCCCTCCCTCCCTCCCCCTCAGAACGTAAAAATTGTTGACATATGCATGCATATACAACAAAAGTCGCAAGTGTGTCACTGCTCCTATGGCCATGTACATGTATCGAAGTTTTCTGAAACGAAATTGGTCAACCCCCTCCCACCCCATAACGAAATTATTTCGTTTCGTGAAAAAAGTTCGATAATTATGGACGACCCCTTAGGAAAATAAATTTCATTGGAAACGGCAGACAAAAGATGAAACAATAGCTGTTGCATACCCGGCAAATGGTGGCCGGATGCCAGGAGCGCCAAATGCGGATAACCCTCTCCAGGAAGTAGAGGGCAAGCGGTCCTACCACCCACTTCCATGATTGAGCTCCAGCGTGGCTGAACGTCGCCGTGTTCAAATCGCACTGGTTGCGGTCGCCGGATCCATCGATGATGACCGTCTCGCATGTTCCGTTGGCGAACCTCCGATTCCTACTGTAGCAGAATTCAGGATTGTGCTCATCCGTGTTGTTCTGCCCAACGATCAATTCCCTGGTTACCGAGCACACACATGGTGATAAGAAGAAATCAATTCCCTGGATATCGAGCACATACGGTATTCAAGAAATAGTAGTTTGTTAGGTTGCCTCATGATCACAAGAACTTGATCGGCAGCAATCAACAATAAGAATTACAAGCTGCCATCACAAGAATGGGGAGTGGCCAAGCAAACTTTCCCCAACGCCAGGAATATACTTGTGCAACAATCAGTTAGCCTCCATTCATGCTTTACCAGAGCTGCTGACACACATGTATACTACTGTTAATAGCAATTTTTTAACATATGCTACAAACATATAAGCTGGCAGCAAAACACATAATCATATCATATTGCTGACAAAGCAGCACACTGAAACGGTAATGGGGACACTGTATCCGTGACTAACAAGCTCAGTCTAACCGACAATGTCTCACCCAAAGCCATGAGCTAGGAAGGCAGCAAAGAAGATGAGGAACAAGTGATGAGTGTACCAGAACACTTCAAAATAGGAGCGCCTACACGGACACAGCAAACACAAGCACAGGAACATAACCGTATTGCAAATACGCCGGGTTTATCACAACTCTAAGCATTCACCAGTGCAGAGACCACGCTTGTCAGTTAGAAATTGTGACTGTATCAGTAATAGTTAGACACACTGATGGCAAGCAGGTCTAGTACTGTTTGTACAGAATAGATGGATACCAGACACATGTACGCCGTGCGGCCCAGTCAATGTTCCCGTTACTTACCGGATGACCTCAATTGACGATGTGATCTGCACACAAGGAGAGAGGAGAACACGAAACAGGAACGCCGTAAACTGAACAGCGAGTCTAATCAAGTCTTTGGTTATCCATTTAATCTACCCGACATGTGCCTCGATACAGGCAATAGTAGATAGGAAACCAGTGGAACAATGTGTTAAGATACATCCAATATCTTTCATGAATTCCCCAGCCACCGGTTGGAACCATGTCCTTAGTGCACACTGGTAATCAGAGAACATTTAGCTGAAGTGACCCAATAGCTGGTAGTTGGGTCTGCGGCGTGTACACTGTCGCTGTGCACTGGAACAAGCGGTGTCATGACTTCACACACATTACGGGTGTAGCAGCCGATTCGGTTGGCCAAACTTTGCCATCGGACCACTATTCAAGGAGCCAAATGTTAATGATATGGCAAGAGAGGGATGATGGAGTAGAACAGACAGGCAGTGACAGATGTCTACTGAAGTATTTATACTGTACTGGTCATGTCATCTTTAGTAAATTGCCAGGACTAATTCTACAGCATGACTACATATTCACACAAACTGGGCTACTGACTTTATATATTTTTAAACTTGAGCCTTACCATTAGGAAGAAAACGGCGAGAATGATAAACCCAGTGAAGCCAGCCACTTTGACACAGAGAACAGAGAGAGACAGAGAGAGACAGAGAGAGAGACAGAGAGACAGAGAGAGAGAGAGAGAGAGAGAGAGAGAGAGAGAGAGAGAGAGAGAGAGAGAGAGAGAGAGAGAGAGAGAGAGAGAGAGAGAGAGAGAGAGAGAGAGAGAGAGAGAGAGAGAGAGAGAGAGAGACAGAGAGAGAGAGAGAGAGAGAGAGAGAGAGAGAGAGAGAGAGAGAGAGAGACAGAGGGCAGGTTTAGATAGGGCAACCAGTGGTGCCAGGTCTACCATGTGCTTCAAAATGGCATAATATTATGATTGTATATCTTTATGGTTGTCAGCTCGGCCTATTTAGCTCGTAGCTGTACTGATGAGGCCTTTATGGCCAAAACAGCTTGCTGTCTACAGCATTTGGGCGATTATATGTATATCTTTAAAAAGTTCGTGACATGTGGAAGAGTGCATGTAACAGCAAACAGAAATGCAGTGTGTGATATTACGAATATCATCATGTATGAGATGCCATACCTGTTGCCCACATAATGATGATGGGATCCTGCGAATCGTTTGGACAGAAAGAAAACAGGAAAAGAACGAGAATGATCAGTGGGAAAGCCAGCAACATCATTCGAAAGTATTACTTATTGCTGTGCTTTTATTAAAAATCGTTCAACCAAACATGCAAAGGTGCCTTCTCACAAGGAGATTGCTTGACGTCATAACATGACCCACATCCCAATGAGCCCAATCACCACATTGCCATGTTGATATTCTACTCAGCCTTAGCCACCAACATGATGTGACACATACCATGTACCGTATTCTACCGGTTATAAGTCGACCCCCAATACCTGGAGCCTCGATTTACAGGTTCAATATCAGTAAAGATCATCAATAGCGGATAAAGTCAGTTTTAGGTCATAAAGGGTTGACTTATAACTGGAAGAATAATGTACTCCACATATGTTAAATTGTCTTGGTCGAAGGTTACAGTGAAACATTCAGAGAACACTATCAGTCCAACATCAAGCTGCAGTACTGGCACATGAGTACTTGACAGAGCGGCCACCCGTGACCGGAGACAACACTCTCACCATCACTTACATTTCCCGGCCCTCGCACAGGGTTAGACATTGGTGGAATGCAGGTCATGCCAGGGTTCTCCTCCCAAACGGTCACCACGCGATGGTAGTTCCAGAAGTGAGCTCCGGTGTGAATGGCTGGGAGAAAAGGGAATGCGAAAAACACCTGCTACTGCAAAGCTAACAATACCGTATACCAACAACCCAGTATACCAACAACCCAGTATACCAACAACCCAGTATACCAACAAACCATACAAGTCTAATACTAAAATCATTACCTCCAACTGTTGTTGTTTGTCAACACTGGAATAAACATGTGACATGAAGAGTGAAACCTGTCTAAGCCAGCCCCCCCCCCCCCTTTCCCCGGAAAACACAAGGTCACGGCATACAGGTGGTCCGCTTACCCAGGGTCATATTAGTGGAAATGATACCTTTGCCTTTGGTTCTGGATTTTGTGGTCCTATCAAACAGGTGGTCACCTTATCAGAGTGGTCACCTTGACAGGGTGTACAGGGTGGTCACCTTATCAGAGTGGTCGCCTTGACAGGGTATACAGGGTGGTCACCTTATCAGAGTGGTGGCCTTGACAGGGTATACAGGGTGGTCGCCTTGACAGGGTATACAGGGTGGTTGCCTTGACAGGGTATACAGGGTGGTCCTAAGTTATTATGTACTGGAAGGCTTCCAACCAGACACTGTTTTAGACATGATGAGGTCAGTTTCAGGTACGGCATGCCAAACGATTTCATAGCATCCAGTCTTCTGTATGGATGCAACGTTGCTTTGCCTTTGCCCAAGGAGGCTATGACGCCAGACTCCCAAATCGAACATGCTCCGCAGTCCGATGTTTTCTCAGCACCGAAACACCACCTCCAGTTCTCCCTTTGGGCTGGATTTCAGCTGCTTAAGATCATCCCTTTGGGCTGGATCAGTTCAGCTGCTTAAGATCACATGATCACATTAGGTCTATCTACATGCTCCCCCATCTGAGCGGTACCGGCCTAGATTTCCCCAAGCAGCTCATGTGCTAATGGAAGAGGCTGACTTTGAACTAGTTTGAAGAGAACGCAATGGTGGATGTTATCTCCAGGATCTTCGCTGAAATCCTGTCAAGAACTGGTTCTGATTTGGTAGCTCAACTGGCACCGTTATTATTATACCCTACAAGCTTTCCAACCGTGGCGCTGCACCCGATGGGTCTATCCATGCACCTGCTGGCATTGTACCGTGCATGGGAACAAGGTGCATGCAACAATGCTGACATTGGCTCAGCCGCTGGGCCCACCGGCGCACACAGGCTGCATAGCTCTTGTCGGCGTCAAGTCTCGGTTCAGACACCAACGAGGAACTCATATCAACGCAAAGTACAGGGAAATAAAGAGGAAGATTGGCAGAATCAAGACGATCGCAACCAACATGGAAAGATGAACATGCATAGCGAAAGCCTAACAATTGGCCCCCAGCAGCAGCTCGAAACACCACAACGACCCTGAGCGGACTGCCTTCAAGTAGACGCGGGCTGCGGCACTGGCTACGGCACAACCCATATGGCATTTTACATTCCGTTGCGTCTCATGTGGCCTTCAAACACTACACATGATCTAGCGTCAGTCACGGCCTTCATCGATACTGGTGCCTCGGTTTCGATCGTTTCCCTCTCTTTCCTACAATCCATCCACTTTCCTCTGGACGTCATGGCGTGTCTCTTGCCATCAGTACGACTGGTATATGCCATAGGTGTACCAATACCAGTCCAATGTCAGCTGGTTCTAAACAAAACCATCCACCAGATAACCAGATAGTACACCTCTTGTCACACTGAGTTATTACAGCGTTGGTCGACTAAGGCACGATTGAGAGACTGAGTCTCCGAAGTTATCCTCGGCGTTAACACACTGGTTGAGCAACATATCGTCCTCGATTTAACGCAATTGGACCGATTCAAGGTCAAGCCTTGGAACACAAGTGCTCCTTCCTGGCAAGGCATACTTGCCAGGAAGTGAGCGACGCGCTGGCCTAAGCGGTTAGGGTGACCATGCCGGTCAAAGGTAGTCACCCTCAATGCATGGCCGATATGTTTGAGCAGATGATCGTATGGATAGAAATACGAAGAGAACTTCAAGCAATGGAGTTCCATGTCGAAGCAATTGCAAAAGTTGGAGATGGAGATTGTGAGTTCGTGTCTCACAAGAACGCACCTGGTCCTGGATGAAACCAATATCAAGCAACGCAGGCTCAGTGCAGGTGGCCTCAAGCGCAGTCTTCTGGAGACAAGTGGAAACTGTCTTTCAAGAAGTAGTACCATCACACAATACAGGTCCAAAGGCCGATATGTGCACTTTCATTTCCCACTCACCTGACCAGAAGAGGATAGCCCACGCCAGGGTTTTGTGAAATGTCAAGTTCTTGTCCAAAAGTCGCCTCATCCATCTCCACACACCCTGTGAGGATAAAACACCACATACCAAAAAGGCACTCTTTCAGTGTTTGTATTGTTAGATAATGCAATGCCGCCAGAAGGACTGTGTAATGGCAGCCAAATATGCGTGATTTTCTAAAGGAAAGAGCAGCGTGATTGCACAAGCACAGGTTACCTGGTCATACTGAGAGTTGGCAAGCTACATGGATGCAGAGGAAACACTATCACATAGCCTGTGCAGCGTATGTGCCACTGGCATGACACTACTACTACTACATCTACTCACTATTCCAGAACCTCGCACAAGCGATATCAAGTTTCTGCAGACAGGCAGTAGGATCAAGGTGCAGTTCAGATTGATGGGCACGGCCGCACCACGAGCTAAGCATAATCCCACCTGCAAACACAGCATCAAGCAAAAAGTACCGATACTCAAAAGGTCTTAAATATGACCTGGACTGGTCACATAGAACTTCCAAATATCACAATAGTCAAGGTCCCACACAGCTAATGATTTCTGCAGAATCATCCAAAACAAAACAAAAACAAGCAAAACTTTCTACACAGCGGGTGCAAGCTAAAGGCTCCACCTACCCCGATGTATCGACGCAAGTACCAGAAGTCATCTGCTGTCTCGAAAAAGTGGCAAAACCAGGCGAATAGAAATATATTCAAGCCTATCCATATGGCCTGCGGTAGAGAAGGTAGGAACAACAGTCAAACAGCTTGCATTTAAATTCACACAACTCAAAGCGCCTACGCTTGGATGGACAGGTGGCATGACAGAAGTGAATTATGTCAGCGCATGTACAGTGCGTATCGGTTATAGCGTAGTCGTGTAAAAGAATATACTGCCTACAAGAATGAACTCTCATGTTTTCATAATTATAACATGGGTTTCAAGTGCACATTTATTCTTACAAAATACAAGCAATTTTATCGTATAGTAGAATATATCGGTCCTAAGAATGGACTTTGTGTAGCGAAACATGCCAGATCATTACTTAGTGTATCGCCTGTAGTAATAACATCTGTCCAATGCAGTTCTGATCTGACTCGCGTTGCGTCGTAGTGCTGCAGGTTCAACTGTTGCGGTCAGGTAACTCATGTTGCATAGCCACATGGTAAGCCAATGGAACTATGACCAGCCGCATGCACAGTAGCACTACGTTGCATGTACGATAATCTTCCTGCCTCCGTGCACATGCATATGATATGTCACACTTGATTTAGTGTGTGTAAGAAATATCGGAACTAAGAATAGAAAGTCGTTTTTCAAACACCCACGCTATAACCGATACCTACTGTACTAGTAGTTAGTTGAGAGTTCGTTCAGGTCTACCAAGTACTATGGCCATGATCCGGCTTACATGGCTGACCAGATACAGCACTCCAGTAATAACACAGGCTGGTGGCCTTTTTTAAATCTATCTTAGCCTGGTGCTATTGTACATGTACTATGGACATCATGAGCAATGCCATAAGCTGTTGCTCCAGGATTTGACCATACCGTAGAATCGTACGAACACAAGTCCAGGTTTCAGGGGCGCACTAGCAGAATGCCCCCAAATACTGCCAGCCCATGTTCTGGTAAAACCCCATCCCCTGGCACGAGCCACCAAAGAAGAATACGTACAAACTAAAATCACTACTGTAAACTGTCAGTGTGTGGGAAACATTAAGTCAGCACTAGTTGAGGGAATGGAAAAAGGGGAAAAAGTCTGAAGAAAGAATTGACTGTCACCACCAGGACTCAAACCAAGGACCTTCGCTTGAGGCCAGCGATGATGTAGCTTTCATCCCAGCAGAGACGGTTCAACATTTGGGACAGTTCAACAATTTGGCAAACATTTGCTAGACATTTGCGAATACAAATGGCTGCACTCTGCTTTTCGCATTGATTGGGGACAATACATGTATGCAACTGTAAGATCAAATCGCAAATTCCTCATCGTGAAGCAGTGTGACTTTTGCAAACGCACATTTTGCGAGTTGGGAAAGTTTGTCGCTTTTTTAGTACGTGAACACCATGGACAAAATATAAAAGACATGTCAATCGCCATTGACATTCAGAACCTGATCATCACACGTTTTACAAGCCCACCAACGTTAAAAAGAATGCATACTAGTATGTATGGGTAGTTGGGGCACTCTGCATCATGCTCCGCCAAATCAAGCACCACAATCAAGCCCACTGGAAGTCTCAAAGAAAAGCAACTACAGTCAAGCCTCGTTAGGACGAACACAAATAAGGCGACCTTTCCTTTAGTACAAACTAGGGCCAATCCTATGGTTGGCCAGGCATCATATCAAGTCAAAATTATTCGTTTACTGCGAACACTGTACGGCGAACTTTCGTGAAGACGAACTAATTTCAAGCGTGATTCGAATAAAATCATCGTGTAGTACGAACTTTCGGTCCTTGTGGGTACCCTGGCTGTAGTTTTTGTCCGATAGTCGAGGCCTAGTGTACAGGCAAAACATGTTACAAGGCGGATGTAATGCTGTCATGAATTCATTGCAAATTGTACTTACCTGTTGCTGGGTTATGTTATATAAAAAAATGTTTTACATTTGCCACAGCATGCACCTTCACATAATATTATATACAATCCATATCCTCGGAGTAAAAACACTTTCTCTGTCCTCCTATTGTTTGAACCAGCTCTACCTCTCGGTATTGAGCACTCTCTTGGACAGACTGGAACCTCTCTGTTTTACAATCCATAACTTATGATATGCATATCAATTATTTTGCCAGATCTGGATAAGAAGAACTCCGGATAAGACAAACAAACGTGTTCAGTCCCTTGAAGTTCGTCCTAACCAGGTTTGACTGTATAACTCTCCAAGCACAAACTTCCAAAGTATCCACATTGTGGACCATCACTGTAAAACATTCCAACAATGCACTGATTCAGTGACTGCCTGATCATGCTGATAGAACTGAGCTCCGTTTCGCGACTTTTGATCTCACTGACACCGTGAGTCCCAGATTCCAGTGCACCGTGATGTCCACCAATGGCACCATGCACATGCATGCGCACGTCAATCTACGAAACCCCCAAGTAATTATTCCGGACTTCCAACTACAATAATTAGCGTCTTGGGCCGCATTGGAGTACAACTAACTTGAATCTTGCACAAAGGGCAACACTGGCAAGTCGTCAGATAGATTTTACTCCAGCGATGGCTGCGTGGCAGGGGTTACTGATAGCAGTAGCGACATAGTCATATCGCCCGACCCAGCGCACACCCGTACATGGGTTCCTATCGATCCTCCAAATTCATGCAACGCGACACGTGTTTTCCGAAGTACCATGACCAGTGCAAAATGTAACAGTATTTGAGGCTCTACTCATACCGGAGAAGTAACTACTACCTAACTGCGAACAATCCTCCTCCTCTTTGCAAAGGCACAAAAGTCCGTACCGACAAAACGGAAATGAAGAAAATCACTGCTGATGGGTGAAGGCACTCAGTCACAGTCAGTGGGCAGCAAAAGAAATCACTGAGACTGATAATCATCACGACGGCGAGCAGTTGACTTACCGTGAAAGCCCACCTGGGCCCTTCGTTCACCAACCACTTGCTAACCATGGTCGTACGGATAGTGTACGTCCACCAAGTTGAAGGTCAGCACCTTGGCCGTCTAACTCCAAGGCGTTAGGAAGCGGAGAGGCAAAGACTGTCCTGTCGGTTGTCAGCGACGGCTTCCTTTCCGAAAGTGCCGAATGTGACAATGCCCCCGGTGTTTGCAGAGGCTGTGTTCTTCCCTTGGCGAGTTCGCCATGTCCGGATCGCAGACTTTCCGACCTGACCCGGCCTTGCCCATCATATAGCCTGCCTCTCCGCTAGGCTCTGGCAGTAGCTGTGCCGTTTCACATCCACGGCACGCATTGAGCACGATGATCCCATTCATATTCAGGATGCAACTAAACAGTGATTTCCTAAAGCATCCATGATCCAGCACACATTCAAGTGCTTTAGGGAAGAGCCCAACCTTCTCTCATCACATTATACCTGCTATTAGCTACCATGGCTGAAGTGGCTAGCGAGGAAGCTCTAAGTGGCTTTGAGAGCCACCCGGAACAGCCACACATCGTACAACAAAGTATCTTCCTTGTCCTTGATTGAAAAGAAACTGCAGTGCAGGTAGTTTATAACAATGACATTATGTACAGGATCAGGCGGGAGTGTAGTTATTACCTGTAACGGGAACTGAAACCCAACACAAATCTATAAAGATGGCAAGTACACGGTGGTGCAACAAAAATCACCAAACGTTACGTAAGCACTAACAATGTTGAAACATGGTTGCAGCCTGCAGGAGACAAACTACAACAAGACACTAGTAATCTACCGTATTATCTCTAATATAAGCACAGTCTCCAATAATAGCACGTCTCTAATAATAGAACACCTTGGGGCAGCATTCAAAAAATAAAGTGCTCAGTCTCCATTATAAGCACGCTGTGTAAATTCATTATCTGTACCGGCGAAAAAACCCTGAAATGTGTGTGTGTCTGACATGAATTTGGCATGGCAACATGCCTCTGAAATGAGGTTGAAATAATAATGGAACAGTCTCCAATAAAGGAACGTCTCCACGGGGCGGAGGTACATTGAAAAAATAAAGGACCGTGCTTATATTAGAGATAATACGGTATGTACTATAATGTAGCAACACGTACAAAGAAACACTCAAAAGAATGAACAGTCATCACAATTTTAAAATATTTCGACAGCTTTCGGCCATACTCATTACTGCATTCCCAACTCGTCACCACCCAATGAGCGATTGAGCGCGTACAATAGCTAGCTCTTCACACTTTTCACACAATTCTCACATTTTAATAGCGGCTTGCGAAATCCCGTTGTGACTTAGAGTCCTTGCACTTTCGCAGACAAGTACAGTATCAGCTCTTGTACTAGTACTCTTTAACATGTAGATCTACATAACACCTCCAACATTTTCACCTTTCACTGTCTTCAAGTCCAAGAAGACCAACCAGTTATCACGGTGTGCGTTTTCTTCCCTCTTTTCCAACAAAGCTGCAATGCTATGGAATTGCCTACCGCCTTCTCTTACCTCTATAACCAGCCTCCCCGAATTCAAGCATTCTCTCGATCAGCATTTTCGCTGATATATTCATTACACTGACGGTATCCCAACTCCTTAATTACCAGATTTCGTATGCCTCGATCTATTTCCTTAGCCTGTCCTCGATAACTGCTCCCTCTACATAAAGTATATATTTCCGGCCGACATGGACTCGTACGAAAAGAGAAATAGGAAGATATGAGGACCTATGCCAGAGGGAGGTACTATTCGGCCATATTAACCGTAGAAAAACACTTTCAGCAATCTTTTAAACGGGGTTGGACGACGAGTACTCAAGTGGACGTGAGTTCCTGTAACAGGGTGTTCCAGAGCATCACGGCGGAAACCAATGGTCGGCTGTCGCCAGATGTTCGCAGAGTTAGCGGCACAACGTATTTGCAATTGTCATTGCCACCGGTGTTACTGCCTGGGAGGTTGGATGGCTACTCTATCTTTCAGAAGAGGGCTGATGCTGCTGGTGTGGACACGGTGCATAAGGAAACGGAGTTTGCATTTGGCACGCTCAATTACAGGGGTCAGGGAAAGGCGAGTGTATAATAGGAGTGGTATGGGACGGGACGGGCAGATTGGCTACGCAGGGAACACATCGCTTGTCGAGGACAGTGATCTGGTGCCGCTGCTGAGCCGTGAGTGCAGAGAAGAACGCGTTTGATCCATAAAGCATTGCAGGAAGTATAAGGCAGAATAGAAGAGGAGCGACTGGCGTTCAGATAGCGACGGGCGGATGGTTCTCACTGGGGGTTAAGCTTTTGGGAAGTTTTACATACTATGCTGGAGATCTGCGCGTCCCACCGAAGACGGGAATCGATCTGTAGTGTAGGCCCACAAAGCGAGCAGTGGTGGTCTGGGTGAGAGGCGTCCCGTAACCCATTGAGTTCCAGGGTACTACGGCATGATGCTAAGACCTGCGTCTTGTCGGGGTTTAAAAATTCAACGAGGTGTTTGTCGCGCTGGACACAAAGCGTCTCTGTGTATCCCAGGTGATGGTTTGGCCTGGAGAGCAGTGTATACAATCATGTAAGTGGTGCTCTTCAGGCACAATCTTCCTCAGCCTACTCAAGCTCAACTGATGAGGGGCGAATTCCCCGAAACACTGTGTATTGAGCAGGGAGTGGTGCTTTCTTGCAGGTTTGCCGAGTGGAAGGTGCGACGTGGGTGTCTGGATGGACCATCTGAAGTGAAGTGTGGTACCACAGTGCTTGATGTTACTCCAGTCACGAAGTATCTCGGTGTCATGCTTGATGACCAACTGTCCTGGAAGCCCCAAGTGGACTTTATTGCCAGCAAGACTGCTGCTACAATCGGGCAGCTCTGGCGCCATGGACGGTGCCTTTCACTCAATGCCCGCCGGGCCTGGTACATGAGTATGATCCAGTCTGTTCTCTGCTATGCCTCAAACTGTTTCTTTCCCGCTCTATCCAAACTGCTGCTACATCGACTGCTACGCATTGCTAAGTCTGGCATACGAGCCATCTTCCAACTCCCCAGAAGGACCCCCACTGCTCCCCTATTTGCCAGACTACCAATGCCTCAGCTCCACCAGCTGTACGTGCAACGTCTGCTTCTCTTCGTCTTCCGCTGCCTTCATGGCAGAGCCAGCTCACTGTTCACATCCTACTACTCCCTCATTGCCACGGATGTGGACAGAAGTTGTGTCACGCGTGGTCAGGTCAGCCAGCTGCTCAGAATGCCGTTCCTACCTGGTCCCTCAGGCCGTAGCTCTATCGCCTTTGTTGGCAGTACCACATGGAACTCTCTCCCTGCTGATATTCGCGCTTGCGACGTACGCCACACGTTTCAAGCATTGCTGTCTGGCTATGACCTTATCTCCCTCCTCAACTAGCTCTCCGATGTTGTGCCTACTATGTCTTCTTCACAGATTCTGCCTGAACAGATGCTCATCAATTATGTTCTTGTCCTCTATCCTAGTCCAAATCCTGCCTTGCCCATGCATGACTCTCATGAAATGCCCGTACTAAATAGTCTATAGAACAAGAATATTGGATATCATACTTCTCTCATCAACTATGATAAAACCCACTGGGTATTATCATATGATTTCATACCCCCCCCCTTCATAAAATTAATGCCTACTGTTTTCTTTCCTTTCATTTCATCTTCTTTTCCGTTCCTTTCTTCTTCATACACATTTTAAACATTTTCATCATATTGTGAGAGCCGTGGGCCAATAGCCCCGGTGAGAAGGCAGTCTTGCCTGTTCATATGGTGAAGTAAAATAAAGAAACAACAACAACGTGCTCCTCGGGTGCTCCGGATGGCAGTCGTGAGTCAGTCAAGTGTCAAGTAGTTCGGCAAGAAGCGTGTGTTCCTCGTCGGAACAATCAACTTCATGACTATTAGTATTACCGCCGAAGTCGCAACTGTTACTTCTAAGTTTACATTGTATTGTACATGTAAATGAGGAAGACCAGCAGTATCAAAATTGCCGGCCCGCCATACTACCATCATGAATTTCAATTCTTCTTCGATGGTCTTCACTCCTCTTCAGCAGGGAGTTAGTCGTCACATGCCGGTGGTATTTGACGACTCCCTGGTTTTCAAGTGAGATTAGTTCAGTGAATATACATTTTACAGTCATGTACATGATGTGCATCGAATGGAACCAAGCGCCGAATAGGGTATCGTCTCCATCGCTTGGCGTTTAATAAAGTAACGTCACTTCAGCTCGTCCTCCTTATTCAGAATTGAACCAATGTGCTAACAAAATAGTAACATGTAGGATGATGTGCGCTTGATTGAAGGGTGCAAATTTCAGGGGCGTGCGCAGGATCCGGAATGACGGGGGTGCTCCAACCTTTTCCAAAAGAACCGAATGATGCATTTTAAACTATTTAACATTCAAGTATTTACCATGATGTACCAAGTCGAGGGAAAATGTAGGACCTTTTCTGTAGGATGGAGCAACCATGAGGTCTTGAAGTACCCAATCTTTGGAGGACAAAATGTACTTCCTCTCTAAGCTACATGTAGTTCCAAGAGTACACTACTCTTGCTAGATCATATCACGAACATTTTTCAATTTGATTAATGTACATGTAGTTTGAAGTACTAGTAACACCTAAGTCCTTACAATACTTCACACATTGAATGGGGCGAGAAGGCAAAACTACCGTAAGTTGCATAACAACTTCTGGCAAGAGTCACAGAAAAAGCTCCCAGGAAGCAAGTGCAATGGATGGTGGTAGCTTCACAAACAGGATAGTGCCAGAGGGCTGCCACTTTTCTGTTGGTAGAAATCAGAAGCAGTGTCTGATGTGTTCAAGGCCAGGAAGGCAAGGAGGCAGCGACCCCTTTAGAAGCCATAGCATTTTTAGGATTTCAAGGGCCCGAACCGACAGATTAGTACACTTTCGTGAACAATCGTTTTCAGTCGGTTTGTCGGAACAACTGATCGGAGTGTTCCCGGAAATTTTGGAATAGAACATGTCGAGGCCCTGACTTTTATTTATGGATAACCCTCTGTCCTGGCACATGAAAGTACAAAACTATGATCAACTAGTGACGACAGCGAGTGGAAAGCAAAAAATCCGTTAGAAAAATCTGATAATTGTGCCACCAAGAATCGTGTCCAAAAGTCTGATTTATGAACATCCCCATTTCTTCTTTCAGAGTTTGGGCACAACACAGTTTTCTAATTATCAAATTCAATCACATTTTAATGAATAGCCTCACGTAAGACCTTTCCAATGGGCCGTCATTTGCGTAAATCGGACAATCGGTTGCAAAGTTATGGTGGCCTATGTCGAAAATTTTGAGGGGATGCTTGAGCACCCAAAACACCCCCCCCCCCCCCCCCTGGGTACGCCACTGAATGTGACTACATGTACAACATACTACCGGTAGTAGACCCAGGTGCTCGAAGTCCGTACACGTTTACAGTGTGTGTTTGCCGAGCTGAAACTCACACTAGCAATGATCACTTGCCAGAATCCTGCTCGTGGATGGAAGGTATCTTGTCCAAGTTTGTTTTGAGGCCAGGCTCGATTGAACCAGGCCATCTTTCGATCCGATCTGTTTCTCTGGAGTTCGCTCATTTTTCATATCAAATTTTGGTGTCGCAGAGGGTACTCTAAGTCCGTACTGATCAGAGGTGACTCGAAATACACACATATTTCTGCTAATTGCTAACTTGCAATCCCTCGGTTACGACGAAAGCACCGAAGGGATATGTTTGGCATGTGCCTCCACCGGTATTTCTTGCAAAAGCGTAGCTTGTTGCCGAAATGCAAGCTGTTTTTAGTCGGCTCAGAGAAGAAGCAGCTGCGCTGTGAAAACCGCGGGAAAACAGTGGTGGAGATGCCAGGAGTGTCAACCTTTCTGCAAGGATTGGTGGTTCTCTGTAAATTCTTCTCCTCTGGCCATTGTCAGCTCTAAGCTGGCTCTTGATGATTGAGTGAAGGTCTGTTTGACGCTGTGTCCGTTCGAAATCGGTCTTGGCAAAGTTGATTTTTGCATGAAATGTAACCCAATTTGTATTTCGTATGGACACTCGAAAACCCACTCCCGTGGTATGGGACTTCTGCTGATCGTAGATCCCTGAAAATTGGTACGCGAGGAGAACATACCACACTGTCCCCTCCATAAAATATTTGAGTCGAATACAATAACAGAACACGAAATTATGGGCGTACGAACTTAGGATACCATGTACGGACTTCGAGCACCTGGGTCTACTAGTAGAATATACGTGTAATACATGTATCCTTGATTCCTGAATGATGAGGTCCAGTGCTCAGCTGAGAGATCGCCTACCCTACTCGAAGACATGAACATCGTGGTGCGGGCACTGGGAGGGGAGGGGAGGATGACTATGCGTTGCTTTGAGTTTGCCAAAAGCAAAACGGGTTCGACCACGAAAAAGAGTGTTTATGCTCGGTCTGGAGCCACGGCCACATGTTTTGACCTTCATTGAAGCACAAGACAGTAACTATTCAGTCATCGTATTACTTTAGACGATCTACTAATAATAGTACTATTACTAGCCAGTCCAGTAACGAGTGGGCCACGATCGGAGGCTTTGCGGGGTCGACTCGCGCCTCACAGACGCAGTCGTTGCTTCAACTCAACTCTCAAGGACGACACTGCAGTCTGCAGTACTGCTTGCCATGCTTGCTAATCACAGAAGAAATACCGGCATGTACATGTCGACATTATAACCGTCTCATGCAGGCTATACTATAGTACTATAGGCTAGGCTGCGTGCATTGTTCGTCAGATTGCGCTATTAATTTTGTTTTTAGCGCCGTATTGAAGGCTTTGTGGGGCTGCTCTACGAGTATATATGAACCGTGATAAACTACGCTTGTGAAGTAAGTAAGTTGTGAGCTGTTCCCCCGCCTCGGACACCATCGCAAACCTAACGTAAAGTCGTTATCATCACATGCAATAGTAGATCTACCTCTGCCCACATTGTCTTAGAATTAGATGAAGATCGAGAGTCTCAGAGAAGAATAGTTCACTTGCAAACAGTCTAGTACAATGCTGCGCGCGTGGCTGACTCGTGAAGGATAAAGCCGAACGATGTTACACATCTGGCGAGGTCAGTCCCCACTGCACTGACACTGTGTGTACTTCTTATCGCACTCGTGCGCACGCCTTCACACTAGATACGTCTAGACTCACACTCACTGCGGAGTGAGCAAGATTCCAAGAAGCACGTCTTCTACGTACATGTAGCTGACATTCGGGTGAGTGGTATGGGTACGGGTGCAGCTCGGCTCAAGCGGACAGGCAGAAGCGCAGGAGCACTGCCCGAAAGCAGAGAAGGAGACAGCGCGCGCATTCTGCCCGTCCGCGACGGTCCGGCGCTACGCTGGTATGAGATAGAACCCGGAAAGCAAATAATACCAGCGGAAATTCCGTTCTCCAAAGACGCAGTAGCAAGGAAGTCAAGAAAGCCGACGGTTGAAAAAGAAGTCGAGCCTGACTCTGTCTCCACCACTACAACCTATGCGTGCCAAGTCACTCAAACTTCCGTTGACGGCGTGAAGAGACTGTCCGTGATCGACGAACGCACTGATAACCTACAACAAGTATCCAAAAGAAGCAGCAGCTCACGCGGCCAAGCCGAAAGCCAAGAAGCTCCGACACGAATCGACACCGAGGCCACGCGTAGAAGCAGCATCATGTTCAAGACACCGGAGACGCACCCGGTGCTTCCTTCGCCGAAGCCAAAGCCGAGCGAGGACAAGTAAGTGAAGAAGACACAAGTCGTGAGGACAGTTAGTTCGGTGTTTCCGAAAAATAACTATTACTTACTTCTGGTACTGTAGCGACTTCGGCGATAAATACTTTTTTGTACAGAGCAATAGACTTTAGTCTAGAGGTTATGCGATTTTACATCATCAGTCACGGTTGTCGAGATGCTTTGCAAGCTGCAAGGCGAAGGTGCGGGCCTCTGCCTCTGGCACAGCGCTGCACTAACTTACTAAGTCTTGTTACAAGTGACTCGCGCTGTATACATCATGTACATGCCATGGCGCCCAATAGAAAATCCGCTGACCAGGGAGACTTGGACTGTCGGAGTCGTACCCAAACCGGTTTGGTTTGACCAGGGAGACTCCCTGCCGCTGACTTAGTCCGTATACTTACCAGTTACCGCCCATTAGAAAATCCACTGAAATTATTCGCATAGCCTGTACTGTAGTCATCATATCAAAAAACGTTGGCTGCTCGCAATGGTCGAGAAGCCCATCTAACCTTCAACTCGGCAAACTAAAACAGAAAGCATCACTCCCTGCTCAATGCACAGTCACGGTTTCAGCAGGGCTGTAGCATCATCTGGTCGCGTCGGTCCATCCATGGCCAGACCTTGTTTCGAAAAAGTGGACCCACCCAATTAGTGCAAAACGGGGTTTTTCGGCAATAATGGTCATTTCTGGAAAAGTATCCGCGGCATTGGGGCATTGGCCGGACCCTCGAAATCCTGGCGCTACGGACCCGGTCGGAGTATGTGCTATTTTACCCCTCATCAGTTGAGCTTGAGTAGGCCGAGGAAGTTTATGCCTCACGAGCACCACATTTTCAATAGTGCTCCGTTCCAGGCCCAATTGACATTACCAGGGATACAATATTACAGAGATGCTCTTTCCAGCATGAAGACGGACCACCTCCTGAAGGCCATACATCAATGTGAGTCCGTGTTTTCCATGGATGTGTGGAACAAGCATTGATGACCGTCCAGTCATTCACGGAACGAGCATTGATGGCCGTCAAGTCATTCACGATGCTACTGTCAACCTCCCAACAAACGTAGTCACAAGCCTGCGCTGAGCCCAACAGCTGGAGCATTAGTGTTAGCGACTAAGAAAGCTTATTGCTTGCATATCTTGACCTAGCACTTTCCCGTCCCTGGGCCAAGGAAAGCCCTTCTGCTGATATGTTGTCCAATCATTTTAGGGCACGCTTGCATGATAAAGTGAGCCTATGAAGCTTGCTCAGGGCTCAACTAGCTCTACCCCAGAGCGCAAGCTTACCGTACACCCAGGGAGCACTTTCTCATGTAAATGAATAGGCGACGAGGAGACAATAACTTTATTAAGGCGATAAATAGTATAAGCGAAGCGGACATTACGAAATTTCTCATGTAAATGATCCATAAACAAGTACTGTGGATAAAGAAAGGATACAATGTGACAAGTTGTGACCAACTGTCCACCAATGGAACCAGATGATACACAGTCAGATAGTGTGACAACAGGGCACAAAACTGACAAGGAGCCCTGAGACATTCACTGACCTGACACCTAACACATCTACGAGGTGCAAACCAACAACCTTCCAACTTGGGAGGCTCAGGTAAGGAAAGATCCAAAGACTTAGAGGGGAGGGAAAGCGCAAAGAAGATTGAGTACGAGCTATGTCCCATGCAACATAGAATGCCGGACGCTACTGGTTTAGTAGTCTAGATACAGTGCAACGAGTGTTAGTTTCCAAGATCTTTACAAGACTGGCGAACACTAAATGTCATGAAGAAAGTGAAGAGAAAGGAGGTTTATATAGGAAAGAGATTGTGATAGAAGACTGTGCAATGAAGTTTGTTGTTTTGTCAGATATCTGACGTGTGCTGTTTGGAAGAAGTGTTTGGATGCAAACAGAACTTACAAGAGATGAGTAAAGACTACTTTTCTACAATAGCGTTGTAGGCGAGGAGTGCGTAACATCAAAAGATGTCGTAATGTGTATTGGAACTATGCTAGCCAAACATTACGTAATTATTATGGTAGCGAAGTACGTGTAGTAGGTATTACAATGTGTGCGAGAGTATGGTGAATCAGTGTTTGTGATGATGAGGAAAATATGACGTGTACATGCAAACAAATGATGATGTCATGATGCGAGAACGTCAGAGACGCTACAGAGCTCCCCTCCTAGTGAATGAGTAATGAGCGATAACTAGCGCGATAAAGGGAGAGCAAGCAAATGGGATAAGCGAGAGAGTGTCAGAAATAGGCGGGAAATCTGACTTGACGACCAGCTCGTGTTTGGCGTGGCGGAGGCACGTCGAATGCGAGCGATGGCGTCGGCTTGGTCGGATGGCAATGGTCGACAGACTGGTTGTCATGGAATGCGGGTTTGAGTCGGTCGATGGATACTGTGTCGGAGCGGCCGTTGAGGTCGAGGCGGAAGTACTTATCATGACGTTCCAGGACTCGGTGTGGACCAGTGTAAGGACGTTGGAGGGGCGTTCGTGTTGCATCTGTGCGAATGAAGACATGAGAGCATGTCGAGAGGTCAGCTGGAATGAACGGATGCTGGGTGGGTGGCTTGCGGGGTTGTGTAGGGCGGAGCTCGGACATGGCTTGTTTGAGGCGGCTGACATAGGACGTCGGATCCGGAAATGGCTCAGGCTCGTCAGTGAGGAAATCACTTGGCAGGCGGAGGTGGCAACCGTAGACCATTTCTGCAACTGAGCAGTTGAGGTCAGCCTTCAGGGAGGAGCGAATGCCGAGCAGGACTAGTGGCAGATGTTCCGTCCAGCGCTGTGGATTGTCGGAAGCTCGGAGTGCAGCTTTCAGTTGTCTGTGAAAGCGCTCTACCATGCCGTTGGCAGCAGGGTGGTAAGCCGTTGTACGAATGCGAGATGTGCCAAGTAGTGACATGAGCGATGACCACAGGGATGACTCAAATTGGGCACCTCGGTCGGTTGTGAGCACAGTGGGAACACCAAATCGGGCGACCCAGGTGGCAACAAACTGGCGAGCGACGGTTTCGGCTGTAATGTCGGGAATAGGTACTGCTTCGGGCCAGCGAGTAAAGCGATCTACCATCGTCAAGAGGTAGCGAGACTCACTAGAAGATGGAAGCGGGCCTACGATGTCGACATGGACATGGGAGAAACGGGCATCAGGTTGCTTGAATGCACTCACGGGAGATGTGGTGTGGCGCTGAACTTTAGACTGCTGACAAGCGTGGCAGGAACGACACCACTCACTAATATCCTTGTTCATCGCGGGCCAGACGTAGCGAGCTGTAATCAGGTGCCTGGTAGCGCGGGTACCAGGGTGGGAGAGGCCGTGAAGCGAATTGAAAACAGCACGGCGCAGCTTGGCAGGTACATACGGGCGGGCAGACGCAGTAGAGGTGTCACAGATGAGCGAGTGATCAGTCATGGGCAGAGCTATAGATTGCCAGCATAGCGAAGTGGATGGATCCTTACCAGGACTGGGCAAGTCTGGATCATCTTGTTGAGCGGCGGCAAAGGAAGCTGTGTCAATGGCAGTGATGGCAGAGACGGGCTCATCGGGTAGGCGGCATCGTGACAGTGCATCAGCGGCAGCATTCTGAGAACCCTTGACATGACGAATATCTGTCGTGAACTCAGCAATGTACGACAAATGGCGCTGTTGACGCGGGCTGTGGGTCTGTGAACGGCTGTGGATGGCATGTGTCAGAGGCTTGTGATCGGTGCACACATGGAAGACACGCCCTTCCAGGAAGTGTCGGAAATGCTTAATGGCTAGGTAAATCTCTGTAGCGTCTCTGACGTTACACTGGATGTTATTACTGGAACATTTTGTCCTTCCCTTATTTATCCATGATTACATTGGCGCAACATCCGAGGTCAAACAAGTACTAGTGCAGTAAAACCTAACACTAACGACCACCCCTTTGGGCCAGAGAAAGTGATCTTTAGCGGCAGGTGGTCCTTAGTTAGAGGTTTGCACCGCACACAACTATAATGAATATGAGACCGTCCGTGTCTGGCGAAGTGGTCGGTAGTACCAGGCTGGTCGCTAGTCACGGTGGTCTTTAGTTACAGGTTTTACTGTAGTACCAGGCTGGTCGCTAGTCATGGTGGTCTTTAGTCACAGGTTTTATTGTAGTACCAGGCTGGCCGCTAGTCATGGTGGTCTTTAGTTACAGGTTTTACTGTAGTACCAGGCTGGTCGCTAGTCGCAGTGGTCTTTAGTTACAGGTCTTACTGTAGTACCAGGCTGGTCGCTAGTCACGGTGGTCTTTAGTTACAGGTTTTACTGTAGTACCAGGCTGGTCGCTAGTCATGGTGGTCTTTAGTCACAGGTTTTACTGTAGTACCAGGCTGGTCACTAGTCATGGTGGTCTTTAGTTACAGGTTTTACTGTAGTACCAGGCTGGTCGCTAGTCATGGTGGTCTTTAGTCACAGGTTTTACTGTAGTACCAGGCTGGTCGCTAGTCACGGTGGTCTTTAGTTACAGGTTTTACTGTAGTACCAGGCTGGTCGCTAGTCACGGTGGTCTTTAGTTACAGGTTTTACTGTAGTACCAGGCTGGTCACTAGTCATGGTGGTCTTTAGTTACAGGTTTTACTGTAGTACCAGGCTGGTCACTAGTCATGGTGGTCTTTAGTTACAGGTTTTACTGTAGTACCAGGCTGGTCGCTAGTCACGGTGGTCTTTAGTTACAGGTTTTACTGTAGTACCAGGCTGGTCGCTAGTCACGGTGGTCTTTAGTTACAGGTTTTACTGTAGTACCAGGCTGGTCGCTAGTCACGGTGGTCTTTAGTTACAGGTTTTACTGTAGTACCAGGCTGGTCGCTAGTCACGGTGGTCTTTAGTTACAGGTTTTACTGTAGTACCAGGCTGGTCGCTAGTCACGGTGGTCTTTAGTTACAGGTTTTACTGTAGTACCAGGCTGGTCGCTAGTCACGGTGGTCTTTAGTTACAGGTTTTACTGTAGTACCAGGCTGGTCGCTAGTCACGGTGGTCTTTAGTTACAGGTTTTACTGTAGTACCAGGCTGGTCGCTAGTCACGGTGGTCTTTAGTTACAGGTTTTACTGTAGTACCAGGCTGGTCGCTAGTCACGGTGGTCTTTAGTTACAGGTTTTACTGTAGTGCCAGGCTGGTCGCTAGTCACGGTGGTCTTTAGTTACAGGTTTTACTGTAGTAGCAGGCTGGTCGCTAGTCACGGTGGTCTTTAGTTACAGGTTTTACTGTAGTACCAGGCTGGTCGCTAGTCACGGTGGTCTTTAGTTACAGGTTTTACTGTAGTACCAGGCTGGTCGCTAGTCACGGTGGTCTTTAGTTACAGGTTTTACTGTAGTACCAGGCTGGTCGCTAGTCACGGTGGTCTTTAGTTACAGGTTTTACTGTAGTACCAGGCTGGTCGCTAGTCACGGTGGTCTTTAGTTACAGGTTTTACTGTAGTACCAGGCTGGTCGCTAGTCACGGTGGTCTTTAGTTACAGGTTTTACTGTAGTAGCAGGCTGGTCGCTAGTCACGGTGGTCTTTAGTTACAGGTTTTACTGTAGTACCAGGCTGGTCGCTAGTCACGGTGGTCTTTAGTTACAGGTTTTACTGTAGTACCAGGCTGGTCGCTAGTCACGGTGGTCTTTAGTTACAAGTGTTACTCTACATGTATGTTATATCTCGCCGGGGTAAAATGTCACAGGTGACTATAACGGCTGGATGGTTGTTTGCCTGTGTTCTCTCAGAAGCGGTGGACAATCACGCAGTCAAAGCCTCACCAGTATGCTACCGATGCTCTCAAACCTGCCAACGATCAATCCGTCAGCAATGGTTGGTTCTGCAGACAGTAGATTCCCGGTGGCGGCAATGCCCAGGGCCAGAGTACAAAAGTCAGCACCAGCATTCAAAGGCAAGGCACTTATGCCTAATGGCATCTTCAGTACAATATCACTGGAGCAGTATGTGGGTAAGTGGGCGTCTGCGTGGCTTCTTGACTGTGTGTCAGAGGTCACGGTTGCAATAAATAAAATGAAATAAGACGGTGATGTTTGTTGATCCGCATGTGCAATTGTGCATGGGAAGGCCAGGCTGTGTAGAGGGAGGGGAAGAATAATGATGCATTGCAACAACAACGGTAACGGGGGCGGAGCGGCGGCAGTAGGAGATGTGTGGCGAGGGGAAGTGGATAGATAGCTATTGAGTAGGTAAGCTATTGAGTAGGTAATGCAGTTCAGGTCACGTGCGTACATTCACCACCTGAGACAATTGCTGCCGCTCTGTTCGTTGTTAGTACCCAGGGCACAGCAAAGAAGTCCTCCATAAAAGTGTCCCCCATGGTCCTCCATAAAAGTGTCTTCCATAGTCCTCCTTCTCCTCCATAAAAGTGTCCTCCATTCTGATGCAGTTCACTGTGTACAATGCTGTTGTGTATGTTGTGCCATCCATGCAGGCAAATATCTCGTCCTGTTCTTTTACCCAGGAGACTTGTAAGCAACATTGGTGTGTGTGTGTGGGGGGGGGGGGTGTCTGTATCTGTCTGTATGTGTGTCTGTCTGTTTGTGTATGGGTGTGCATGTGCAGGTGCGGGCGGGTGTGTGTGTGTGTGTGCTTTGTGTGTGGTGTGTGGGTGTGATCATGGGCACGCCTTATTTTTATCAGTGTTATACTGTCTTTCTAATAAATCAGTAGTTTTCTGGGACTTGTGGAGAGAGGTTTACTGGCGTAGCAAATGCAGGGACTTTGCTGTTCACACAGCCTCCCCCCCCCCCCCCCCCCCCCCGGGAACATGACAGTTCTGTGCTACGTGTGAGTGGTGTGGCATGGCTATGTGTATGATTGTATAGTGTGGTTGTATGGGCGAGAGTGTGTGCAGGAGAGAAATACATGTATTAGGGTGAAAAACATCTCGTGAAGTCTGAAGAGAATGTTGAACGGTCGCTGCTGGAATGACGACTACACCATAGCTCAGTGGTTAGAGCGGCATCGCTGGCTACAAGCAAGGGTCCCTGGTTTGAGTCCTGGTCGTGACAGTCAATTTTCTTCGGACGTCCTATTTTCTACTCCTCAAACTGATGAATATCTTGTAACGGAGACACATCAGGCTTTCCCCGCCTGTGTCCTTCATTTGGTCACAATCTTAAACTGATTGGTCTGTGCATTGACTTTCATGTGTGTTTGTTGTGTGAACTTGCAGCACATTTGTTTGCCCTACGGAGATCATTGAGTTCAGTGAACGCTATGAGGAGTTCAAAAACCTGCACTGCGAGATCGTGGCCTGCTCTGTGGACTCTGAGTATTGCCATAAGGCATGGTCAGTTACTTGTGGTTGGTTGGGGTTGTCTGATGGTCGGTGTGTCTGTGCGTGTCTGTGCAGATATCTGTCCAGGGGCGTGCTTGGCGAGGGGCACAGGGGGCAAGTGCACCCCCCAAAATATTTCAACCGGGGTTTTGAAAAGTCACCAATGTATTGCGGAAAGCCCGACCTCGCGGGAGCACATCCACAGATGAGGTGCTGAAGCTGTTCTTTCGACGCTCTCCTCGCCAAATCCTGTCCAGATACGTCGACTAGTGTTACGATTGTTCTTAGCTATATCCATACAATATGTGTTTGCATCGGCCTGCCTGGCACAGTGCCGTCGACGGATTGGTTTTTAAAGATTTGTAAAGTTGTCATCCTTTATTTTGAGAAAATTGATATGATGCTGTACTGTGTTCATTCTTGATGACATACATGTACAATCTTTGTATGATGTCACCGGTACAACCTTTTGAAAATTGCTGTTGTCTGGAAGTGGTGCACCTCCCTGGAAGGGGAGCCGAGCACGCCCCTGCTGTCTGTCTGAATGTTGTATGTGCCGTGTGTTGTATGCACTGTGTGTGTGTGTGTGTGTGTGTTGCATGGGTGTACGTGTGTGTGTGTTGCATGGGTGTACGTGTGTGGGTGTTGCATGGGTGTACGTGTGTGGGTGTACCGTTTGTGGATGTTGCATGGGTGTACCATGTGTGCGCAAAGCTGTCCAATTGGCCTACTTACTAACCAAAATTGGGATGAAATGGGCTGCCAAGTGAGCATTGGCGACATAAAAACAAAGCTGAAAGATAAGCGACAATATTGATGACGCGGACCAAGTAGGTCATTACGACTATAATGTAGTGACATGAAATTTGAACTGCAGCAAGTCACTTGGGCATGATGATTCCCACTCAGTTCAGCATTGTCATTTCCATCAAAAGACCACGATCAGAGGGAGAGTTTCAAACGGTTTGATTCACTTGGTTGGAAGCACCTATCGTTGGATCTTGTCGTCGAATGTTTCAAATTGTGCTTATGAGTTCAATCGTGTTACGTGTGCGCATGCACGTGCACGTGTGTTTATGCAGGACTGGTGTACCTAGATCCAAAGGTGGTCTTGGCAAGATGAACATCCCAATCCTGGCTGATCCGACCCGGCAAATTGCGCAGGCCTACGACGTGCTAGTGGAAGATGATGGTGTTGCCTTGCGGTATGTCCGCCCAATACATTTACATTGTGTTTGCTACATTGGTTCAAACCCACTTTGTCTTTGGCGTAAAAAACCGGGCATAGATAAATGCCCAATGCCGAGACACGGTTGCTTTCAGCTGCTGTATGTAGTGCTATACCACCGAGTCATGCTGCCAAGCCGCTAGTCCTGGTATAATACCAGTTTCCAAATACCCTCACAGATATGCTTTGATAACATTTTACATTACCTCCAGATTACGAAGGGAAACACCGTTTGGCCTCACAGCTGACCTGTTCCAGCCACGATCTCTTTTTGTTTTGAAAATGCTGGCTGACTAGGGTCAGGCAGAAAATTGGATGGCTTATTGTCGCTAGGCGAAAAGAGGATGAAGAGGAGGAGGAGGAGGAGGACGGTGGGCATAGCAAGTACCAGTGATAGGCCGAGCAATCGGCTCGATCAGTTCGTCTGAGCCCCACCGTGTGAGACCTACAAGCTGTCCAGAAAGACACAATACTTGCAACCACTATTCATAATACAGGACAACATGTGTTTGCCGGACCCTGTATCAAGGAGAATCCTGTATTGATCGGACAAATTTCCGTGCACCAAAATGCTGTGGATCGAACGTTCATCCCTGGATCAAGCCGCGAATCCTGTCGTATCAGGGCAGTTTCCGCTACACCAAGGGCGTCCGGTTAGGGCAGGTCTTACTGTACTTGCAATCACTGTAGCCCGTGTGCCCAACCTGAGATGGTGTGGAAATGACATGACAGCCCATCCCTCAGAATTCCCATGGAACCTCATTTGGGGACGAGACTAGCTGGCTTCAATATCTGCTAATCAAGTTATCACGACTGCTGAAGAGGAGGGAAAGGAGGAGGAGGAGGATGACGACGACAAAGAAGAAGAAGAAGAAGAAAGTTTTGGGCAATGACCATTAATTAACAGGAGGCCAGGGATAAACGGTCGGCAGCACTTACATGCATGTCAACCATGATTTTGTGGCCCATGCGTGTAAGCAATACATTATTCTATTTCACTAATTTGTTGCATTTGTCTATTTGTGTGTGTGTTCATCTTGTGCAGTGGCTTGTTTATAATTGATCCGAAAGGCATTGTGAGGCAGATCACAGTCAATGACCTGGAGGTTGGCCGTAACGTGGATGAAGTGAAGCGTCTTGTCGAGGCGTTTCAGTATTCTGACAAGCATGGAAGTGGTATGTATGGCTGTGGCATACATTGTGTCTACTATGAAGTATTGTAGGATTCCCTTTCCTAATAGTAATACCAAGTGGTCATAGAAGCAGTTACAGTCAGACATCGTTTATCCGGTCCTCTTATATCTGGATCCCTCGCAATCCGCAAGAAAATCGTTGGTTACCGATCTATAGCATATGTCATACATACACACAGTATGTGTGTTCGATTTTCCGGTTCCCTCGCCTATCCGGAAATTTTTTTGTGGAAAACGGATGTGTGCAGTTAAGCAAGGTCTGGCTGTACAGTTATACTTTTGCAGTATTTTCATGCACTGCACATCTTGCAAAACCAGTCGACTCAGCGTCCAAAAGACTACAACATATGGGCCAATCGCGGTCATCCGTGCTTTTATAAGAACGAAATGGCGCTTTTAGTGACATTTTGCATACAAATCCCCATCTAGTAGGGCGCAGTCACCCAGTTTCGGTGGAAGTGCGCGAGTTCGATTGGGATTCAAGTAGGAAGGGAGTGTCTCAGCTTCCTCGGACCAAGACCATTCGACTCAGCGCCCCGAAGACTACAACTGGTGAAATTTTAATTTTTGCCTTAACTTCCCCTTTAAGCCTCTAAACTTCGAAATTTTTCAGATGAACCACCCCAACCCCACAAGTGAATTGTGCTTCAGGTGGTTGACCATACTAACCTAAAATACCTTCCAATGTCCCCTGTGGTGGCTATCAGTACTTGAATCTAGTCCTTTTTGTCTTTGCAACTGTAACCCCGTGTCCGTTACCGTCTTGTTTGGTTACAGTGTGCCCGCAAGGTTGGACAGCAGGGAAGAAAACGGTAAGAGCCGCCTTGCTTACTTACAATATACCTACATTACGCACACTACACACCACCTTCAGCCAATAGGGAATAATACACACACCATATCATGCAAATGATTAGTCTTGGTGTCCAATTGCCACGATGACATACACATGCACACACAGTCACACACACACACACACACACACACACACACACACACACACACACACACACACACACACACACACACACACACACACACACACACTCCTGGTCCTGGTCCTGGTAAACACCACCATTACGGTCACCGACAATATGGAACGACGAGCAACGGCAGTCCGCTGAGAGAGAGGTACCAGGTCAGGGACTCGGGGACCATGTTCGAGAGAGCCATCTCTGGCAGCTATGGATCTGGCTTATCATCGGGAACGATTCATCTCACGGCTGCCGGTTGAACTGGTCCATCACTCTTCACAACAGAGCGAACATTCCATGAGCCAATGCTCACAGTCGTTCCAAGTCGTCGTCTTCGTGCGGTAGTTTGCTCCACTCGCGGGCTTGCAAGGCCTCGCGAAGGACACACACACACACACACACACACACACACACACACACACACACACACACACCTGGTCCTGGTATACACTGCCATGTAGGTCACGCGTTTCTCGTTGAGCGAGACGGAGACAAGAGGAGACATGAGCGTTGGTGACGGGATAAGTCGTTTCGCCTTTTGAAACGCCTCTGGCAATTCTGACATTGCAATTGGAACTTGTCCCTTTCATCAGCAGTTGGGCGCCTGGTGGATCAGTTGCAGTTGTGGATAGCAAAGCCCCGGATCGACTTACAGCAACATTCACAAATGGGACAGTGAGCGGTACAGCACGGTTTCCGAATACATAGGCGTACAGGTGACTGGGCACAGCGATGGACTGCAATGCTACCCGCACTCCGAAACCATCGGTGACACTGGGAGCACTGGCGGCTGCTGGCTTGCTGCTGGACTGGTTTACGCCGTTCCATGATGCACTTGTGCAAGTTGTGGCGGGCGATATCTTGCTGCCGAGCAAATGCACGCCGGCACACCTCGCAGACTATCTCCCGGGCCGATTTCTGAGCTGGTTGTATTATTCGATAAGCTTGCCGCCACTCAGATGGTTCCTGCGCTGTGTCAAACCATGACTCGTTCCTGCGCTGTGTCAAACCATGACTCGTTCCTGCGCTGTGGCGAACCATGACTCGTTCCTGCGCTGTGTCAAACCATGACTCGTTCCTGCGCTGTGTCAAACCATGACTCGTTCCTGCGCTGTGTCAAACCATGACTCGTTCCTGCGCTGTGTCAAACCATGACTCGTTCCTGCGCTGTGTCAAACCATGACTCGTTCATGCGCTGTGTCAAACCATGACTCGTTCCTGCGCTGTGTCAAACCATGACTCGTTCCTGCGCTGTGTCAAACCATGACTCGTTCCTGCGCTGTGTCAAACCATGACTCGTTCCTGCGCTGTGTCAAACCATGACTCGTTCCTGCGCTGTGTCAAACCATGACTCGTTCCTGCGCTGTGTCAAACCATGACTCGTTCCTGCGCTGTGTCAAACCATGACTCGTTCCTGCGCTGTGTCAAACCATGACTCGTTCCTGCGCTGTGTCAAACCATGACTCGTTCCTGCGCTGTGTCAAACCATGACGTCTCCACACAGTAGAGTAGTAACGGGGACAGAACACAGGCCTCGAAAACCAGACGCTTGGTGCGCAAAGAGAGATTGTGGTCATTGAAGACGGCATGACGGAGCGCTCCAAAAGCACGGGAGGCAGATGAAACACGGGTCGATACATCTTTGTGAGATCGGCCAGAATCATGGATAACAGCACCCAGGTACCGGAACTCACGCACACATTCCAATGTGCCATTCTTCACAGGAAGAGGAAGTCGGTCATCATCCGTGATACCATAGCCAACAGCCATACATTTGGTCTTGTCCAGATTGACGGTCAGACCAAATGCAGACGAGACATCGATGAACATATCCAGAGCAAGAGCAGCAGCACACACACTGACTCTACACACACACACACACACACACACACACACACACACACACACACACACACACACACACACACACACACACACACACACACACACACACACACACACACACACACACACACACACACACACCATGACATACATTGCGTGTGTGACCATGTATGTCATGGTGTGTGTGTGTGTGTGTGAGTGTGAGTGCATGTGTGTATGCATATGTGTGCGTGCATGTTTGTATGCATAATGTATGTGGGTGTATGTGCAAGTGTATTATGCACGTGCGTGCGTGCCGTACTCGGCATACATGCAAACCTGGAGGCTTGAGTTCCCTGGACAACGAGGCTGAATTCCCTTTTCCCTGGACACCAGTTCTAATGCATCCATCATTAGCAGATGTATTTTTCATGACTGATGCTCAAGCAAAAAAGGATGTCATTGCATTGAGCTAGTTGTAGCTGTCAGCACTAGTAAAAGTTCTCAATCTGCGGACAGAACTGTTTCGTCCTTTGTGAACTCACCAGCGCAGCACAGAGAAAATGAGGCCGAACCTGTTATCAATGAAAAATAAATTTTCCAAAGCCAGATTTAAACCAGGCCCGAACGTACCTTGCCAGAGTGCTCAAACTGACGAGTCCGTGGGCTCTGCATAACGCATACAGCAAAGGCACTACTCCACACGAGAGCAAGTAAAATGTCTGTTGACTACCGTCAATCCGTTGCAGCTCCATTATGTTTTTTTGCCTTGCAGGTTGCTTTAAAAAAGCTCATTCTCACCACCAACGTCGCAGCAGATATGCATACATGACACCCTTTGCAAAACACGTAGCTGTTGCGCATAGAACTCTGTCCAACGCTGTACTTGCGAATCCAATCCTCCTTGAAAGAAAAAACCCTGTTCTTTTTTGTGGATACAGTCTGGGTCACCTGAGTTGAAGACTACCACCTCTTCCACCTCTCCCGCCTCTCCCACCTCTTCCATCTCTTCCCCCTCTTTCGACTACAAGTACATGGCCATGTACTTGTAGGAGAAATATGAGGACGAACTCTGGAGTCCAATGCCGAACTGCAGGTACAGTCGTGCTCAATGAAATCCAGTCGCGTCACTCAAGTTTGCGCCTTGCACTATTTCGCAGCCCAGTGTTCGCAAGTCAAGGACTACGCAACGCCCGACGCGTACTTAAGTGACGCGACTGGAGATTTCATTGAGCACGACTGTAGTATAGATTTCTACTCTCGAACGAGTTGCACTTGTGGCCCGGACACGGGCGCTTGCGCTGTATCTACTGCGTGCTACTACTATGTATGTTCTGTGTATACTTACAACGGACCTAGTTCGAGGAAACACTGAAAAATCGTCATAAAAAGGAAAAAACATCGATTCGAAAGTTCCATCTCAATCCCGGGACTTTTGCAAGGCATCCCTGGACCCTGGTACAAACACCCTTTTCCCCGGACTGTCCCGGGAAACCCTGGACGGTTGGCATGCATGGCGTTCGGGTGTATATGGGTGCACGTGTGTGTACATGTCTTTCTCGTAATATGCAGATCAAACCTGATCCACAAGGAGCGTTGGAGTTCTTCGAGACGGTTCCAATCTAGTACTGTTAGGATAATGTTTTGCGACATAACATGACCATGAAAGGACTCCCTCGGTCTCAGTCAATAGAGTGTAGTGCTGGTACAGTACAACTGCATTCAAGTCTGAAATTGGAATTGAATGTGGACGGCGCGTAGATGTATTTTCACATTTCCTCAGTAGGCACCACTCGTTCTCGCTGTTTGCCTCACGTTGCCAGATTTTGTGTTGGGAGTTTTTGGTTTTTCAAAGAATGGAATGAATTGTTCCACAACTAGCCCTATTCTGTTCATGCTCTGTGTTATTTACAGTTGGGAATTTCACATGCAGTTCGTATTTCATGACTACATGTATATGATTTTAAGAGTTATGATCAGTTATCGTGACGAGCATATGACTGAGTTATTGATACATTCACGGACTTCCACTTTTTCTTTACCTGGCCCATTCCATCTGAGAACTCACAGGAATGCATAGGGAGCTTACAAAAACATCAGATTTGCGGCTCCATGCTTTAATGACTGTGGTTTTTGTGTGCCGGTGCATGCCGATAAGCATGTTTCAGAATGTTTCCAGGCACTAGGCCTGAATACTGGCTTTTGTTTTTAGTGGATAAAAAGGGAAGGACAAAAAATCATGGTAAGAGTTACGACTGTAACTGTCCACCAACGTGACCTGATAACCAGGTCATACACAATCAGCGAGTGCGACAACTAACTTGATGGCACAAAACTGACAAGGAGTACAATGTAGTGAGACATTCAACGTCCTGACAAACTTCTCTGAGGCGCAAACCAACAATTAACCTTCCAACTTGGAAGGCTCAGGTTAGGAAAGGACCAAGAGGGGAAGGAAACCGCAATGAAGAAGAGCACAAGCTACTTTGCATGGAAGCAAAGAATGACATCAGCGTATGCCCGGCGGGCCGGCGGGCTCACCCCCCAGCAACTTACTTCCCCATGTCTAACCCCAAGACGAAGTGAATACTGTGGTGAATCAGTGTAGTGTACAATGTAGCAGTAGTCGTACTTGGCCGAAGAGAGTTACTGGATGATGACGAAACTAGTAAGACATTCCGGTCTCACTACAACCAAAAGTACATGACTCTTGCTACAACTCGACGAAAAGCAAGCTACAACAGACTAACCAAATAAATTGGAAGGCCCAAGTTTATGTAATAAACATAGGAAGGAGAAGCTAAGCGAAGACGAAATGCCAACATCCAACTGAACTCCACGTAATAGTGGCTATGAATTGATGTAAATAGAATAGACTACAATAATTAGTAACAAGTTTTGCCATTTTGTTGCATTCGCTGACTGTATATGATCTTAATCTGGTTACGTTGGTGGACAGCTACTGAAGTAATCAATACTAATAATCACAACGCATACCATTATTGTCCTTCTCCTTTTTATCCATATTTAAATGGCTCAACATCCGAGTTCAACTAATTACTTTGTTTTATAAGTATAATTAAATGATATACTGGTCCTTTCCCATGATTGTTACAAATATGTTATATAAAGTCACTTGGGTAAGCCCGAAGCATACCGAAATCGGGCCACATCCAGACCATCTTTTCTTGGAGAAGACCTGGACGTTGGGTAAAGTACTCCCCACGCAGTTCCTTCAATCAGGTAGTGTTTGGCAAAAGTGGGGATGAACTCCAAAGGAGTGGCCAAGCTCAAACAGACAAAATTCACGCTTGTCGACATATAGCTCTCTCTCTCTCCCTCCCTCCCTCCCTGAGCCTCCCTCCCTGAGCCTCCCTGAGCCTCCCTCCCTCCCTCTCAGGGCCCTCTCTCTCTCTCTCTCTCTCTCTCTCCCTCCCCCCCTCTCTCTCTCTCTCTCTCTCTCTCTCTCTCTCTCACACACACACACACACACACACACACACACACACACACACACACACACACACACACATACACACACACACAGACAGACAGACACACACACACACACAGGGTGAACATTCCCATGTGTATGCACCGCACGCACACAACACACATGTAAAACAAATTATGGCAATACAGATGTAGTGCTGACGCACAATGTGTGCCATAGGAAGACCCAATGGCAGCCACGCTAATTGACCGCAGCAGTGCATGTTCTTGACTCGATGATCTGACACAGAATACTAGTAGTACACTGTGAGACACAGAGGACAAAACAAAACCATGTCCACGGACTGAGTAGACACTGTAGGAGAGATATTTTCGTTAGAAGATCTGCTTCATGGTGACGATGACACCAAGACTTAGTAGCAATAACCATCCTGAAACTCAATTCACTAGACATTCTGAATTATACACAGTGCAAGGAGGCAAGACACAATGACCCGTCTCCATTCAGCCTTCCGGCTTAGTATGTTGACCGCTGCAAAGTCTAGTGCACCATCAGAAATGCATCATTGCTTCCAAGCTCGCACAACAAGACGAAGGTAGAGCTATATACGTGTGTGCCATAACTCGTGGCCAATAGACGGTGACTAGACACTCAAGGTCCAAACACCTCAGTCATGTCGCTCTATTTGACGGGCTTGCTATACAGAGCCAGGCTTCGGCAATTGAAGTTCAAGACGATGTTGGGGGCTTCGCTTGTGGCAAGATGTCTTTGCGCATGGAATCCATCAGCATTCTGAACTCTTCCGGGTTGCTGGGTTCTGTGGCATGCCTGCTACCACTTGAGGGTCGCCCCAATGGACGTTGGTGTCCGTGTTGTCGGCTTCTGCGACTGCTCAGCAGACCGGTCACAGGGTCGTGCAGAGAGGATTTTCTGTGCATGCTAGTACCGGCTGACTCGCCAGTGTACGCTGCCGGGGATCGGGCGTGTTGCCCGCTAGCAGCCGGCGCGAGCAGCAGGGACTCAGTCAGTAGGGGAGGTGTGCGCAATTGTGTTGATTCTACAGGTGGTGTTGCTCCAGCAGCAGCAGCTCTGTCCAGCTGTAACAACAACAACAACAACAACAACAACAACAACACGATCTCTTATTGACCACTGGCTTTCGTGAGAATAAAGATTTGAAACACTATGGTTAAGTTTCTACTTTGAGTAATCATAATATAACTTCAGCAATTCCATTCTGGCTTGGCCCGTTTTAAATTTCCAGATTACCGAAGTTCCTCATTTTGAGCATACATGTTGAATTGTACTCTAAATATACCGTCAGCATCAGCCTCCGGTTGCCCTATTTTGTAGGCAAAGTGTTCTTTAATGCCAAGTCACGTTCTTGGAACCATGCACCATGTGTACAGGGGAAGGCCCCTGTGATTCATGTAGTGAACACAAACATGTGAAACCTTTGCTCAGGGACGCAAGAATCAGATGTTATTAAAAGATTGACTGGCAGACGAGGTAGCTACGGTGATACTGGTGGGATACTGGCTTGACACTGGTGTGACAACACTGGCTGGGGACCCCAGTACTATGTTGCTAAACTACTCACCATTGCATTCTCTTCACTGGCATTCTGTTGCACAATGTTCTTCTCATTGGCATCTGGTAACAGACACACACACACGCACGCACGTACGCATGCACACATGCACGCACACACGCACACACACACACACACACACACACACACACACACACGCACACACACACCATTTGACCATTTGACGACCATCGCCAGAGGCGATGATAGCGATGCTATAGCAGATGTCATAGCAACTTGTGCTGGGATTGCACCATTCAACAGCTTGCAACGCTGAAGAATTGACCGCCACTATTCAGCCTGGTCTACACCAAACAGCTATGAAGTAGCCTCAAAGTGACAGATGTGAGTACAATATTCGAGCAGTAAACATGCAAGTGTCCATTTTCTGGGACAGCTGAGCACATAATTATTGTGATGCATCTTGCCAAGTACTGTATGTACATGTACAGTACGTATCGGTTATAGCGTGGTCGTGTAAAAGAATATACTGCCTACAAGAATGAACTCTCATGTTTTCATAATCATAACATGGATTTCATGTGCACATTTATTCTTACGAGCAATTTTATCGTACAGTAGAATATATCGGTCCTAAGAATGGACTTTGTGTAGCGAAACATGCCAGATCAGTACAAAGTATATCGCCTGTAGTAATAACATCCGTCCAAAGCAGTTCTGATCTGACTCGCGTTGGGTTGTAGTGCTGCAGGTTCAACTATTGTGGTCATGTAACTCATGTTGCATAGCCACATGGTAAGCCTATGTGACTGTGACCAGCCGCATGCACAGTAGCACTACCTTGTATATACGATGATCTTCCTGCCTCTGCGCACATGCACATGATATGTCACACTTGATTTATCGTGTGTGAGAAATATCGGAAATAAGAATAGAAAGTCGTTTTTCAAACACCCACGCTATAACCGATACCTACTGTACTAGCAACTTAGCAATCATTGCCAATCAAACTAATTACTTCCAAACCAGGCACATCAGAGGTTTTCCGTCTGTGTTACATCATGCACTCAATACTTACAACTACAACACATCTTCTTGAAAGTAGAGCATTTGCAATTTAAGCCACAAAACAAACTATGCAGTCGTCAGCATCAATAATACAGGCACCGACATGGCCGTATTGAAAACTTACCAGGCACATTCTCTGTGTTCTCCGTGTTGCCACTAGTTTTCTCAGAGTTAGGTGGAAATTCTTCACAGCCGCCAATCATACAGATGATTCGGAAGTCAGTCAATCAAAGAGCATGTGTGAGGCAGAGGGGAGAAAGAGGGGGGGGGAATAGTAAAATGTATAGTTAGTATATTACACAGACAGAAAGAATTGTTCAATGGCCTCAGAGAATTGGAACTGCCCATGCATCTATGTTTTTCTGCAGTAGATGAAGGGATAACCGATAACTGAGACCTCAGTACAGGATTAGTAGAGTGTAATAATGCCCCTCCCAATATAATTATGACTTATCCGGCCACATGATCAGCAATGAAACAGACTGTGAATAGGTGATTGCAGAGAGCATGACGTGTGTACTGGTAATCTGAGGACGTGTCCAAGTGGAATGCTACATGCCATGTTAAGAGCAGGGCTTGCGCCGTGGGAGCTGTTTTACACTCACCATCAGCTTGTCTCCACTTGTTGCGTCGCTCGGCAGAAGTCTGCTGGTCTCTATAAACTAGCCTCCATATGTGTTGGGCACCGAGGCAAAGTGATATTTGTAGCAATACCTTCCTGCAGTGCGGGGTACAACAGCATATAAAGTACTTCCTCCGGAAACAAAAAAAACTTCGGGACATTTCTTTGACCTGCTAATAGAGAGATACTGTTCTCAAGAAATTTGGTTCAGTGCATGGAACAAAAAAACTTCAAGACAATAAGTGCATAAACCTTTTGAAGAATGCATGCTATTCCTAACTGAAAAGACGTTATGAAGAATCCTGGAAGGAGAGATAAAGACTGGCCCTGCTGTGTAAAACAGAGCACCGATAGTATATATAGTGGAAACATGCTTACCACATAGGATCAAGAGTATATAACCCCCAAGAGTGTGCAACTCTGCATATGGGGTCTCCGGCGGCGAAAACTCGCATCATGTGTCTCAGGTACGTGCGTACTACGTACAAACGAACGATAGCGTGCGCGCAATCTGAATATCTGCCATGATCATGCTGGGGGATTTGCGTACCTGCAGTGAGTTTCTGTCAGAGAGTGTTTTTTTATACTCCGCTGCTCGCTAAAAAGGGGCTGGAAACGTACAACTGCCACACTGCACCACGTGATGTGAGTTTTCGCCGTCGGCGTACACCATAGAAAGGGTATCAGGAGTTGCACACTCTTGGGGGGTTATATACTCTTGATAGGATCATAATCAAAAAGGACGAGAAGCGTGATTTTTGGTATTCTGATTTACAAGCTCGACTCTCACCTCTGATCATCTGGCATTCCTCCCTTAATGATCAATGACAAGGGCCTTTCATGAAATGTGTCTCCAGGTCGCAGCCAGGGAAACTCCTTGCCTAGCTGGAGTGCAAAGACTGCTTTCTTGCACAGCGGGTTCATGACAATGTTGGGGCAAATGTATGGCTGCCAGGGAAGGAGGGGAACATGCATCGTACACACACACACACACACACACACACACACACACACACACACACACACACACACACACACACACACACAATGCCGGGGTATCATCTCCTGTACGAACAAGTACAACAGTTTTAAAAGCGATCTCCACCAATCCCGGTGACTGCGCTGCAGTGGCTTACGCCAGACTTGGTTGATTATGACTCGGCTCTGGACTCTGTGTTTTGTACAAAACACAGAGCCATCTGTTATCTACACGCAAACATATTGCCATAAGCCACGACTCACGAGCATAAACACATGCATGCCGTGTGACATGCGTACCAAAGCCACTATCAGATATGGAAAGATTCCACTGCTCAAGGTCTCCAAGCCTTACCTTGATTTGACGTAGGACCCGTGCCAAGGGACTAGACGTGAGATCCTGAATATAGATGTCATATATCCAGTCTTCCTGTGGACCCTGATGGCATTCACACAGTGCAGGCAAAGTAGCAGAACACTCTCAGACACAATGCTGTGGCCTGGTCACGGTGCCGCCAGCCTCCAGCTGCGGCATCATAAATTCGGCACAGATGGCTCAGCGTAGAATATGCACAGAAAGCCAGGAACACCAGTGTCAGGGACTAGCAGTGCCTGTTTTGCTGAGCAAACACTGTGCCAGTATCTGCAGCACAGAGTGCACGCTGTGATGAAGGTATGAAGGAGCATTTCAGTTTATCACGAACAGAAATTCACCTACGCAGCTTTCTCATTCAGTCCACAGCTGCAAGCTGTTGAATGGTGCAATCCCAGCACAAGTTGCTATGGCTTCTGCTATAGCATCGCTATCATCGCCTCTGGTGATGGGCGTCAAATGGTCAAATGATGGGTGTGTGTGTGTTGGGGGGGGGGGGTGCGTGCGTGTGTGTGTGTGTTGTGCACATGTGTGTGTTTGTGCACATGTGTGTGTGTGTGTGTCTATGTGTGTGTGCGTGCGTTTGCATGTGTGTGTTTGTGCACATGTGTGTGTGTGTGTGTCTATGTGTGTGTGCGTGCGTTTGCATGTGTGTGTGTGCGTGCTGAGGTGCAGTGAATGTATCGGATTAACATAATTATACAACGGCAGATGTTGCTTGAACCACCATCCATGAGATGATGGATGGATGGTTGGGAGCTTCCGGTTACTGAATGTCTAACTTTCCATGCATGTATTCCAGCTCCGTCAAGGAAGGGCCGTCTGTATATCATCATACGTATACCAGGATGCTTACTACATATTGCTCTCGTGTTCCCACACGAAACCAAATGCAAAGCAGGCCTGATGTCTCTGTGCGCTCTGCGGCATATACAAGATCATCTCCCTCGGCCTGGTAATGTTCTTCGGCGTGTTGGATCACATGCTCCCAGTCCGAGTCCGAGGGATGGGCGCTTCCACTGTACCAGTTGCGCTCGTCACGTTTCGGCCGGAGGACTTCACGGTCGAAGGTCAGGCAGGTCTGGAAGTCGTAGGTGACTGGGATGGCCATACCCGTAGGGTCGTACACCAGTTTTGTCTGAGTGCACAACATGAATATTCAAGATCATAGAAGAAACAGGTACATGTATAACACGAGCAAGAATGAGTACAGCGAGGCTCTGGATATGTAAGAAATTACTAAGAATGCAGCGAGTGAACCGGATATCTGGGTCACCCGATAACTGTGTCATATCGTTAATGATTGCCCAAACGAATACCTCTTCCCAGGTGAAACTACGTGCAAGTTGAGGGATGGGGGGGGGGGGCAATACAATCTCAAGGAATTGCTTAGTATGTACAGAGTATATCTACTTAGGAGTAGTAGCATATCTACTTAGGAGTAGTAGTATATCTACTTAGGAGTAGTAGTATATCTACTTAGGAGTACCCTCTCACTCGTGTCTGTGAGCCTAGCATCGATTTAGCAATGCACAGTGTTCTTACACGATATCATGTGGCACCGCAACCCATTTAGCAAGCACCGGTGGCTTCATTCCTTACCCTCTTCTCTTTCCGTTGTATCGGAAGGCTAATCTCTCCATCGTAAACATAGTTCTTACGGCTACCCACCTGTAGCCAGATCGCACAAGGCAGACCACCGCGCACATAAGTATGTTACAGTATGTCACAGTACTACATGTACAGTAGTACACTAACACAAGTAAAAAGAGAGCATAGAATTGGGATGACATGGAAATGTAATATAACCTGCAAGCCTGCACCGGTATGTGCAAAGGGGTGCTGGGCGGTTGGGAGATGGAAGAGAGGTACATACCACTGTGGTTTGGGCTATCGTTGGGTCGTAGCTAGCTCTTGTACAGAGTGTGAGGCTGGAGAAATCAAGGGTCAGAGGTACATTACCTGCAGCTCCTGCATCATTTCATCCCAGGTGAGCGGAGGATACTTGGCACGTTTCTCTTTGTAGCCATTGAGCTCTCCTCGCAGTTTATTGCGGAATTTGGCCATATCGCTACGCACTTCTTTCTTAGTCCTGTAGTCCACTGGTGGCTTGTAATGGCCGTACTCTGTTTTTTCTATCTCCGGTCGGTTGATGTTGCCAATCCGAATACCAGGGTAGCCCAACACACCAGCGGCGTACGGGGTCATTCCGCAGCGCTTGAAGAGATAGTCTTGCTTGGCCAGCGCCGAGGTAAACGCCACTATCTGACTCTTGGACCACGCCGCTCGGTCTATACCCCACTCTGGCTGCACCGTGGACTGTTTTTGCCGGCTGCCGGCACTCGACCTGTGAGATCTGTTTCCACTCTTCTTGGCTTGCAGACCTTGACCGGCTGAGTGACTTAAATCAGGTCGCTGACTAGTAGCATTTTCTTTGCGGGTGCTGCCAGCAGCAGCATTGCCCCTGTCATTACCAGGACTAGTCTCATCAAGGTTATCATCCACGCTCCCGATGTTGTGGGCCTTGCGAAAACGATCGATCTGATCTAGGCGGCCATCGTGTTTCATTCTGGCCACGTACTTCTCTGGATTGCGACATGGCAGGACAATGGGCCTTGGGTGGTGTTGACCTGCAACACCAGTGCACGAGTACAGAGAGAAGTATAGAAAACCGTCGATCAGTGACCAATCACAACAACATACATGTACGATTCACCATGGATGACATGATGTCATTGCCAGAAAACAATGATTTCACAGTCATCCTTGAACACAGAAAAACACAGTTTGTGCCCTTGATGCCTTGTTTTGTCACAGTACTCTGTCCCACACCAGAAAATACTCGCCGTTGTCCCTATGCTGCTGCACCAAGGTCATCCTAATCTCTAGATCGTCGCCGTCATTCATCGGTGTATTGATATTTCACAGCCATAATCCCCACACCGACACGTTGCCCAACACAGGACCATCTGCAGATCGCTACCATGCCAACATACACTTTACATTGATGAAGACAGGGCTATAATCATTGACAAGTATCCGATTGGAGCTCTTCGTAACTGAAAACTAGTTGTTGATAAAACCACTGCATTCACTACCTAGCAATGCCGGTTTGTAGTGGACACATTAATCATATAATACCTCTAGTTCGTTTGTTGGGTACAGGCTGATGGCCCAGTGCCTTATCTTGCTCTTCAGTAGCCGCCGGTGCGGTCCTAATGGATTTTTCACAAAGTACAACAAACACGTCAACCAAGGTAGTTATCAGGTATTCACAGTGGTAAGCAAGACATCGTGGGCAAGCAGCTGAGTAACTTTCCAGTATGCTTCTCTGTGAACAACAGGCTTGGAAATGTCCCTTTTCCTTTTCTACATGGCTGTGGGATTGGTATAATGATTAATGCGGGTAATACTGACAGGCTCTTAGAACCGGCCTGGTCAGAGGGTAGTGTATACTATTGTACCCCTCCCTTGCCACCAACAACAACTTTGTCATATAAGCTGAGGCAGCACATTCGCTTGCGTAACTTTGGATGTTATACGTGAGGTCAAGCTTGGAAAACTGGCCCACCCGTGCCCAACCACACACACAACAAGCTGATGGCATGCACAGTCGTGAGCACAAAGCCTGATCTGATTTGCGCCGGTGGAGCGGTGATCAAATAATTTATGGTGATCAGGACCACTGGAGAGAATTTATGATTGGTTCGGCCATACCTTACAGTCCATTCACAAAAAAGATGGGCCCTGGCTCTGGCGAGCTCCCGTATTAGGCGATTTTTCAAGATTTTATCGTACACAGTGCATGCAGTGCTGCGAAATTTGAAATTTGAAAAAGGGTTCAAAAAGGGTACCTGAACTGGGGTTCGAACCGTACAATGCACTGTTGCAGGCAGGGTCAAACGGCCTGGATTTTGATGGATTTTCCCAATTCAGTGCTCTTGGGGCAAAACCTGGCCGAAATCCTATTCTTGCTATGGCTTGCTTTTTGGGCAAATAGACTTCAGAAACATAATTGGAAGAGGATTCCATAGGGGATTGCAGAAAAAAATTCTAAAAAAACTCAACGTTTGACCCATTTATGGCCAAAAGCTAGAAGTCCATCTTTTTCTGAATGGACTATAGTCTTTCAGTATTTGTGCGTATGATATGGCAGCGGCAAATAATAATTATGACTTCCTTAGCAGTGTACACGTGTTCAGTAGTGGTCAAAAAGTTGGTCTGGTGATGACTTGACCAACCGGACCAGGTCCCGGGCGGGCCTGGTGATGTAGCATGATGAGTGTTGTTGTTGTTGTTGTTGTTGTTGTTGTTGTTGTTGTTGTTGTTGTTGTTGTTGTTGTTGCTGTTGCTGTTGCTGTTGCTGTTGCTGTTGCTGTTGCTGTTGCTGTTGCTGTTGCTGTTGCTGTTGCTGTTGCTGTTGCTGTTGTTGTTGTTGTTGTTGTTGTTGTTGTTGTTGTTGTTGTTGTTGTTGTTGTTGTTGTTGTTGTTGTTGTTGTTGTTGTTGTTGTTGTTGTTGTTGTTGTTGTGCTTTTATTTATAGTCGTTCGAGTGTGGTGGAGATTCATAGACAGATCACCACCATACCTGATTTGGTGTGTTGATTCCTTGGCATGACTGGCATTCTGTTCAACGTCTTCTTGTTTTGTTTGCTGCTGCTGCTGTTGCTGCTGTTGTTGTTGAACCTGAGCAGGAGCTGTTTTGACAGACTGTCTACCAGCGGCATTGTGCAATGGTCGTGCTCTTCCACCCGTCAGCCCTCGCCGCAACAGTGTTGTTGTGGCTGGCTGTTGTCTTCGGCCATTGCTCAGCCCTGCCGTCTGCAGAACATTTAAAACAACGACACTCGTGACAATCGTTCAGATGTTTCAATGCTTGCAGTATAACTTGAAAGACGTTTACAGAATGCCTTCTCCCAGACTCCATGCATCACATGCATGTGGGCACCTAACACTTCAGACTCCCATCCAGACAAGGTGACATAGTCATTGTAGTTGTACAATGTACTGTGGATACGCCAATCTCGTCATGTATACAATGATTATAGGGGTATCATTTTTTCCCAACATCGTTATCAGTCGTGTTTGTGGGAGAGCAATATCCTCTAACAGTAACACAGCGCTACTGGCGGCGGAGCGACTTACCGTCTTCGCTCTTGCTGTGCTTTCTGCTACTGGTGCCAGTGGTGTGGCTGATTTGCCCACGACCTTCATGTCGGACCAAGCAGGCGGCAGCTGTACATTACCCGACACACCACCGTTGTGATTGAACACGACTCGTCGATCATTTGATGGCTTCCGCGTGGCCCAGGTGTTCTTGGATCTGTTGACCGGCATGTTGATTGTTCGTGACGCGGAAGCTGCCGCTTGGTCCGTAAATTGACGGACGGAACAGTGGAGTCTGTCGACACGCGCGTTGAGATCGAGCGGAGGGTGAGGGTGACGATTCCTCTTCGGTACAGTAGTCCCGACTACCACTGTACCAGGACTCTGTCACCAGGTCACTGGGCCATGGGGACGATGGGGTGAGTCGGATTTCGATCTTGGACTTGGAGCAACGCCAGTCTTTACCGACCGATGATAGACCAGGCCGGGAGACTACAGTTTGTCCGTTCTTCGGCATTTGCGACGCTCCCACCATGCCGTGTACCAGTGTGTACGTGTGCAGGTGTGTTATGTGCTTTTGTGCGCGTGCGTGTGTGCTTGCGTAGATCTCCGCGCTCCGTCTGCTTACCGTTTGCCGCTGGTCGACCAGCTAGATACGTATACAATCATGTACATGTAGTATGCCCTTGCCGGCCATGCCCATGCCCGGGCCATGGTCTAGACACTGAGTCTGAGTCAGAGCCATACCAAGAACTCAGTTCTGAAGAAGACGAAGAGTAACCCCAGACCTGGCCGGGGTTCTCTTGCTCATTGTACAGTGTTGTAGATCCAGCAGCAGCCACCGACCGTGTTCGCTTGGTTTGGGTAGGGTGGTTGGACCGCGTACCGCGTTTGGGTCAACCCAGGGTGCAACTGCAAGGCGCTACAAAAGGCTGCATGTGTGTCGTCACGTGACCTAGCTCGTCAGCAACTCACACGTGGCTGCACGGCATGTGTAAAAATCCCAATCCTTTGTCCTTTTCAAATTTTTGTTCTGTGCATTGTATTGTTCATTGTCAGAGCCGAGCAGTAATTTATTACTCGAAGTAAGTTTAGTTCAATTTCTTTTCTTTGTGGCCTTGCTCATCGAATAATCAAATTGATGAATTAGTCTGGTGGTGTAATACATCTGTGCTGATGTATCGCTGGTGGCCGCGGTGTGGATTCAGCGCAGTTATTGTGCTTCTGCTGCAATGGATAAGCACGAGCTCTGGAAATATGGAGAAAGTGAGGACGAAGCATGCTGAGGAATTGCACTCGACGCTTGGCCTGGAAACGCTAAGGCCATTCCACGTGCCTATACACGTAAACCTTGTCTTCATTGGATTTGACTCGAAGCAACAACACTCTGTATCCGTCTCAACTGAGCAGCTAAAGAAATTGCTTGAGCCAAGTGTTGAAGACGACAGCTTTTCTTTCAAGCACTCCTACTTTCTCGCTAACGAGTTCCTGTCTGCTGGCCATAAGCCTAAGGATGGACATGTAGCGGATGACATCATAATGGACATACAAACACAAGTTGTGGAGCTTGCACCACTAACACATATGGCCATGGAAGCAGCACTGAAGACGTTTGTCCGCTTGGAGGACAAGACAAACGGCCGCTCTTACCAGCTGGATGCGGACAAGATGGGAAGTTTGCTAGAGAGCCTGCTCCATGCCACTAACCTCAGTGACTATTATACACTGTTCATAATCAACCCTGGTGAGTGAACTACATGCTTCACAATCCATACCCATGTCAAACAGTGGTGGGCTGGGTACTACTCCATACACTTACTGACATGCCCCTGTGTACGAATTCAAGGGCCTTAAGGCCCATTCACAATATGTGACATACAGTGCTGCCAAATAATTTTCGCCCAAAATCGGACGCCCAAAATCGCCAAGGCTGGCCACATGGTGCAGATTATTCTTCTCGGCAAATTTTTTCCAGAGAATTCAAAATATCGTCCAAAATACCAAGAAAATTCGCTTCATTGCCATGGTAACCGATATGGCACCCCAAAATTGTCGTGAATTTTGTAATGCATGAGTATGGTCACACACATGCCATCCAGGCGTGTTACTTTGCCCTTCCACACCCTAGCGCTAGCCTTTTTAGAGGCACATGTACAGTGATTTGTGCCTTCAGTTGCACTGAAAAGTGAAAATACAGGACTTCTGCATAGGAAAGTACTGATCCCTGACATTTTTGGCTGCTTTTCGGACGTTTCCTTTTTCGGACCGGTTTTCGGAAGAGCCTTCAAAAATCGGACGGTTTGGCAGCACTGGACATGCAACACTTGCGACAAGGAAATGCCTGTCGCTAACAGACGCAAGGCCACTGTCGCAGAAGTTGACCAAAGTTCAACTTCTGCAACTTGCGATGTGCGGCGTACATAAACGGAGTACTGTCTGTTTTCTACTCTGGGTGCACGTGCAGTTCATGTGGATAGTACAGTCTTGCTCTATAAAATCCAGTCGCGTAACTCAAGTTTGCGCCTTGCATAATTTCGCTGCCCAGTGTTCGCAGGTCTAGGACTGCGCAACGCCCGGCGCGTACTTGAGTAACGCGACTGGATTTCATTGAGCGGCACGGTACATGCACTGCATAGGGATGAGGCACTGTACATGCACTGCATAGGGATGTCGCAAAAACCAACAAGATACATGTACATCTAGCGAATCGTGTATTGCGGTCACAGCTCGTCACAGGTGTCGCAAGTCGCATCTCGCGTCGCAAAAAGCGATATTGTGAATGTGCCCATACTGTCTGTCAGTCACTGTCTGTAGTCCTATTCCTGCATAGCACGTGTGCACATGAGTGAGTGTGTGTGTGTGTGTGTGTGCATTGAGGACTAAACCATAGGTTACTGCATTCCACAACTGTAAGATCTGATGTTTTTTTTTCTCTTTTAAGACGATGGGTGCATACATGTACTGTGTATTGGTCTCAGTCCACTATGTGAGTCTGGTCTTTTATGACCTTTTCTTGGAGATTCTGCCGGGGCAAAAGCCAACGAGAACACATACGCAAATGTATTTGGGTATGAACCTGTCATCGGATATTTGGCGGGACATTCAGAGCATTTTATATGCAAGCATGGTTTTCTTGTACAGGTCGTCCCTCTTTAATACATAATCTCTGGGACTTGACAAATGTTATGTATTAACGGGGTTTATGTACTAAACGAAAGTGTACATAACTTGCTTGTGTACCGGAATTTTTCACTTTTTTCAACTTTTCTGAGTGTTTCTTGCTACCTCGACTAGGCAGCGAGATATTCTTGATTCCCTCGATATAACATAAAAATTATGTTATAACGGTCACAGTTAGCGAAGATTCTACAGTTTACATTATTATTATTATTATTATTATTATTTATTCTTCTTTTACTAGGGAATTCCCAACAGGCGTCAGCGCCTTTTTACAGGGAACCCTAGGTATAATTTGATGGATGAGCGAAATTCAGCTGGTGAACTAGACATGCGGCAAGCCGGTGGAAGTGTATTCCACCTGGCAGCGCCCAAATAAGAAATTGCACTAAAGCCATATCGGGTGTTAGCGGGGGGCAGAACAAGAGCAGCAGAGACTTGGGCACATGATACATGCCCAGCCGCGCCTGTACAGTCACTCGGAAAAAAACAGAGCTTTGTCGGTTTGTGATGTGCGCTCTGGTTTCTGAGTTAATTGCGTCCACAAGTAAAAACTAGAACACGATGTGCCTCCACTGGAAGGCCAAAAGACCAACAAATTATGTACTATTGAGGTAGATGACATGCGGGTACGGAGAAATGTTATGTACTAACGGGGTTTATGTACTAACGAATTATGTACTAACCGACAAAATTTGTATGGAAATGACCACGTTTCGTCCGGGACTTGAGATTTCTTATGTACTAACCGGACTCGTATTAACGGGGGACGACCTGTAGTAGGACATGATCTAGATGGTTTACTCTTTGAGGAATGGCAGCATACATTATTGAATTTATTGTACATGACCACGGGTGCTCTTTTTGCTACATACCCGTAGATCGTTCCATGGTTGTGCCAGAGAGGAAATACGGGTACCGAACTGGCTTTTCTGCGTCGGAAATCCACCAGCTGTTCCAGGAGCAGTTGATGGATCGTCCTGTCATCGGACCGCTACGCGAAGATGAGATCACGGACGACTTTCCGCAAGACCATGATCCTGACCATGAAGCAGAGGCTATCACTCAGACTAGTGCCAGGTAAGTTTGCTATGCAGAGACAAGCAAAGCATGGCTGAAGTACATGTACATGTACATGCTTTGTGCATGATGCTGGTCTGTGTGTTCCTTTGTATTGGCAGGGCGGGCTCCATGTCTCCAGAAGGCCTTTTACAGTTTACTAGCACTGCATGCATACGGAATATGTACGTTTGACAGCATCTTGTATCCATCACGCTTACATACATACCTGGTTTCTCCCTAAACCCGATCTTTTTTTTTATCAGAACCCTAATTCTGTTGTGCATGTGAACTACTCTTGATTGTGGCATCGTGTTCGTGTGTCCTCTAGGAAATTCCAGTCACTCAACTTGCGTGAAATACGCTCTGCTTCTGAAAAGTGGGCAAGTGACTTTCTCATCCTGAATCGTGATGTGATCAAGGCACGAGAGAAGGCGCTGCAGTCAGGAAGGTGAGGTTCTCCTTACAGTTAGTTATACCGTAAAATCCCGCCAGAGCGCCCGTACCTCCTCGACGCTTCAGGTGGGGAGGGGCGGATGGGTGAGTCCTACTTACCGCATTCAGCACTACATGAAAACGTACTCACCCTATGAAAACTATTCGTGCATCTCGTACACCGACCAAAGGTCAAAACTCAGGGTTTGTGCGATCCCTGGTCATTGCAAGAGGGTGGGCACTGTTGCGTACATTTCCAACGGGGTCGAGCACGTGTCTGCAGTACAGTACCGCATCACAGAGTCATACGAGGATACAATCAATCACTTCCCTGACACGAAGTCAGGGAGGGGCGGATGGGAGAGACGGGGCGCTCTGGCGGGATTTTACGGTAGATGCAAGTAATAGTGCAGGTGTGAGTGTGGAGTTACTCCAAGTCAGTAAGCAAGAAACCGAATAAATAATCATCACACCCTGCTTCACAAGCCATAACTTCAGTGATGGAGGAAAAACAAAGGAAGCCGTGTGAAAGATGTGTGTATATGTGTGTGTGTGTGTGTGTGTACGTGTGTGTGTGTACGTGCATGTGTACGTGCATGTGTACGTGTGTGTGTGTGTGTGTGTGTGTGTGTGTACGTGCATGTGTACGTGCATGTGTACGTGCATGTGTACGTGCATGTGTACGTGCATGTGTACGTGCATGTGTACGTGTGTGTGTTTGACTGTTTGTGTACATGCACATATACATGAGTGTGTGTATTGTGTGGCCCTGTTTTTATTCCTGTTTGTATCCCAGGCCAGCAGAGCAGTGCGGTCAGTCCGAGACCATTGTGCTAAAGGATGCAAACGACATGGCCAGTGAGGGTGGTCACGCCACCGCTGATGGTGCTGCTGATGGTGCTGCTGATGGTCATGCACATGCGCATGGTGATGGCCATCGTATCAATGTCCAGTACAATGTCTCTGCCGTTCAGGTCAGTCACAACCCCGAGTCATTTCTCAGTCTCACATCTTAAACTTCTGGTGTGCTCACGAAATGTTGCAGCATGTATGTACCAATCATGGTAGCCAACCCTCCTAGGGTAGGTACTGGAAATGTAGTGTGTGTGTGTGTGGGGGGGGGGGGGGTTAAGGACTCTAAAACAAACCCTGAAGTATGGTGTGAAACATGCGGTGCTGGCTTGCAGATGGCGCGTCATATTCGGCAGTCTGGCTCGGACGCCGAGAAGCAATACCTTGACCTGGTGTTGAATAAAGGTGAGCACTGAGGCTGCTCATTCATGTTGAGACCTTGTAAGGAACTCCCTCGTGTGTGCTGTTGATGTGTGCTACTTGCAGGATGATCATGAATGATCTTGTATGGAAGATACTGTGCCAGACATTAATTCACTCTTGGATTGTACTAGTAATATGAGATGCACCAACTCAATATGAGCACATGTATATGATGCAGACAACGCGTTGGGTTTCACGCTATCTGGCCTATCATATGGTTCCTCAATGTGAGGGTTTTGAATGGTTGTGGACATTTGCTTTGACTACGATCATGACTGTGTGTGTGTCTGTGTGCCCAGGACCGGAGGCTGTGCGTGAGAATTGCATGTCCGATGTGTGGCAGTCTAGGGGCAGGTAGGGTAGATGATACATGTACTCACATTTGTAAGCATCTGTGCTTGAAGTGATACTATCATTGTCTTTTCCCCTGCATAGGGTCTTTGTTGTAGCAGTTGAGGTGTTAGGGATGGACATTCACACCATCCCATACATCCACTGACATTACCTGTGACCTAAGCTAAGTACGCGAACCCGTCGAATTTATTTTATTTATTTTTTAAGCTGAGAGGTTGTCTACTGGGTGTGAACTATAGCCCTCAGCTTAGCAAGTGGGAGTCTTAGGGGTACTAGTACCCTGTTGATGTATGTGATGTGATGTGAAGTTCTTACGCCTAAAAGCGCACCGTTCTCGCACCTGCACAGCATGTGTTTGGTGCCATGGACTGCAGTATAAATACCTGGCCGTGAACTGCAGTGCTTCATTCAAAGTTCACAACTTCAAAAGGATGCTGCAAATTGCCTAGGGTTGCTCCAGAGTTACTTTTCAATGATTTAGACAAAGCAATAGACATTAGGCGCTCTTCTGACTGAAGTTTTGTGTAATTTACATACTAGGTTTTGCCCCTTTTTTCGTACTTTCTTTGTCCTCGCTTTGCAGGTATGCCTGGATTGATTTTGGTGCTGGCCCGTTCAACCGTGGCACTCCTGTGAAACAGGATGCCACTGTCAACACTGAGCAACGCCTATCCAGACCCGATTCTCACGTCCATGGCAAGAGGGCTCGGACGGATATCATCTCGTACTGGACCGAGTTCTGCCAACGCCGCAGAGGTGCGACTCGGAGCTTGCTTTTTTTGTGTGCTATTCATCCAGTCTTGTTTCTTTGCAGTAAAAGTCTGCCGTAGTGCCTTTGGTTGTCTCCAGAAGAGTGTTGGGTTGTCGTTGCAGTGTGAGTTTGTTTGAGGGAGCGGAGTGTTGATGACCATGTCGTGTTGTTGAGATTTGGAGGATCCTTTTTTCCGCGTACATGCCCCTCTATGATAGTTCAATAGCTGTCCTTTTGAGAAACGTGCGATTACTTGGTACACTGTTGTTAATAGTTCTGTTCTACTGCAAGTCAATAAATATTTGTTTTGCAAGGTTCAGTGTGACAGTGGATACAGGCAGCAGCAGTGCAGGCCGAAATTCTGATGTGGGCCAAAATGTGTTCTAGCACTGGAGGTTGAAATTTACAGGAGCCGAAAATTTAAATTTGAGCCGAAAACTTGTAGACTTAGAGTATTACCGATCTTAGCAGTTGTGCGGTAGCAGTGACCATGTATTGGCTAGGACATTCTATCCTGTTTTTATCTGCGTGTTCTGCTTGTTCTGCGGACAATTTGAACCCGGTTTTTTGTTTTTGTTTTCTTCTAGATGGTGCACTGTCTGACGCGGAAGCTGAACTGTGCGAATCCGTGCATGCCCTGAAAATTGATCCGCTGTTTGGCAAGGTTGCGCTGGATGCACGCCATGGCCATGCCAAGGCTGCAGAACACCCCAGTTCTGACGATGTGTAGGTTGTTTTGTTAAATGTTGGATGCACGCCATGGCCATGCCAAGGCTGCAGAACACCCCAGTTCTGACGATGTGTAGGTTGTTTTGTTAAATGTTGTGTTTTTTTCTGGATTCACTTAGCCTTGTATGCGGTGGTTTGTTCATACGGGGACGATTTTCAGAAAGGCTACATATAGTCAACCTGTGAATGTATATATGTATACTACTTGATTCTCTCCCAGTTGATCACTCCGTCTCTCTGTCCTGTGTGTATGTGTGTGTCTGTGTGTCCATCTTTCTGTCTGTCCGTCATTCCAGCTTCAATGTATTCCAGAAGCATCTGAAGGTCACAGTCCAGACATCCCTGCGGCATCTGCTTGTGAGACCCGTTGGTGTCTTCCACCAGTTTCACCATGCGTACGTAATGTGCTATTGACTGCATTGTTCCTCGTCGTCATAGTGCTGTTTTTAATATTGCAAGTTGATAGGTTTGTCATAGTGCCATTGATCGTGTACTGGTTTGCTCACATCATTGATTGGACGGAGCTTGTCAGGCCATGGGCCTATTTATGTGATAAGTTGCCTTCTTGCCAAGCTGTTAACGCTAGAACAATGTGCTAACTCTGCTGTTACCTAGAGCTGACATGTGGGGTGGTGGGAGGTGGGAGGTGGGAGGTGGGTATGGTGAATATGACTGTGAGGTGGGTATGGTGAATATGACTGTGAGGTGGGTATGGTGAATATGACTGTGCAGGTTACCCTATGTGATTACTCATTTCACTCGGATTATGTTTTTCTTCCGCTGAGCATTCTCTTCTGGTGTATCATCCTGTAGGCATATCTTCAGCAAGGCGCCCGTTATCAAGTTTCACTTCTACATCACTGCCGACCATAACTCCTTCCGGCCCACCGACATCTCGCAGGGTGCAATTGACCTGATGGCCTTCCGGCATGAAATGCGGAAGTTTGCGCTGCCCAGCCATGAGTTCAAGTATGTGTGTTGTGCAGTACTGCTCTGTGCTTGAGAATCTCATTAGTGTCCCACTGGTGTCCCATTGGTGTTCCATTGGTGTTCCTTTGGTGTCCCATTGGTGTTCCATTGGTGTTCCATTGGTGTTCCATTGGTGTTCCATTGGTGTTCCATTGGTGTTCCATTGGTGTCCCATTGGTGTTCCATTGGTGTTCCATTAATGTCCCATTGGTGTTCCATTGGTGTTCCATTGGTGTTCCATTGGTGTTCCATTGGTGTCCCATTAGTGCCTCACTGATATCACATTGTCACCAGTGTACCGTATTCCTTGGAGCTGCCCTTGCAAGTCTAGCAACTCAGGCATGCAGTGCACGGGACACTCACATGTTGTCGCTGTTGGTATGTTCACGAGGACGAACTTCACAAGCTTTTACTGTTCCTTTCCTTGGCGTGTGTTAGAAGGTTGGGTTAGGAACTTAGGATTGCTCTTTGTGCATTGTTCTGCTGCGTGGCCAGCTGGTGAACATGTGTGCCGTTCAATAGCGGGTTGTGTTGTAATGTTAGGTTGCATTGTGTTGTGCTGTGATCGGGTGTCTCCGTAGGTTTCATATTGCTCACTTGGAGAAGAAGGACGTGGAGAACCTGTGGCAGGCAGTGCATGCCTCCGTACTGGACGTTCAGGACTTTCACGGCAGCCAGTACGGCCGAGTTAATGCCACCAACTTGGCATCCGAGGTATGTGCTTACTTTATGCATGGATATGTTAGCTCTGGCCGAGGTGGGTGGTTACTTTGTGCGTGGTAAATGTTAGCTCTGGCCTAGTACCGGTAAGCACAAATGGCCACAACTTGATCTGAATGGTTAACAAAGTCCAGAACGAACTAAAAGACCATAATACAGCACAGTATGTGACCTTGTACAATGTACTTGGCTATTAGAGCCTAGCTTTACTGTATCCCCGGGCCTAGTGTAATGCAATTCCCAGAATAATTATTGGTGTGTTGTCCTTTTCTTTGCTGTAGGTCGCCAAATGGATGGAGGGAAGGGGAATTCAACATGGTGAAAATATCTTTGAGGCAAGTTAAAACTGCTGTATTGATCGACGTAGCTGTGGGTGTGTGAAATGTACAGTCGATACCTACTGGCTATAATGCTGTTGATGGAGATAATCAGCCATGATACAAACAATGTAGCCAATATATACTGATATATCTGTACTGATGAGGCCTAGATGGCTGAAACAGCTTGCTGTCTACAGCATTGGGTAGCGAATATCTACTGCACATGTGTACTCGTGTATAGAGAGATAGCAATGCAACTGTGTACTGTGCCCGTATATTGCTGTGTGCACGGCGTTTCCGTAATGAGATGGCAGTTGACTTTCTACTTGTGTGTGCATTGCTCAGTGCTCTGTAATGTCCATGGTGTGAATACATGTGTGTGCTGCTGTTGCTGTTACTGCTACCACCACTGGCCGGCTGCTGCTGCGTCTGGTGTATCTGTTGCTGCCCTGCAGATACCTATATTCTTGTTCTCAGTGGCGCGTAGCATTCCTCTGATGTTTGATGGCGCCAGCCAGACAGTTACTACAGGTGGAGCTATTGTTGCATTCCAGTCTCACCACCACACTGTAAGCACATGGCTGTACTGGACTGTGTACTGTGTAGTGGACTGTGGACTGTGGACTGTGTACTGTGTACTGTGTACTGGACTGTGGACTGTGTACTGGACATGTATGTGTATACAGCCTGTAGGTATATTATACCTACAGGGGAACGCTGACTGAAAAGATGGACGATCATCTACTGTCCAGTTTCTATCTAATGTTGTGGTCTGGTTGCATTGCACATGTTGTATAAATAGATCCTTTTTATCATGTACATGGTATTCCTCACACGCACATTTTTAAAGTACAAGGAAATCTTTCACTGGAACTCCATGTCTACTCAAAGTCTCTTCAAGCAATCATTGGGCAATTGCCCTCTGGAACTGATGTTGTTGTTGCTGCTGTTGTTTCCAATCTTTATTCTCACGATAGCCAGTGGCCAATAAGAGATGTTGTTGTTGTTTGAATTCTTTTATTCTCACGATGGCCTGTGGCCAATAAGAGAATTGTTGTTGGTGTTGTTGTTGTTGTTCATGCTACCAGTACCCCACTGGCTACTCGTGCAATGGTCAGCCTATAAAGCGCAGTCTGCGCAACCCGCTCAAGGCAGTGCTGTCCGCAGCGGCCATGTACCTGACTGGACTCATGCCTGACCATTACTCATCACCACAGGTACTGTGAATCACCATGCACCTTTTTAAAAGCCACTGCAAGCTCCTGTGCAGTTACCCATCTTTCAGGACGCTTGTCCACTTCAACTGCGTGTCCTCCAACACCCCCCCCCCCTCACACACACACACTCTCTCATACTCATACTCCTGCCCATCACTGAAGCGATGATAGCGAACAAGCTATGTTAGACATAGCAACTTGTGCTGGGATTACACCATTCAATAGCTTGCAAGGCTGATGAATTGACCGCGACTAATTTTAGCCTGGTCTACACCACACGGCTGGTTGAAGCGGCTTTTTCTGGCCAATAAATCCCTATTTTTCTTTTACTTTTTCTTCTTTTTTCACACACACACACACACACACACACACACACACACACTACCGTTTACTGTATAGCAGCTGCACGCTCGCCGTCGTTTGAGTGCCCTGCATTGCTTATAGCTACAGTAGTGGTTGTTCTCAAACTCTTTCATACATTACTGGTTTTTCCTTGTTGTTTTGTTGTATTAGATGCAAGAGGATATAATCCGCGTTGACCACCTCTGGTCAGTCGGTGACTCACCGCTGTCAACGACATCCGATAAAGCTCATTTCTCAGCGCTGCACCGTGATCTGGCACACCGCCAGACTGCCGTTCTTATCGCGCAGGTATGGGTGTGTACGTGTGTGTTGTGCCCTGGGAGGCCGAAACTTGAATGGTCCGAAATTTTTTAGACGTACAGTATGTTGAACAATGGGATGCTAGAGAGAGGTTTCTACCAGCAAGAGAACCCTGTAGTAGTGTGCTGGTTGATATGCAATACGATTTGGTAGGCCGGATGATGCTGTTACATCTCCACCAAATAGAGTTTTGACATTGCTCAAGTACTGCTCTTTCAGTCGAGACTTATTTTGGCCCTCTGCCTCACTGTGTTGTACGTGATTCCTGCTCTGTTGTTGATATAATAATTTTGTTGTTGCCCAGTACGCTTTGGACAATCTGTATACGTCGCTGGATATCCTAACAGAACTGCAGGGTGTGGTGTCTTTGAAAGAGCTTGCTAAAGGTATGCCAATGTTTCAGGTTGTCTATGTAACGTTGGAGTGCAGCTGAGGAACTCCCGAGTGCAGCTTTCTAATAGTCGTCGAAAATGGTTGTGATTTTTTTCCGGTCCTGAACAAGTTCCACTTTTGCAACTTGTAACGTACATCAATGCAGTACAGTTTACTTGGCTGGATGCATGTGCATGTACAGTAGACTCGTACGCCCAAGAACGTCCAGGCTGGAAATCTAAGAACGCCCCAGCCTGGATTTAAGAACGAACTCCAAGATTTTTAAGAACGCGACGTTTTTTGGTATTGCACGTTTCTGTATCAGAATGAGACGTGATATTTGAGCGCCGGTTTGTTTTGCAAGCGGATTGCACCTTTATGATCTTGTCCGAGTACACGAAAAACAAGTCCGCAACCACAAACTCTTGTCGGGTCCTCGCGAAAACATCACACAGTGCAGCGCTACATACTGCACTACACGTGCATGTAAAGTGTACAACCGGTACATGTAGCGCAAAGTGCATTGTACATGAGCGTCACGGGTCATGTAACTGTTGGACGCGTAAGAACGCGAAATAAGAACGTAGCCTGGGGTGCTGAAAAATAAGAACTTTGCTAGGCTGGCCCTCTGAAACCGCGTTCTTGGGCGTACGAGTCTACTGTACTATGCTGGATGCATGTGCATGTACTATGCTGGATGCATGTGCATGTACTATGCTCGGTGCATGTACTATGCTCTGTGCATGTGCATGTACTATGCTCGGTGCATGTGCATGTACTATGCTCGGTGCATGTGCATGTACTATGCTCGGTGCATGTGCATGTACTATGCTCGGTGCATGTGCATGTACTATGCTCGGTGCATGTCGCGAATCGCACATCGCATCGGAGAGTGTATTGTGAATCATGCTTTATAACGGTTAGTGGATGTTAGAGTAAGTCGATTACTATGTACTGTGAAATTGGTATTTTGGCCCGTCGTGAAACAAATGGTACACAACACAATATCGTTTGGTACATCTGTCTCTACTTTCGTGCATCTTCTGATCCTTGGCAGATGAATCGTGGCGGTCCACATCGACACTGTACAATAAGTGTCTTCAACGCCTGCGCAAGGGACTTGCTCAAGTTAGTTTGTGCCACTTTACGCTCCATACTGCTTGCACTATTGAGCAGCATAGTTTGCAGTAGCAGGTAGATGGTAGCTGGTAGATGGTTGACGTTGATTGATCATGACATGTAGTGCACGGACATTTCTTCACCACTCTTGCATGCACTCCTTGTAGGGTCATCAGTTCTATTTGTGCTCTATATGTATGGCCTGTGTGTGTGTGTGTGTGTGTGTGCATGTGTGTGCATGTGTGTGTGTGCGTGTGTGTGCGTGTGTGTGGGTGTGCATGCACGCGTGTCCATGTGTAGGTTAGCAACATGGACATACCTGGCAGTATGAAATCGCTGACAGGCGCACTGCACTATGCCTCTACATTCCAGCACTCTGTCAAGAGACTGGCAACACCGCAAGGTATGTCCCATCCCATCTTCCTTTTCCAGACTGTTAGGTCCTGTCATCAGGCACGTACGCAGGGTCACCTCTAGGGGGGTTTCCAACCGAATCCCAAACAATGAGTTTCAGCCCTTTCTAAAGAGCCCTATAATTGAAATTTTCAATGCATTTTCGTGTTGTTTGGATCAGAACTTCAGTTCTATTCACTCAATCTTCACTATCTTGGGCTTCCTGGAAGTGGAAAGGTACCCGAGAGAGAATGAGGTCGACCATGATAGCCAGGACACAGTACAGGCATGTACATATCCAGCGCTATAGCGGTAGAGTGCAGCAACGGTGCAAAAAATGCCCCAAGTGGCAAAGGCCCAAACGCGTCCTGCTCCAGCGATTTTGTGTTTCTTGATCGCAGAGTTTCGATTTTTTGCTGTGTACTCTTGAAAATATCACAAGTGAAGCCCCTGCAAATTAATGTGAGCAAGTCAGCGTGACAAAAAGTCTCAAATTTTCAATACTCAAGTCAACAGGACCCCCCACCCCTGCGTACACACCTGGTCATGAATATTGACATTTTTTCGACATTACGGGATGGGAGGGGTGTAATTTTGTTTCGAAAACATCGACACAGTCATAATTATTATCAGACTCGCATGGGATGTAGTCATGTACAGTGTAGAGCAAAGAACTTGAAAGAAGGTAGACACTGACAGGTACGGACACAGACAGGCAGGTAGAGTACTAGTCCTCCCCGATCGATGGTCCTGCACTAGTACAGTCTCGCAGTCAGAACACTGTATTATGCATGCTGCAAGTGTGTACACGTGTGCTTGGAATTCGGTGCCTTAGGGCGCGTTCAGACTACCGATAAAAAGTGACGGAATGGGAAAGTTTCCAAGGTGATTTGATCACGTGACGTTACTGGCACGCTACTGGCGGAAATTTTTACTGCCGCGGCTGCTGCAGCAGTAGAGCTTTTCCGGCAGTAAAGAGTGCTCAGGCTGGGAAAAAGGGAAAATCCCTTCTCAGTGCCGCGGTGAGAGCTGCTAAACGTACGTACCGGTAACGTTAGTTTATCACTAGTGTGAATGTCCTTCATGGTTTATCGCCTTTCACGGTTTGACGGGATTCACGGTAGTCTGAACGAGCCCTTAAAAGGCTTTTAAAATACATATTTTCGTTCTGGGGGGAGGGCCTAGGGGAGGGTTTGGGTTGAAACTAAATTGTTTTGCGAAAAGAATGTGGATATTTACAGCCAGTCCCTTTATGGCAAGCCGCATAGTAGCCAACAACATGGGAAGAAACAGCTCGCACGTAGCATATGGTGTTTACACGTTTGTACGCAGGTAGTAACTAAAAGCGAGGAAACTCCTGTTCAAGCCCGCACTGGTTGCGACTATTCTGCCGCCAACAATCCGGACCCCCTGTGTCCATGTGGAAGGGGTGTTGGTCATGTTTATGTTGTTATTATTATTCTTTATTCTCACAATGCTGTTGCTCATGTTGACTGTTGCTCTTACAGGTGTATTTGGCTCGGCTACTGAAGGAGCACCAACGCTACCTGGTTGGTTTGCACCGGTCATTGTGTTTATCTCTCTCGGTCTGCTGGCGCTCGGTGTTTTCCTCTGGTGGAAGATGACCAAGGCCAGTTACAAGTACAAACTGCCATCGTACAAGAACAAATAGTGTTATGATTGAGGAGTGTGACTGCAGTGTCCCTCGCACATCGCCGCCACACTTGCCGTCGTGTGGAAACGATTTTAAACCCAGATTGTCGGCCGCTCTGTATTATATCCGTGACGCCACTTACGCGTATTGAAACCGGAACTCTGATCTATCGCCACGTCAGTTCTAACAACCCATTGTTCTAATCTCAATTTTTTTTTATTTTATTTAGGATTTTTCTTTCATAGGTATGCGGATTGTTGATGCGAACATTTCTACGAAAATCCCCTTTTGCAATTTTTGTGTGAATCATTTTGTATGCAATCTACTTGCAACACAAAGTAAAAAAGGGTGCTTGTTTAAAATATTTACCCACTGCATGCCTACGACTGCCTACGACTGCCTAAATAAGTAAAAAAAAAGAGGATAAATACATGTAAATAGTACCAATCAAGCCAGTCTCCTTCCTAGGCTAGGAGGACTGTTACCACTGGTTATTATGTTTGCACAACTTGAATGCCAAGCGTCGGCATTACGACGAGTTCATAGTTTCTTGTTGGGATCAACATCGATTCCCTGCTTGTCCCACATCGATCTCCACTCGTCCACGTTGAACTGGACAGCATCGATTAGCCAGCCCTTTGCTAGAAGGCCTGCCTGGAACTCGGGGAATAGGCGCTGCGCACAGCGGTAGGACATGTTCACCACCTGCTGGCAGTCCGCTTTCGACAGAAGGCGTGCGTCATTGCTGCGACTGCCATTGTCTGCACAAACAAACATGCACACACAACTTAATGCACAGCTGCAGACCGGGTGTTGTCACAGATTGGTTTTAATAATCGTGATCTGTCAAAAAAGGAAATTTTGTCATTGCTTTCACTCCCATTATGCAAGGCGGCATCATATACTTCAGTACTGCCACTGGTCTCAGTCGTGACACAAAAAATACCATTGACCCTGTAAACTCGTCTGATAACAACTCTCCCGAAATGAGACTATAAGTAGAGGCACATCACGCAGAGGTCAGGACGTGAGCCTTCCTTACCATTGAAGATGAAGTCAATTAGCATTGTCATTTCCCGCTGACAAGGCTGAAGGGTACACACACACAAAAATATACAGTCAACTTCGCCTATAACGACACTCGGCGGGGCATCAAAAAAGTGTCTTTATTCGCGAAGTGTCGTTATACCCGAAGTCTCATTATGTATTACAGTTGGAAGGGACTTTGCTCTGGGCATGGCCATGTTGTCGTTATTCGCGAATTGTCGTTATTAGCGAAGTTGACTGTATATATATAATACATAAATCTGTGGACAGGAACTGTTTCGCTATTTGTCTGCCTTTGACACAAAAAAAGAGCGTGCTCCCAGCAGGGCTCGAACCTGCGACATTCGCGTTATTAGCACGACGCTCTAACCGACTGAGCTATGGGAGCTCACAAAGATTATGGATAGTGATTATGGAATAGCTTCCAGGATACAAATGCAGCAGCAGCAGCCCACATTGTGCACTGGTCACTTCGGAGGCAGAAATCGGCAACAGGTACATGGAGCATTAGATCCATGATCTATGTATTCCTGTACACTTCGGTTCGCAGTTTAAGACTGGGTACCAGTGACTTGTTGGAAGATTGGGGTTCCAAATCAAGTTCTTTACCTGAACTGTTTCACTCCTAAAAGTTTAAAATACAGTAGCCCCTTATTCAGCTCGCCCTGAGCTGAACTAGCCCCGCCCTTGCCCCCCCCCCCCCGAGCTTATCCTGCCCCCGGGGCTTATTTTCTCATGTAAATGGCCCTGGGCTTATAAGCGAGTTTTTTCCGTAGTTTTCAATTTTGCGTCGTGGACAGTGCATCTCTTTTGTTTCTCTTCTGGCAATTATTCTTCTGATTTTTCGTTCGCACTTCGAAAAATAAGTTACAATTGGAAGTAGAAGGCACTTCTTGATCCAAATTTCATAATTCACGAACATTTACCACTGCCTTCATGTGCGATTTGAAAAACAAAATGCGCGTAGAACTCACAGTCGCCCACCGGAACTCAGCCCCGTACAACTGTCATGTAAACGGATGAAAAATAAGCCCGGCTTATTATTCCCATTTATACCCAGCTCATATTAACCCCCACTAATTCCTCTACCGGCTCTACCGGGAAAAAGTTGGTAGAATCCGGTAGAAGTTGGTAGAGCTACGGGATTTCCAGCAAGATCAAGGATTTGTACACAACTCCATAAAAAAAAAGAAACATTTCACGTACACATCGTGTAAACTACTAGATCTGGTAGAACAGCGTTCGTACACTTGCCTCTACCATCTACCTCTATCGGTAGAGGGACTCTACTCTACTCTACCAGGTAGCTAAAAACGAACGCAGCCTAAGAGAGTGATAAATCTTCATATTCACCACTTTAACTTGGGGTATATACTTTGCTTTATCACTCTTCTATATCGACCTCCACTAATTCTCGTGATCCTTGACTGGTCCTATATTACCCATATCGCCGCAATATCGACCGCTTATATCGACCGCTTGTATCGACCACTTAGGCATTGTTATCTTTCGACTTTGGAGGGACTTAGAATTTTTCTCTCCACTTCAAAAAGAAAAATTGAAAGAAAGAAGACAAAGGAAGAGAACAAGCAGGATTCGAACTCACAACAGTATGAATCTCAAGCAACCCCTTATACCACCCAGCCACTGTGCTGCAGATGCTGAACTCTGTTGTTCTAACAGTCTTGTACCCAAAATAGGCAACATCCTATGTACACTATAGTACAAATGCTATACTAAAAAGGTTAAAATAGCTCCTAAAGGTTCAAATTTTGGGGTTATGGCAAAGGAATCGTGATAAATAGGATATTGACCTCGACTTCGGTCTATATGGGAAATATAGGCCTCGTAAAAGACCTCGGCGGACCTCGGTCTTTTACTCGGCCTATATTTCCCATATAGACCTCGTCTTGGTCAATATCCTATACATATTACCCACTTAGAGGTTGTAACTTTTCAACTTTCAAGGGACTTAGAAATTTTCTCTCCAATTGAAAAAGAAAAAAATTGAAGAGAAGAAAGAAGTTTCAGCAGGAATCGAACCTGCAACCATAAGACTCCCAAGGACCTATCTTGACCACCCAGCCACCAGGGTGTTGATGCAGATGTTGGTTGAAAGATAGGTCTTAGGTCTGGAACACGCAATGCTACCTACACATAATAGTATACCGTATTATCTCTAATATAAGCACGGTCCTTTATTTTTTCAATGTACCTCTGCCCCGTGCTATTAATGGAGACGTTCCTTTATTGGAGACTGTTCCATTATTATTTCAACCTCATTTCAGAGGCATGTTGCCATGCCAAATTCATGTATGACACACACATTTCAGGGTTTTTTTTGCCGGTACAGATAATGAATTTACACAGTGTGCTTATAATGGAGACTGAGCACTTTATTTTTTGAATGCCGCCCCAAGGTGTTCTATTATTGGAGACGTGCTATTATTGGAGACTGTGCTTATATTAGAGATAATACGGTACTATAGTATACTGGGATACTAAAATAGCTATTTCGGGCCAGTATTTCAGGCCAAAAACGAAGCTAGGTATAAATAGAATAAACACCTCTGTCTTGTGTTTATGGGAATATAAACACTGTCCATAAAAACCTCGGCTATGCCTTGAGGCATAGCCGAGGTTTTTATGGACAGTGTTTATATTCCCATAAACACAAGACAGGAGGTGTTTATTCTATACGTAAACAGCCCTGAGCTAGCTCATGAGTCGAACCTTTTTTAATTTATTTATTTTTATCTTGGGGAGATTATGCACCCTTCCTTGCCTTTCTTCTCCATAAAAAAGAGCGTGCTCCCAGCAGGGCTCGAACCTGCGACATTCGCGTTATTAGCACGACGCTCTAACCGACTGAGCTATGGGAGCTCACAAAGGCTACTGCTGAGTGTGCAATAGTTGATTCGCGGGCAGCATCTACCCACACGAAAATGCCGATGGTGAGCAGTGAAGTGGACCTGTCGTATGAGGTCTGCAATGCTGCAGCAGCCCACGAGCATCATGAGCAGGATCACCAGATGTACAAAGATAGCGACTACGACTCTTGCATAAACCAGAGTGTGACAAACCTTGACGGAAACCACAAGTTACGCTTTCCCCGCCATCGTACTGAGCTGCACACTCCGGTTTGTGTATTCTGGGCACTACTGAGTATAGAGGACACGACATCCTCGTGCCTGTCGAATGCTGCTTGGTCAGTGCTAGATTCAATATTCGTATAACCCGGGTCCCCGCTACACTTGATATGAAAAATTGACAATATTCACAAGCTTTGTGATGTCATCCACGTTTGTTTAGAGACGGCCTATCTCAATCTGCACACGCCATGTACAGACAAACCTGACTGACCTGACTGCGTCTGCACTGACCAGTGATGGGCGCTTGCTAGTGATTTCACAGTACAAGGAATACACTAAGGGATGTTTTGTTTGTTTTGTATTCATGGATTCTCCACAGGCCTTACAGTAAGATCGGGCGCCGAAGAACGCAGGGGCTCGAGCGCAGCCTAGGAAAGTTCTTAAATTTTTGATTCTAGCCAGACCGTTCTTATTCACACGCGCGCGCGGCGAGTCGAGTGACGCCATGACGTTTGTCATGTACATGTACATGTACATGTACATGTACATGTAGTGCAATGTAGTACTTCTAAACTAGTGGGTGTCGTAAATGGGAATGACTGTACATGTAGCAGTTACTGTTTACACGTGTACATGACATGTACTCACCTCCCATACATGTACAATGTAGATCTACGTGTAAATTCGCAACTTCGTGTAAGTACATGTATGACAACGTACATGTGGAAATTCCAAATTTTAAAAGTGTTCTTAAATCTGATAATTCTAGCCTGGACTGTTCTTAAATTTTGCCGGTTTTCCAGCCTGGGTGTTCTTCGGCGCCCGATCTTACTGTAGCCTAAACCAAGGGAGTCATTTTTTCTTTTTCTTTTGTTCAACCTTTTCAGCTGCCATTTGCCCTGATCATGCCTCATGCGTGTTTCACAGCATAGAACTTTTCGGCTCGTTTTCTTCTTCAACACAAGCTGTATCCCTTTGCAAAAAATGTACGATGTAATAAAAAAAACCAAGGGAGTCCTAGGCACAGGTGGACAAGGATGTTGCACTTACCGCGGCTACGTCCAGCTTGCGCACTTGCAAGCACAGCTGGATTATCTCCGCGTGCAGTGTCAATCTCATCAGGTCGTCAGCAGTTACATCAGGATGCAGGACCACAGAGATCACACCTGCAAACATAATCATGTAGGTGCACACACACACACACACACACACACACACACACACACACACACACACACACACACACACACACACACACACACACACACACACACACACACACACACACACACACACACACACACACACACACACACACACACACACACACACACACACACACACACACACACACACACACACACACACACACACACACACACACACACACACACACACACACACACACACACACACACACACACACACACACACACACACACACACACACACACACACACACACACACACACACACACACACACACACACACACACACACACACACACACACACACACACACACACACACACACACACACACACACACACACACACACGCATACACTCAGACTCAGACATGCCCATCGCGGAAGTGATGATAGCGAACAGCTATGTTAGACACAGCAACTTGACAGTGAGTGAACTAACTTGTGCTAGGATTACACCATTCAACAGCTTGCAAGGCTGATAAATTGACCGCCACTAATTTTAGCCTTGTATCCAACACACAGCTGATTGAAGTGGCCTTTTCTGGCCAGTGAATACACACACGCATGCATGCAGAGAAAGCGTCATTCAAACTGGATCTGCTTGAAATGGGGGAGGAGGATTGATCAAGAAAATTCTAGATCTGTAAACGCATCAATCCAGGGCTTGCAACCAATTCCGGAATCAGAAGACACCTTCCAACAAAATTAGATAAAAATTCAGGGAAATCTCACCAGTCCTGTGAACGGATCTCCCAGATGTCAGGTTGAGTCGCATCAAGTACTTCTCATCGCGATCAAACGTGAATCCGTCCAAATCATTTGCACTGCACAGGTCAACAAGTTTTCATGTACGCACATGCACATGGACACACACACACACTCAAGCACACACACGCACACACACCACACGCAATTGCACGGTAGAGGCAGGTTGAAGATACAGTACAGCCAATCTACTATTTCCAGAAATGTGGCCAAATATAGAATTGGTGGCCTGGTCGTGTTTGGTGTTCATGACATCTTATGATCTTACTACACACTGGCCTGTAACAGCCTACACGGTATTGCAGTAGCACAGCTCACCTTTCAATAACAGAGTTGAACTGAGCTCCGAGCTGCAGATGCACACCACCAGGCAAGAGTACTGCAAACAAGTACACACATCCCAGCACAGACGCAAACATGATTGCACAGTGATTGAACACAACCCAGCACAAACACAAACATGTACAGTGATAGAACATGACCCATCACAGACACAGTCGTAGAATGTATACACACACATGAAGCCAGCACGGCCACATCTAGCTCAACTACACATCCTAGTTTCTCACGAAAAATACATCCGGATAGGCACGGGAGCAGATAAGTTGAGATGATCGAAACACACGCGTGCATGTGCACACACACACACACACACACACACACACACACACACACACACACACACACACACACACAAACACACACACTCACGAGGACGAGACGTACATTTTATACGAATTCAACTACCAAACTCCAGGACAACATGTAGACTCAACACACTCACGCAGAAGAACAGTGCCCATGAACTATGCTCATACTCACACATAAGCAACGGTTCTCTGCTGTTCGTCGACGTTATTCCCGGTATAGACCCACAAGTGAGAAAGTCCTGCGCAGCCACGTGAAACCGTGCAAAATTGAGTCGATCCATGCGTACAACAGCCACAGCCATGTAGTTAGCGATGAGATGACAACACGTGAATGTTAAGAACAACGTCCAAATGATCCTGCAAAACAAGGCAGAAAGCACATATAGGTACTGGTACGGTGCGGGGTATGGTTTGCATCACAAAGAACTTGAAAGAAGAAGAAAAAAAGAGCGTGCTCCCAGCAGGGCTCGAACCTGCGACATTCGCGTTATTAGCACGACGCTCTAACCGACTGAGCTATGGGAGCTCATGAATTGCCTGATGAAAATCGAACCTTACAATCACAGTGCTTTGCACCAGCATGCAACACAAACATGTTTTTCCTTCAGTACTCGTACATTTAATTAGACACTGAGGATATAGGGGGGAAGTGGTGGCCCGCCAATACGAATGTCTTTGCTTGATGTGTTCCTAAACACGTCAGGTGATGCTGCCGTAAATTCGACTACCTCTACATTCCTCTCCACACAAACACAACATACACAATCATATGCTCTCCACAAAGACATAGACACGTCCGCAGAGAGATGCTCGTCTTACATTTGATTGTTATTGATCATAGGTGTGATGATTGTACCAACAATCAGTCCAACAAGGCTGACCAGTGTCTCCTGCAGCAAGTCACATGACACATAGTATACATGCATGTACATGTATGGAATACACAATCTGTGGACAGATCTCTGTGGACAGATCTCTGTGGACAGATCTCTGTGGACAGATCTCTGTGGACAGATCTCTGTGGACAGATCTCTGTGGACAGATCTCTGTGGACAGATCTCTGTGGACAGATCTCTGTGGACAGATCTCTGCGGACAGATCTCTGTGGACTCGTCAGCGCATCACATCACAGAGAAAATGAGGCCGAACCTGATCGCAATGAAAAATACATTTTCCAAAGCCAGATTTAAACCAGGCCCGAACGTACCTTGCCAGAGTGCTCAAAATGACGTATGTAATTCATACTAGTACATGCAGAAAGCAGGCAACTTACAATGTCAATCATTCCAGCATCTGCAGAGTAGGAATCACTTGCACACTTCTCAGTAAATTGGCTAAGAATAATAGGGCTGGTAGAACACCTCTTTGACATCAGTGCACAGTGATCTCCAGCGCAACACAAACCACGGCAAGATGATGGGGTAACACACATACTACTCAGTCAGTAGTAGAGTCAGAACACACTTACCTGACTACCGTCTTTGGCGGCTACATCGGCCATGTTGCCTGACCGTGCCTGGTGCATGGTGATGGATGCACGCGTTGCACCACCTGCAACACCTACAATAGACTGGACAACGAGTAATGGGCAAATTGAATGCACATAGAAATACGAATACACACGCATACACACGTGCGCGCACACACATACACACACACACACACACACACACACACACACAAACAAACACACACGCACACCTGTCCTGTCCTGTAGAGCCACTACCGCTAGGGTCACGTGGGCCCTGGAGGGGCAGCAGAGAGAGAGAGAAGGGAGCACGCTACCTGATGGCGCTCCAGATGCGAGACTAGTAGGAACTGGCGAGAGCGTCCAAGGTGACCGTGTGGGGCTGAATGGATACTTGGATCAACTATATTGGTTGATGACCTGGTATATGTTGTGGCAATAAGGTCAGTATTGTATATGTCCGACATGGCACACGTACATGTGAATCACAGAAACCATACCCCTTACCCGCGGTCACACTATAACCTAGTCTAGTGCTACAGACCCCAAGAAGAGCAGGCAAACAACGAGAGTATCTACAACACTGCTGGGCGCCGAAGAACGGAGTGCCGAAGAACGAACAGACCATAATTTCATCAAGCAGAGGATTCCAATGCATACACGGTGACTCAACTGTGCATGGACCGTAGTACATGAAAATAAGAACGGTCCAGGCTACGAGGCTGAGCCTATGGCGCTTCTCACGAGAATTCAACGGGTCTCATTCAGCAGACTATACATCATTCTCCTTTGATCTTGAGCTACATTGGATTGTGTGAAGGCCCTACCCGGTACATGCACCAGTCCACACAGCGACACATGCATTGACTGAGCATCGAACGAGGGAGCTTTGAGATACTTTTTATCCTGTGTTGGGCGTTTTGCGGACATGGCACGGCACACTCTAGCTGCTTTGATTACGAATTTTGCGATACTGCGCTACACGCCTGACATGTACACGCGGGCGCCGCATAGCCGTCGACCTGCGATCACTGGGATGTTGACCGGTGCAGGGCACACAGCTGACTCACTGATTGGATTTCATTGAGCAGCACTGTACACGCGGTATAAGTGTATAACTGAGCAGCGTAACGCATTTCAAAATATCTCACCCTGGCTAAGCTGGCCAAACACGCAATGAAGAGGAAGTACATGGGAAAAAATGGAGAGATCAGCTCCAGAAGCATTGCCGTGTCGTTCAAGATATCCGCCACCAATCTGAAAACAAACACACACGCATAAGAGCGTGCACACATGCACACAGACACACACACACACACACAAATTCCAGTGAAGCAGTTGCTATGTTGCACACAAAATGGCAAAAGAACATACATATACATATAGTAGTACAGTGCTGAAAAAAGACACATCACGCTCTATGGTGACGCAAACAAAATGGACACCACCTCACCTCCACTGCTTTGCATTGCAGTCCAAGTCTGTCCTGTGATGCACACAAACACACACACACGGAATAGATAACTAAGTATATTGATAAGAGACAGCTCAAAAGCTGTATCGCCATCCCAGCAAAAAATAAAGAAGAAGATATGTACTCACCCCTGAATCCAGGCAAATATAACACGACCCACCATGCCAGCACCATCTGCACACAGGAGATAGAAGAAAGAGATAGACAGATAGACAGATAAAGGAGAGAGAGAGAGGGGGGGGGGGGGGGGGGGGGGAGGAAGAAGAACAACACCCAATGATACACTCTCAAAGAAAAGAGACGAAGAACTGCACATGCTATCATGCTATCTACTTATACCTTTTTAAATTAATACGGGTATTGCAGAACTACAAACTACAAAGGATAGCACTCAAGTGCTAACAGTGCTAGTTTCGCACAAAGACAATCCTAACACCAATGCCATAGGTAGAGTGCAGCAAGCAAGCAAACCTAGACTACCAGTACATACACTGTAAGCTGTAGGTGGGAAATGCTTCAACATATGAGACAGCAATAGCATCCGCATGATACTACACCATAGCCAGTCCAACACTAAAGGTGCTGATAGTGCTGCTGCTGCCTGTACGGCGGTGCAACTTGTGTTGGTATTGCAACTTCCAACAGCTTATGCATAATGGGGCCGAGGAATTAGCTGCCACAAGACTAGCAAGGTCTTACACCCCACACAGGGGCAGCAGCAGCATTCGGCCCTCTCCAGACTTTTCATCAACCACCACGACACGGATGTGTCGCTTTGCTGGTGGTGTGCTGTGTCAACGTCGTGCTGAGGTCGGCCGGAGAGCGCAGATATGGGTGTGGCGGTTGATGAACAATATTTACACCACGCATAGTTTGCAAAATAGAATGATGTTCTGCCCAGTGGAGTACATGTAGCAGCTTCATGACACAGACACACACACACACATGCATGCATGCACCCCCCCCCCCCATACACACACACATGCATGCACCCCTCCCCCCCCCCCCCCCCACACACACACATTACACATTACACATTACACACACACGTGCGCATCTTCACACTGTACCTCTCAATAGCCATGTGACCGTTGCACCAGCTGCAGTGGCGGTCTGATCGCCGACACCCAGTCCTTTCAGCACAGCCTGTGTTGCCAGCGTACCTGTCACATACGAACAAAATGCCTGCACACACACAAGCCACAGAAACAACAAGTAATTTCTTTGCAGCTTACAAGAGCAGCCAGTTTGGCAATGCCAAGCCAATAGCCTATCATGGTAGCAGAGAGAGAACGTTGCAGTAACACCTACGCTCGTACAGAAAGCTGCAAGGGCCATGCCTTGCAAGAGGTTCAGTTTTAAACAATACGTTCGGAATGATGAGTGCCAAGTCAGCAAAAGCAGCAGCAGCAGCAGTACCACAGTCACCACCACCTCTACCATGAGAATGTGAACACATGACAGGCCCACCGCAACCGGTCTGGTTGGTCAGGTTTACACCGGACCAACTTTGTAGCTACCAACGCATGTTTACTGCTGAGGAGGGCATACGTCCCCGCCATACATGTATTATACACAACATATGGAAGACTATGGTACGACCGGACCAATTGAAAACTGCTTCCGGCGGTGCTGCATGAAACTGAAAGACAAGGACGTATGCAGTGAACAGTACACATGCAGCATTAGTGTTACTGCTATTGTTCTAGTTACCTGGATAGTATCCCACTTCTGATAATCTAGGTAGTCATCGCTGACCGAGTCTGGGTATCCCTGCGGTAAGAAGGCTGACTAAGAAAGGGGCATCAGTACAATCAGCAAGGACACATGCACACACATACACACAGACACACACACACACATGCGCACACACACACACACACATGCGCACACACACACACACATGCGCACACACACACACACGCACACACACACACACACACGTACACACACACACACGTACACGTACACACACACACGTACACACACACACACACGTACACGCACACACACACACATGCGCACGCACAGACTTGATCACGAGGATGAACAACATACATGGATAGGTGTGCATGTATTCATACTGATTTCAGGTTCTTTTCCTGACATTCTGCTTGTTCATTTAGTGCTATGCAGAACTACCTGCTACAAAGGAAAGCTTCGCAAAGACTAACGGCGGTCTTCATCCTCCATACACATACACCATGGCACACAGGCAAAGTCCATTCCCTTACAGAGGATGTTTTGTTATTATTAGATGCCGTTCTGGATCACATAGTCCATATTCTGCTTTCTTTCTCCATTATTTCAAGGTACCTCAGAAATGAACATGGTGTTGTACCCTGGAATGATCGTGTCAAACGACTACACTAGTATACATGTAATTGATTCACAGGATGTGAGACATCAGCTATTTTCATTACGTCATGATAGCAGCATAGATCGATAGCAATTTCTTACCTGAAGAAATTGTCCAATTGACCTGGACGAGCGAGAAAGTAATGGCTTCGCCCTGATGCCTTTTCCACTGGAGCCTTTCCCATCTTGAATGTACAAGTTGTGCGCAACACGGCCATGTAGCTCTTTGGCCAAGACTTTCTCAGAGAAATCACCCATATCAATTTGTACTTCCTTTGTCGACGGTGCCAGCATCGACAATTTCTAACACACGTAATGAAATTCTGCCATGAATACAACGTCGTCTCCAATCAAGGACTACCGCATCGTGAACACCAGGTTACAATCAGTCGGAAGTTATTGTTTTCCAGGAGATTGCCGAAAAGCAACAAAGATTTTACAAAATTAATCTTGAAAGGAAAGCCCATAATACATGTAGTGAAGATGAAGACGCTCGAGCTTGACCAGTCTACAAATCACTCTGATGACATCAACGACATGCCACGTAGATCTACGTGCCGTCACACTAGATTTTGTAATTCCAGAATTCACATGCATTTTGCATTTTTGGTCAAGTCATTGATTTGTGAATTATTAATTTTGTGATTGTGATAGCAATGACCATCAAACATACAAACAAGGGTAGATCAGGGAGTCGTCAAATACCGGTATTTGACGACTCCCTGGTGTGTACGTGTAGTGCAACAAAAAGTTCAAAAAGCGCGGAAAACGCGGTCTTTTAAAAAATCGCAAAAACGCGGCCGCGGAATCGCAATTTTCCCCGGGGACAGCTAGTAGTAGCAAGAGTATATACTCTTGGTAGTAGTATAAATCCGGTACCCACCCTCAATCCATGGACTCTCGCGATCATCTATCCAGGAATTCACTGGCATGAAGAGTGAATAACAATACGCATAGTTATAACTGTTAGACCCCAGACGAGCAAGCTTTCCTTTCAGCAGCATGTTGTTCCAGGTGCAGGCCCGTTCATTTTGCACTCATCATCGCTCAACCCAGTCACCGGACAAGCCGTGTTTTCAAAAATCAAAACGTACAATCCCATGCAATACAGACAGACAGGCACACACACAGACACACACAAGACAACACTCTCTACCCCTACAGCAATGCTCTGTGCTACGCTTATGAGTCCCCTGGCCAGACCAGGGAGTCGCAAAACGTATTGTTACAATTCCCTGATCCTGCTTACAACGGACCCAAACAGAACTGTCAACAGATTGAGAGATGGTACAAGTACAGCGTCTAAGCATGTCTTGTATTTTACTAAATAGAAGATAGAAGATGCATACCCTACTGGAGCAATGTAGCCAGAATCCAGGGCAAAGCACACACATTGGCAAAAATGATCAGCTAAAGCCAGATAGGCGCATGCACTTTGCCGCCAAAGTGAAGACGGGAACTCTAGGTCGAGGCAGACTTGTAAAATAGAATATTCAAACAAATGTCTAAAAAGTGACATGAAGTAGGAGAGTTTGGTGAATTTGATAAGATTCATTAGCCTCGCTAACAATTAAAAAAAAAAAACCCGTAAAAGCATCAATCTCAGTAAGTTTTATGAGCTTTTCAGCAAACAGCATACCAGTACTAGCAGTAGCATGCATCAATGTCCATGCAGGCACCCAAGAGCAGTGATGCTCATGACAGCAATGCACAGTAAATACAAAATAAAATTCTTTTAAAACAAGCTGGAGTAAGCACAAAATAGTAACAAAAAAAATAAGCATAAAAGGGACTGATTGTCATCAAAAATCTGAAGGACCAATACTGGTAGGGAGAGGTAGAAATCTACCTGCACTTCACATACACACAGGCATGCACAGAGCGCACACATACGAGTAACTACACAGGGTGACAATGGGAATAACACGACTAAATGCAACACCGAGATATACTAATAATTACAAGGACAGACGAGTGAGGAGTGTGTACATACAGGATATACAAAGGCACAAGCGGGCCAGCGCTGGGCACACGAACATGTCATCACCGTTTCCCTTTCTTCACAGGGCCCTAAGAATCACGCAAGAGACAGCAGTGCAGAGAAGACACGTTCAGAATGCACAGCAACATGCGCAATAGTGTAAAAAAGAAAACAGAGCACAACAATAAACCCCATACACTGAGCGTAGTAGCAATCACAAGACATTCGTGTGCACATACTTGTAGCTGTACAGTGTTGCAGTGAGTTGTTACTAGTATTAGGCACAGGGTCATCTGTCCTCGGCATAATCAACCATGCCATGAAAAACAGCAGTGAAACATACAGCACAGGGTGAGGTACAATCCAAGTGAGACAAGGCACGCGGTGACTGTGTGTAATCACTTGTCATCCACTGAGCACAGGCCATGCACAAACCATATCAATGTCATCCACTGAGTACAGGCCATACACAAACCATATCAATGTCATCCACTGAGCACAGGCCATGCACAAACCATATCAATGTCATCCACTGAGCACAGGCCATGCACAAACCATATCAATGTCATCCACTGAGCACAGGCCATGCACAAACCATATCAATGCGTACCTTAGAGACTTTGAGAGCGTCAATTTCATCTTTCTGCGCCGTCAGCTTATCCGTCAAGCCGCACAGATGATCACTCATCATGCTAAGCTGTGATTCATAACTGGCAGAGGTAGTCTCATTCTCATCCTAGTACAGCAAAGGAAAGGGAGAAGGTCAACACAAGAAGATATTATCAATATCAAGCTGTAGAAGAGAGTGCTTGGAGTCAGACCGGCACGATGTAAGCCGCTTTGCTTTTGAGAAGCTAGCAGGAATCGGACAACAGTCTGTCAAGAAGTGAGCAGTCATGATGGATAGATCTCGGTGTCTGACCTTGGTACTCACCCTAAGCCCCTGGATCTGCTGGTTGGCCTCCTCCAGGTCCTTGAAGGATTTCTCCTTGGACTTCTCTGCCAGTGTAAGGCGACGGTGAGCCGCACGACACTGAATACAAAAAATCCACACACAGACACACAGACACACAGAGGGTGAAGTGTAAGGAGTACGCGCATGGGTATGTGGGTGGGGGTGTATGTGTGTGTGAATGCTTTTGTGCTCGTAGGTTTAGTTAACTTAAAGACAAATGTGTGTGACTTTTCGCAAGTAGACTGTATGTTGACACAAACAAGTCCTGTCCATGTTATAGGGCAGGTAATCTCCCTGGTCAAGCAGCAGAACTTGAATGGTCTACTAGTATCTACAGTGGCGCTCGGTGAAATCCGACCCGAAGTACATATTTGGCGCCCATAACCTGCACGGCCCGCGACACCCTGGAAGTAGTACGAATGCGGCCGGATGTACACATGTACAAGTGCAGTGCTGTTATCGCAATTGTTCCAGGGTGCCAGTTTTGCATTTCGGGTCGAATTTCAGTGAGCGCAACGGTGCATGTATGTCCCATTAGGAAAACCTGTTTAAGACCCACTCCTCATCCATACCTCGGCATTGAAGTGAGCTGCTTTGCTCTCTGCCTCTTGAATCTGAGTGGTGAGCTCCTGGATACGCTGAGTGAAGTGATGCTTGATAAGGTCAGCTCGCGAGTCATCCTCTCCTTCGTCGTCATCATCATGCTAAATCGGCATTCAACATTCAGGATAATGCCCAAACACACATGGAAAAGCTCAAACATTACCACGTACACATGGCTGAGAGAGAGAGAGAGAGAGAGAGAGAGAGAGAGAGAGAGAGAGAGAGAGAGAGAGAGAGAGAGAGAGAGACGTAAATGCTGCCAAACAGGTCACCGTTTCAGCAGCAAGAACACTACAGCAATAAGTCTGCTATATGCCAGCAATACACTTCAGTACGTCCTTTTGCACAGTAGCAGGAAACAAAACGAGGAACTACATGACATTGTACAGGAAAGTCAAGGGCAGATGGCGTGACTCTTACCCCAGCATAAGAACTTGACATACTGCCAAGCTAAACAGAGCAACGGGAAGAGACACACAGCAAACAGCACAGAGGTGGACGTCATTTCTTACACAGAAAACTACAATGCATTACATCATGGGTAATTCTATACACATGTACTTCATTAAATGTGCAGTTTGCACTCTTAGGATAGCTGTACGATACATACCAGCACACACGCATACACAAGCACACAACAGCACACACGCATACGCAAGCATACGCAAGCATACACAAGCATACACAAGCACAAACAAGAATACAACAGCATACACCAGCATACACAAGCATACACAAGCACAAACAAGCATACACAAGCACAAACAAGAATACAACAGCATACAACAGAATACACAAGCATACACAAGAGCACACACACGCACGCACACACGCACGCACACACGCAAACACACACAAGCACACACACACACGGGCTCATGGATCAGAACAAAGTAACAGACCTCTGCAGCGCCGGTGACAATGATGGGTTTGCGTGACTGCGGACTGCCTGGCTCTGACCGAGATGCCTTAGACAAGGCAGAGGGTGCGGCCAGCTGCTCAGCAACTAATCCAGATGCCTGGAAAATCGATAGAAGTCAGTCAGGGAAATGTGTGATCACAAACAAATCTAAATGTGACACTATTTAAAGGGGAAGTTAAGGCAAAAATTAAAATTTCACCAGTTGTAGTCTTCGGGGTGCTGAGTCGAATGGTCTTGGTCCGAGAAAGCTGAGACGCTCCCTTCCTACTTGAATCCCAATCGAACTCGCGCACTTCCACCGAAACTGGGTGACTGCGCCCTACGAGATGGGGATTTGTATGCAAAATGTCACTAAAAGCGCCATTTCGTTCTTATAAAAGCACGGATGACCGCGATTGGCCCATATGTTGTAGTCTTTTGGACGCTGAGTCGACTGGTTTTGGTCCGAAAAGGCTGCGATGTAGCGTTCCTCCTTTATTTCCAATCGAACATGGTTGAAGAAGCGGTCACGTGCTCCTGGGTGCCAAAATCACCTGGTCACCACGCCAGCAGGCGACAACTTTCACACCAAGGTTCAACTCGAGTGACAGGACTGCACCCAAAAAAGGTCAAAACAGGCTGTAAGTTGTACCCTGCAGGCACGGTGACCAGGTGACTGGTGTACGCAGGAGCACGTGACCGCTTGTTCAACCATGTTCGATTGGGAATTAGGGGCGAACGCTACATCGCAGCCTTTTCGGACCAAAACCAGTCGACTCAGCGTCCAAAAGACTACAACATATGGGCCAATCGCGGTCATCCGTGCTTTTATAAGAACGAAATGGCGCTTTTAGTGACATTTTGCATACAAATCCCCATCTCGTAGGGCGCAGTCACCCAGTTTCGGTGGAAGTGCGCGAGTTCGATTGGGATTCAAGTAGGAAGGGAGCGTCTCAGCTTTCTCGGACCAAGATCATTCGACTCAGCACCCCGAAGACTACAACCGGTGAAATTTTAATTTTTGCCTGAACTTCCCCTTTAATAGTATCTATGGGCTGGATACTTCCACGGCAACCAAACAGAAGTCTCAAAGTCTCACAAACGAGAGAGAGAGAGAGAGAGAGAGAGAGAGAGAGAGAGAGAGAGAGAGAGAGAGAGAGAGAGAGAGAGAGAGAGAGAGAGAGAGAGAGAGAGAGAGAGAGAGAGAGAGAGAGAGAGAGAGAGAGAGAGAGAAGAGTGCCTGCATGACGATATGCCCTTGCCTATTCAGTGTTTCCAGCACAATACATGTCAGCGATAAAATAAGTCAAGAATCATCAGCCCTGCTGCTGAAGATGTATGCATTGACTTACCCCAGCTGCTCGAAGTTGAGTTAGCTCTGTCTGCAACGTGCCAATTTTCTATACAATTTAACAAACAAGCAAACAAACAAATACAACACACACACCACTAGTCTTAATCTTCACCGTACCCTCTGTGTAGCAATGATAGCGCAACATTAATTTCCCAGCTCACGGCAAATTGGCCGATGGCATTTCACATCGTCGCTTCAACGGACCACCTACCCCCCCCCCCCCCCCCCCCCAAAACACACACATGCGGGCATGTACACTGGCAGCAAGACTTAGTGTACATCCAAGAACTGCCATCTGCAGTACATAATTCAAGATGTGTTTGCCCCATACAATTTTACACAAGGCACTAGCTAACAGCAGTTGTACACAGCCAAACTAACTCACTTTATGTTCCTTCTCCATTTTGATCTGCAGCAACTGTGCCTCCAGCATCCAGTGCTCCTTCTCCTGCAATCAAGCACACAGAGACAAATGCACATGCACACAGAAATACAAGTATCAATACATGATCCAAGGGAGAGCTCTTCGGAGGTTTGCCAGGAGCGGCATACCGAAACACATCCACCCCAGGCAGGTGACATGCATGTAGTACAGTAGGGTATACAGGCTAGGAGAACTAAGGGGGTGATTATATGTGCAGCTACAGCCCGGGCACGCCTGCAACGGGATCTCGGGGTTGTTCACAATTCCACACAAAACCTGTGGTGCGTTTACATGGCAAGCGGGCCGGCCCGGCGAGCCTCGAGGCACCCGGGATCCCGGCTAGGCAGGCCAGAAAAAGCACATATAAACAGACCAGCCCGGGCCAGAGTTGTATTATTATGGGGTCGACACTGTGTTCATACTACAAAATAGGTACTTTTACCTTTTGAGGGAAGTTATAAAGAGGATTCCCGATATTGTCTTGAAAATCTATGAAGCTTTTGTACAGCAACATGAAGGACGTGCTGTGAGCACTGTTTATTTGTCGACATGCATGATTGTATTTTACAATAGAAGGGTAACTACTTGCAAAACACTTTGATATGGACAAGTAAAATGTGAAAAACAGGAAAAAGAAATGAGGTGATACAACACGCCAAGCATGTGCCATAGCGCGAAAAGAAATCAGCAGAAGAATACATTGTGTGAGAAAAAAAGTTTTTAGGTTTATAACACGAGTATGGCTTGCAGTCCTGCGTTTCAGCACGGGGCAGCACACTACAATCGTAGTGTGTTCGTTGCATACTCACAACGGGCTGGCGTGTGCTCAGCGCATATAAACTCACTGTGGGCTGGCGACCAGCCCGGCCGTGCACATGTAAACACTCTCGGGGGGCTGGCCCGCTTGCTCCAGCCCGGGCTGGAGTTACACATACAACACGCCCCTAACACATGCCGGCATACACGCACTAACGTACCATTTCCAATTTAGAGATCCTCTGTTGAGCCTCTGACACCTGCAAGCACAACACAACACAATGCAGCACAGTAGCACAGGTGTAATGGGTAAATCAGGTTACCACATTCGAAGAGCGGAGATTGACAAGTTTTAAAAAAGAAATGAGAAAGGAAGGCCTGGCTGCATCTACGTCACATACACACATCACTCGCAAAGCTCAGGTGAGACAATTATACCGTCCAAATGTTCGAGCACAGTGTACTCGCTCAGTTGTTTGTAATCATACTCAGAGTGAATCAGAGTACTCGTTGATACAGTTTTAGATTTAGGAAACCCCGACACAACACACTTTCTTCAAACAAACAGTTCTCTGTTATAAAATTCATTTTCATCTAACTAGTTTCTGCTCTTTAGAGCTTCATCAGAGATGTGAATGTGAATGAAATTAGAACTGTGGTTTTGTACCAGTAACAAAGCAAAAATGAAAATATGCAATGCAGTTGATACAATGTAAACTTTGTACAAGTGCAGCTGAGTACGGCGTAATACTGCAAAAAAGCGGGGGGGGGGGGGGGGGGGGGGGCTGATCAGCTGCACTTGTACATAGTTTACATTGCAGGGATGAATTTACTGTCATATTCTTGCATAGCAGTTTCTGCTATACAAAATCACAATTGTGTAGCACTCTTTGATTTTGATTAGCACTTTTCTTTGAAGGTTGGGTGTTTACCACATTGTCCTTCTTGAGAGTGATGCCTGAAGGCCCATTTGCAAAAAAACCGACTGAATCATGCATGTGCACGCAGATTGAGTGCCTGCACCACATACACTGCACTGTATGGATGTTACTTGACAGCGCAGGCTAGGCATGGACAGTCTGTATGTATCGCAGTTTTCTGCGAGTCATGGTGACTTTTGAGTAGCAGTAGATTGATTTTGCATCGCAAACTGCGATGCGATACAGGATAAATTCATCCCTGCATTGTATCAACTGCATTGCATATTTTCATTTTTGCTTTGTTACTGGTACCAAGAGTACATACACCCCCAAGAGTGTGCAACTCCACTATGGGTGCTGTCCCGACAGAATTTCAAGTTGACGTCATTTTGATGATGCAATGCGCACTGTACACGGATTATCAGACGAACCCGGAACCTGTGGTTGACCGAAGCCGATCGATCCTGTACAAATTATTGCAAAGAAAAAACGTGTGATGCGTTGACACCCGTACACATGTTGTAAATCACTGGTGCAAGGAGCATTGCGTCATAAATAATGACGTCAACTTGAAATTCTGTCGGGACAGCAGGGTATGTGGGAGTTGCACACTCTGGGGGTTTATGTACTCTTGCTGGTACAAAACCACAGTTCTAATTTCATTCACATTCACATCTCTGATGAAGCTCTAAAGAGCAGAAACTAGATGAAAATGAATGTTATAACATAGAACTGTTTGTTTGAAGAAAGTGTGTTGTGTCGGGGCTTCCTAAATCCCAAACTGTTAAGTATTTACTGCAGAACGTACGGCAAGTTTGTTCTAGCAGTCTCATAGTGTGCAAGAGTATTGATGTGCAGGCTGTCTGATGTGCAGGGTGTCTGGTGTGTATTTGGTGCGGCAGTTAGAGAGAGAAAGAGAGAGAGAGGGAGGAGAGAGAGAGAGAGAGAGAGGGAGGAGAGAGAGAGGGAGGAGAGAGAGAGAGAGATCAAGACAAAAAATCGCCACAAGCTTCCATTTTCTCATTGGCTGGATCACGCGATGTCCGTCATCCAAACAAGGCCCCATTCCTGAAGTGGTTGGGTAAGTGACATTCGACTGCACACCCATACATGCACATCAGAGGTCTCGACCTACCTGCTGTGCTAAACTGTCACGGTTCTCTGTAGAACTAAGCATGGTGGTGTTGTTCAGTAAGGCAACGTGATACGGAACTGTTTCCGGTGCAGGCTACATGCATATGCATACAAACACAAAATCACACAAGTGCCAACATGGCTATTTATAAACAGATTGACACAAAGGTCCATACAGATCATTATTTATGGTAAAAATTTACAAACACCGTCCGTGAGACCTGTCTTGCAATGCCTACACTGCCAGCTGCTCTCTACAGAATTGGATATCGAAATACAAAAACCTAGTTTGCAAGTATTATCACACGCTGAGAGGCTCTCCTGCTGCCTTGTTCCTTGGCCTAGAGACCAGCAGCATGCACCAAGTATGCCGAAAATCTGCAATAGCAGTTTCATAGAAGAGATGATACCGACAGCCAAAGCAGAACTTGGAACAATTTCTGGATAAATTCTATATGCCGCACACAAGCAGAGTAGATACCAGCACATAATCTGATCAGTATCACTGAAGGGAGGTGAGCTTACACGCTGCAGAGATTCCATGTAACTGGCTGCTTTACGACGAAGGTCCTGCACTGCCGACACAGCGCCGCGACCCTGCAGGAGAAACGCAACGTGAGCAGGTATGGGAGCAGAGTTCCAGCAAGAACGTACATACACACGGAAAGACGGGGAGGATGATGGGAACAAGGTGTATTTGAAGTACTTTGGTATGTAACAATCGCGCCGTGGTGTTCAAGCCCACATGCTGCATGGTTACCATGTGCATGGATGGGACAGTGTACTAGCAACCCGAGTGACCATAGCAAGCTACTGAACTAGGTATCACAACTTACAATACAAAAATTGTGTAGTGGTGACCATGACACTCTATCACTGTGCACTGCACACAGTTAGCAACCGTGCTCATGGAGCTTCCAGCGGTCAAAGTTGCTGTACTTGGTGCAGTGTCGGTTAGGCAAGTACACGGTGCAGTGTCGGTTAGGCAAGTACACGTAAGACACATGACAAGTCACAGGTATTAGTATGTGCGTGTGTCCAGTCAAACTGCTTGCGCCACTAACCTGCTCAGTTTGTACGTTGGTGACATCCATGGAAGCACCGCGCGCCTGCAAACCAGCCTGTACGGTAATGTACTCCAGGTTGCTCTGAACAAAGCTACCGATCTGAGGGGTGCACAATTCACAGCAGGAATTCATTCAGTGCTGATGCATGTGGTTCAGAACACCTAAAAACGCAGTACATTAATACTTGTATATCATTTGTACAAGCATTTAAAACATTTTGCGTGACGACAAAATGTCCAACATTGCACAAAATAAACCCGGGTGTCTAAATTCAAGAAACAAGCCCACACTGCAAATAAGGAGAACATCCTCTTTACAAACCTTGTTCGTGCAAGCTACCACCGACGCTAGAGAAGATAGGACACACTCGTTGGTCGTCTTCAGTTTCTGTGACAAGACCGGGTGGTAGAGCAGAGCACAACAACTAACGTTAGCAAGAGTGCCAACACAAGTCATACATTGCAACGCTTCGGCTAAAATAATCACATTTTCCACCTGACAACCTAGTACATGTATTACAGAAATAGATGAACAAAGCTCTGACAGGCATTGACAGAGTTGGGACAAGGTACCAGACCTACCTATCTACTTCATGCACGCAACACACAAGTTACAAACACTTCAATGAAGGAGCATGGATGGATACGAGGCCACAGGAGCAGGGGTACCAGGTGCTATTACACTCTTAGTACTATACACTCGTAGTGAGACAATCAAAACCAAGCAACACTCAAATTGAAGTCCAAACAAATGTAGCAGCAGCAGCGGCAGCAGCAGCGGCGGCAATGGTAGCAGTAGCAGCATCAGTAGCAGCAACTGTGCACCTATAATAATTACAAACACCAACCTGACTAGCAGTAGGTAGCAAGTGTTCTTGTGCTACCTTCGACGAAAAGCAAGTGGACATTTCTGACAAGAGCAACAAGCAGAGCACAGGCAGAGTTGAAAGACATCACATACAGTACTACAAGTAGACATGCTACTCACAGTTCAAATGAACACAATGCATGTTACTCCATGTCCAAGCCATCTGCATGCTTGTTCGCTTTACTGTTTGACAGAAGGTGGAAGGAAATGCTATAACTACATGCTGCGCTCAAAGTACCGTCGCAGTTATCTAAAAAAATCCAATGTTCATGAGATCCAGGGGGGCTAAGCAAGACATTTTCAGTCCAGCTTGAGTTGAAAACGAGCCAGCACCTGCACATGTATACAAAGGCATGAGTACATGTACTTGAAAATTCCAAGTGCTGTGGGCCCAATAATGAGCCATTCCCATAGCGAGAATAAACCCATGAAAGTCCAGACATACTATCCAACATTTTTCGATAACACATGCATACGAGCAACAGCGCACACGACTGAAGTCTACCTTTGATGCGATTGTGCAGCTGAATCAATGTGGACGTTAGCTTGTTGAAGATGGCAGTACGATTACTAGCTGGCTGTGGGCAGGACGATAATGCTATGCAGAAGGGCAAACAAAGCAAAAACCGAAACAACAGCAATGGAGTTTAAAAGTCAGTGAGAAGTTCATAGAGCCATCGGAACGACTCTCCTTGACACCAGTAGCTGAAATTCACGAGAAAATATCGCTATAACCGAGGGTACATAACCCACAAGAGTGTGTGTGTGTGCGTGCATGTGCGTGTGTGTGTACAGATGTGTAAGGCCAAAACAAAAAATAGGCTTGTTTCCGGTCGGCAACCCCTCAAAAAGGAGACTCGGTCGGCCGGAATGAAACTTTTTTTGGATACTTTTTTTGGTTCCTCAATCGTTGTGGCATTGATGGACAAGAGCACCTACACATGTACATTGTACATTATTATCATGGCAAGGATCAATGTCAAAGTTGACTGACTCACTGTTCTTGTACAGCCGGTGGTGTATTCCTGTTTTCGTACATCCTGAGAAATCAAGCAAACAGTTCGAGTCCTTCCAGCTCCGTTATTCTAGCTCGTATCGACCCCGGAGGTTTTCGAGCTGACAGCTGAGAATCTCTGCTACCTTGTAGGTGTTTCAATTGTGGAATTCGGTTGAGATTTGACTGAGTTATGACTCGTTTAGTGCACTTGCACACATGGCATTGCCACCGTTTGCATACATTTGGGACAAAAAAAAGTTTCTGAATTTGGGAAAAAGTGGCCCGGTCGGGCGACCGGAAACAAGGTCATTATTTGTTTTGGCCTAATATGATGTGAAATTCCGCCATTGCAGAACCCATAGCCTCCAGTTATGCACTCTCGGGGGTTATAAACTTATATAGCCTTGAGATAAGACCAGTGTTCTGTACCGGTCTATGCACATGTACGCACGTCTCAAACCATTGCTCTGACTTACTCTGAGCTGCCAGAAGTTGCAGATACGTGTCCAAGTTGACAAACGCACCGATCACACGTCGCAGTCCCTCCTGCACATTATGGTTATGTCTCTCCAGAGTCGGTGGACAAGAGGAAAGCCCGCTCTCCTCTTCCAGACTAATGTGAGAAAAGCATAGCAACAAGTCACCAAGAAGGTAAAGAAAGAAAAAAAGGAAGAAAAGTTAGCCAGATTCGCGACCGCATCACATAACATGTTGAGGAACACATCAAGAAGGCAAGACAGTGCCAATTATCAACACTGGAACAAGTCAGCGGCGGACTGGGTGCATAAGAACTCACAATGTGACAGGCTACTGTACTCTGACGTTGGCCAGGAACGCTGGATAACAAATAGTCTTCTACTCAGTGTACATATATTGGTGAACTCACCTGACCAGCTGGTATGGAAGGTACTTTTGCAAGTTGATCACAAAGATGTGGTACGCAGACACAAACTGTTGCAGGCCAGTACATGTTTCCTGTATCAACAAGCACACACAAACAAAGCCAAGGCTGGAATCAGCTACATGCGCAATGCATTACATGTGTATCTCAAGAGGGATGTGTTCTATCCATGACACATGTCAAAATTGATACTATTATGAAAGAATAGAACACGATTCCAATGTCTCATACCAACGTCACAGGCACGTCCTTGCGCAGGCTGGACTTGAACGCAGCAAATGTCTGATCCAACGGCTTGATCCAGGCTGCATGGCTATGAAGATGCTGGCACAGCTGTACAGCACCACAATACATCAGCAGAACACGGCTATCGCACAAACACAGGACAAGAAGCACTCACAAAAATGAGCACAAAGGTTCACAATGAATGTTCGCTACAAATCATTGCAACAAGTACATGTAGCATCAATTGTTTGATACGTACGCGCTGATTGACAACACTGATCGACTCTCCCGTCGCTGCATCAATGGGATATGCAGTAGCTCTCTGCATTGGATAGGGTACAGGAGGAAGACAAATGTGAGCGAGGGCAGCCACAAATCCGGATTAATGATAATAACATCACCTTACGGGCTTGTGCATGTCTGCCACAGCTGCATAAAAAAATAAACTCTGCACCTGAACTAGTTGCAGTGTTCACACCGAACAGTACAGTGCTAAACTTGAATCATATCCTTGAAACGGCAGTGGATCGCAAAATCTCTTCAGTATTCACAGCAAAAATAAATGAGCAACTTTCGGGAACACAGATGCTAACAATCCAGACAATGCAGACAAACCCCGGTGCAGAAAAGAATGCCTGCTATACCTGTTCCAGATAGTTCATGAAGTTTGCTAAACCACTAGTGAGCTCGTGGACAAGTCGAGATGCTTGTCCAATCAGTTCCTGTGCCTTCATCTGGGTAAGAGTGCACGGAAACACGACACACACATACACACACACACACACACACACACACACACACACACACACACACACACACACACACACACACACACACACACACACTTGTACTTGTGACACACTCACACACACCGTACTGTTTCTCTCTCTCATCTGTATTATATGCGCATGCTCGTTGTCAATAAATCAGTCCTTGTCTTGTCCCGCAATGGACTCTTACGTGGCTTGCAGGCCGAAAGGCAATGATGACAAGAGCTAGGGGGAGACAACAAGCTGGGAGTTAGATGACCTGGTTAGGCTGACTGTAAGCATACACTACATGTACAGCTCTATGGCTGATCAACAAGTTCTTCATGAATGTTTCCAACTAGTCAAGCACTGCATGTTACATGTTCTGAATTCTTCCATAGAAATTCCAAACACAAACACAAACGTGCACGTACAGAGAGAGAGAGAGAGAGAGAGAGAGAGAGAGAGAGAGAGAGAGAGAGAGAGAGAGAGAGAGAGAGAGAGAGAGAGAGAGAGAGAGAGAGAGAGAGAGAGAGAGAGAGAGAGAGAGAGAGAGAGAGAGAGAGAGAGAGAGAGAAATCTCCTACCTGCTGCTTTCGGTCGTATGTTGGTACATTGAACATGTTCCAGTCCGCATTTACTGGAAAACAATGGAAAAAAGCAACACCACAAAAGTATTAAAAGAAGTACAAAGAAAGGTTTGACAAACTGCAGGAAACGTGCTCTCAATGCGCTGAGTATAGAAAAGAAAAATATAATATTATTGGTTCACACAACCATACAAATGATATCCGGAGTACAGTAGATACTTATGTTAACTATAGTGGTGAACAGAATCTGACCACATACAAAAGCAAGTATACAGTTACCATGCCATGTCATGTACATTTATTTTATACATGCAGTAATACAATGATCACACAGCAATGAAGCAACCAAGTCCTTTTCCGCCGTTACTCAGAGTTTCGGGTGAAACACTCATCAGACAGCATGATAACATGCAGTAGATAGACAAATTCAAATGAGCAGCGAGAACTCAGAACTTCCTTACGTGTATCATTGAATGGTAACTTCTCAGAGACGAGGCGTGCCATCGTGCCTGGTGAATCAAGGAACGAGAGCACATGCATACACACCCACCACACAAAAAAACACACCCACGCACCCACAATACTAATGTCAGATTGAGATTTACAGCTAAAGGTCTGGTGCCAAAGTCTCGTAGCAAGTTCTTTCCGATGATCAGGTTTAGCGAGAGGCATAATTATACCAGATGCTTTTGATCTCCTGAAGGAGTACCCCTATAACCAATCCCGGCCTGAAGTTTCGGGAGTGAATCTAACCTCAACTACACCTCAGCACCATGCACCAGTGTATAGCTAGGTGTCTATTTCCTACCCACACTGTATTCGCACTGGTTGAATTTGCATTGTACATGCTACAATGCAGGGGAATTCTGTATACATGTAGCTCCCAGGTCACATACTTGATTCACTGGTGAGTTGACCCTTTGTAACAGATAGTTGACGTTCACTGGAGGAGAAGAAGAGGGGAAATACAGACAAATACAGAATGCAATGGAGTCAAACAAAACAAAACTGGAGGGGAGCCAGAAAGCACACTCTGATGGTCTACATGCTTCAATACCCCGTACAATGCACACCTGCACGCGCATGCACACAAAATGAATACCCCCCCCCCCCCCCACACACACACACACTTGCACGCACACCATGTCACACACACAACAGTGGTGCATCAGGTACAGGCAATATCGTGCACCTCGCAGCCACACTGTGACACACCTTATGTTAGCACGATCCTTCATCACTGCTAGTTCTTCCTCCAACTTCTGCAAGCGAATCTGGAAAGAGCGAACAGCAAACTATAAACTTGAAAAAAAACACAACAAGGCACTGGCAGGTCATACGGTCCAAATTAACAAACCTCCTTCATAGCCTTGTCCTCCTGAAGTTGCACAAGCTCCTCATTGTGCTGCTGCTGAACGCTGTCCAGTGTCTCCTGGTGGCAGGAATTCTGCCTACATCAAGCAGCAGCAGCACAGAGTCATGACGTAAGAGTATGTCCTTAGGAGAGATGTAGAACGGTGTGTGAAACACATGCAATGTACATGTATATTATGACCAACAGCTGACGAGAGCCGTGTCACAACCTACCTAGACACAAGAGCAGACCAGAGGATAGAGGAGTTTGCTTCAGAAATTATTATATCGGCAAATAGCTTAGCCAGAAGCCAGTCACCCCTCATGAACACACAAACGCACGCACACACAGGGTCCTTACTTCTCAAGGAGAGAGAGCTGCGACTGTAAACTCTCAACCTCTTGACGACTCTCCTGCTTCACTTCAAATACCTACAAGTAAGGACAAAAATATCAGAAAATAGAAAGATTCTTCATGGCCGACATGGCCATGGAATACAACTAAGTTGGTAGGTGAGAACTTGACGGCTACATTGCTGCTGTATTACCACCACAACCAATGCACTTTATATAATATAACACACACACACGCACGTGCACACACACACACACACACATATATACACACACACGCACGCGCGCACACACACACACATGCACATAAGTACCTGCATGTGTAGCTGTTCATTCTCGGTGATCTTTTTCTGCAGTTCCTCTGCATGCACTTCAGCAGCCACGCCAGTAGCAGCTGCTGATCCTGCAGCTGGGCCTCCCTACATGAAAAAAAAAACACCGGCAGGGATACGAGAAAAAATAGTGATAATGTACATGGACACATTGCCTTTGATAAAAACGTGGGAGCAAACGCTCCATGCATACAATCATGTAGATCAGCACCAGACCCAAACATTGCATCAAGGTTGAAATTGCTACTTCAAGTATAGTCTTACTTGCACTCAGTTCTAGTCTGACTTGCACCAAGGTTACAGGCTGGCCAGCGAACAGCTTTTTCTGCATGGTAGCCGTTACGTGATTGCACGCGATTTCTGTCCGGTGCTACATAGTACATACCTTTGCTTTCTTGCCCTTCTTACTGCCTTCCTTGCTATCCAGGTCCTCTTGCAGCACAACCAGTCGCCGTGATATCTATACAAACAAAACAAAAAGAAGTGCAATGGTGATATATGCACATGCAGAGGGTTATAACGGTAGCGCACGTACTGTATAGATGTCAGCCAGACAGGTCAGCAACTTGTAGTAGTATGTGGTACGAACTTCACTGAAAAATATTAAACATGGCATGTTTAAACGGTGCAGGAGGTTGCTATCCATGCACACCACACACACAGACACACGCAAAACGTTTGTTTGTGCGTGCATGCACGCACACACGTGCACCCCCCCCCCCCCCACACACACACACTCACACATACCCACTCACACATGTGCACACACACACACACACACACACACACATATACATGTACACACACATATACATGTACACACACATACACCGCACACATATACACACACACACACGCACGCGCGCGCGGGCACGCACGTACACCTGTACTTGCTCAGTGCCAAAGCTGGTCATGTGACGTCTCCTCGGGAGAAGGGAGAGAGACTCAAAACAAATCTTGGAAAGATGACTCGGTTGGCTATTGAACCGCCCAACACACGCATACATACATATTCATACCTGCTGGTTGCGGAAAGTCAAGCTGTCGATTTCTTGCATACATTTCCGAAGAGACTGGTCTTTGTCTTTCACAGATTCCTGCCATATACACGAGAGGTTTATGATAAATCCAAACCACTGCATCATATACTACAGCTGTAGCAGTTATCTTAAATGCATGCAGGACAAACACATGGGAATTGCAACAGGTAGATGTGTGTCTTCAAAACGTGGATTTGTTTGTACAGTAGAATCAGGATAACCATTCACAGACAGCACGATCGTAATAATTGTGCCCACTGCGTCAAACGCCAGGCCACCCATGTACATGTAGCTTAGGGATATGTATGTGGTTGTAGCTGGTACGGATACGAGAGGACTTCTACCTCAAACGCGACTTTCTGAACAATTAGCATGCTCGAAATTCTAATTTCAACAGCAAATTGTCAAACATACATGGAATGTATTTAAAGCTGGTTTGAGGAAAAGACACAGAAGATACATGGAATGGATGTGAATAACGCTGGACGACGACATCCTACTACATACCTCAAGTCCTTTATTCTTGGACTGCTCATCGATGACAGCCTTCTTCAGAACCGACACTTGAGCTTTCAGCTGAAGTGGTAGATCATCACCAGCCCACCCAAATTAGTTCAAAAAATCAGTTCAAATTTCAGACAAAGTCATCAGCAGTACACAAGCGTACCTTCGCGTATTCCTGAGCGAGCTTTTGGTACTTGGCTGTGAGATCTGCAGAACTCATGATGACTTTTGGTTATTCAAGCCAGTTGGCCTCAAGGAGAAGCAAAACATCACGAATCAAGTACTAGTAAGTAACTAATTGGCCGACACATGGTGACCAACAAGATCTTCTTCAATAACTGTGAAAACGACATGCATGCCAAAAATATAATTGAAAAAATACGTCACGTTTGTTTCGTACGGTACGATCGAGGACTATGTAGTGTCATGTGCATGTGCTGCATCAAAGGGATAGGGTGAGAATAATATTCTCACCCGCGCTCTGCGAAAACCGACCTTAGGTGCTTCGTAATTTTTTCGAGAAAAAGAACAAAACGTCACGATCTGTCGATTTTTGAAGATTACAAGGTGAGAGTCATGGCGGAACGAAGCAGAAGACGGTCGCTAGCTCAAATTGCTGTGGGCTTCTCCCCAGAGGTTTTAGCCGAACTCCTTCACGATGAATAGTCATTTTTTTGGCCTGGTCCAATCGCAGTTCTGATGACAGCAGTGCCGAGGAGAGTCGGATGTGGAATCGCAGGACGTAACGCTGATCGAGCTGGACGGTGATGCGGAGGAGAATTTCGATCACGCGTCGGTTCTGCCACCAGCCCAGCCCCTCAATGCCGGCATGGCAATATACAGAGTGCAGACCAAGAAAAATCGGTTCAAGTACTGTCTACAATCCAGGAGGCGCGTGACAAATTTGACAAGCGCTGTAGGTGTTCCGCACTGGTGCTGTTTCAAGAGTGTGACACTTGAAACCTTGCTTGCACTTACAGCACACACAGCGCAAGTACAGTCCTGATCAAGACAGATCGCTGCTCGTGTGTAGGCGGAAAGCTAGACGTGCTCAGGAGACGACACGTGGTGAGGCTACCCAGCGCGTCCAGCATGCTGGGAGATGTGATAGATGGGGCTCACCAATAGTCAATACCATGAATACTACTCTGAACTACTGAAGTACAGTCAGTGGCTGGTGTGGAAGTCATGTACATGCATGTCAGGAAGTCTTTGTGTGTGCCTCCAGGATCAAGCCCTGGGTGCTGAAATCTACAGGCTGCTGTCAGTGCAAGTGAAATCAGCCCAACACAGAACTCTGGAATGCACTGCCTGTGGAAGATGTTGTGGAGCTGAAGCATTTTATAGAGCATTATGCTATGCTAGTATTATGCTATAGTTCATGGCCTCCCTTAACCTGCGGCTCCACATGGACACAACAAGCCACTACCAACCTACATGTATTTGCCCAGTATCACTACGAAGAAGCTTGTATATGACCCTGCATCAAACTAAGTTACTTCAAGTTCAAAGTGCATGCATAGCTAGCATGCAGCAAGAGTCCATAAAAAAATTAATAGTTTATATTAATTTATGGACTCTTCGAATAGCATGCTAGCAGTGCATACATGCATGCATTGCCTGGCCATGCATGGCACAGCCAGTAGATATCTACATGTGCCAGGCTACAATACAAAAATACTTTAAGTCTTTACTGCACATGCATGCAGGGAGTGGAGTCGTTGAAATATTACATGTATATCTACCCCTGAGGCTGATGCCTACCACCAAGACTCGGGGCAAGAGTACATAACCCCCCCCCCCCCCCTGGGGGGGTTACTGTATACATGTACATGACTTGTACATGCTACCACCACCAAGAGTACAAAGTCATAATCATTATGACCTTTTTGTATTCTTGCTACCGGTATACCACCTACTTGTGTAGAGGATAACCGGAGTCAGAGGGTTTTACCGGCTGAATATACATAATTTATACATGTAGATCCCGGCTGCGATCCTGAGCAGGAGGGTCTCAAACTAACGACTCCAAGACTCAATTTATCATCATAAGACAAAAAAACAAAATGTGTTCCTCCTAACATCTGCCTTCGGCTCGGCGATGTCCTCATATCCCCAACACCAACGGTGAAGTATCTTGGCCTCACCATTGACGAACATCTATCCTTCTCCTCATATGTCACTGAAGTTGAGAAAAAGGTCGGAACAAAACTTGCCATGTTCCGCAAGATCAGGGACAATCTGACATCAGCTGCGAGAAAGACCTTTTACTGCTCATTTATTCAAGCACACCTTGAGTATGGTTCTAATGCGTTTGTACACTGCCTTCACACCACACAACATGATAGACTAACTCGTATTGCTAACCGCGCTGTTAGGATTGTTTTTGGTTTCCCTTGGCACTATGATGTTTCAGTCTTACACACCAGATATGGCCTTGCTCCTATTGCACTGCGCTATCAGCTTAAACTGTATATTCTCAGTTGTCTTTCGGGCCCTACGTGGCATGTGTAGCACTCTCCTCTCTGATTGCTTCTGCCTTCGTTCTGCCACAACACACACAGCTGCCCGTACACGTTCCCAGTCCATAGATTCACTTCCTCTGCCTAAAGCACGCAATTGTCACTTATTCGCTTTGAGCTTTCTGGCTTCTGACCGCTGGAATTCTCTTCCAGCTGACATTCGCTCTTGCTCCTCGCTTTCACTATTCCGCAAGTCCGGTAGAAGAAGTACGACTTGTACAGTATGTATTATTATAACCCTCTTCCTCTCACTATCTCCTCCTCCCCCTCCTCTACATCTCCTCCTCCTTCTTCTCTCTCATCTCGATCTTTCATCTCTTTTTCTCTCTCATCTCTTTCTTTCTCCTTCTCGCTTTTTCTTTCTTTTATCTGTCTGTCTGTCCGTCCATCTGTCCGCCTGTCTGTCTGTCTGTCTGTCTGTCTGTCTCTCTGCCTGTCTCTGTCTGTCTGTCTGTCTATCTGCCTGTCTCTCTCTCTCTTTCTGCCTGTCTCTCTCTCTCTCTCTCTCACACACACACACACACACACACACACACACACACACACACACACACACACACACACACACACACACACACACACACTCTCTCTCTCTCTGTTATTTTTGTGCAAAAAACGTCTCTGGTGTTCTGTTGATTGCTTTCTTGCCTAGACTTCTGCCACGCCTTCGTTCTCGTACTCCCCACTCTGTAGTCTGTACTAGGGTTGTGCAAACCCTCCTTCTACAGTAGTCTGTCTCATTTTGCCCCGAGATGTTTTTGATGCATAGTGATATGACGCTCATCATTCGCTCCCTGGCCACTGGACAGTTCTGTCAGTAGATTTTAGCGAATTCAAATAAAGAAAACAACAAAAATAACAGCAACAACTACTTACATCAAGAGTACATAAACCTATTCTTGCTTACATCACTAGCACATTGCACATATATTGACCTGTCTCACGGTACATTTGATCAGGAGTTAGACAGTCATTCACATTGGGATCTTCAACGCCCGTGGCAAGGTTATTCTATGACACGTCCTGGACTCTTGCGTGGACGATAAGGCTACTGTGGAATTCAAGAAAGCTATGCTAGAAATTTCCTGTATGCATGTACTCAATTTCATCTCCATGACTTCTTTCCAAATGGCTATCTCAAGAGCTCGAGGTCACAACCGTCTGTAACTGTCGCCCTCAGGCCAAACTACATTATGTACATAGTCACTGTCTCGTTGTACACTTTGCAGTGCTGCTAATTAATCGCAGTGGCGCCGTGCTAAAACAGGGTTCGGTGGAAACAATCTGTGTGTCTCCACTCAGATTTTCTGGCTTCTTACGCAATCATCAGAAGACTACATCCAACAGATCACACTATAAATTATATCCTACAAAGAAGTACGCTCTGCCCTTGTTAGGGTATTGAGCACTATTTGCAGCAAAGACCTCAGACACTTTATCCTACAAAGAAAGAAATGACGGGCACCCTTGGCACTTTGGTGGGAAAGTGATACAGAGCGTTCGGTCAGCGCAATGCAGTGGAAGTCACAAAATGTAACATTGTTGCGGAGAAAGGCGTGCTGGGCAGTGATATACAGTGTAGCATCATGTCTCACACAGCCCCAGAGGTGGTATGTAAGGTGTATGGTACCTACATTGTACCTTTGAATAAGTAGGCATGCACCTGAGGAGGATCAATGCCGGCTTGTGATAATATCAAGAGTACATAACCCCCAGTTATGTACTCTTGATAATATCAAGAGTACAGAACAAGGTTATGTACTCTTGATATAATATTGATGCCCATCAAGTCGTATTCAGCGGCTATGCTTGGTGTGTATGTACGCTAAGACGTCACGGTGGAATCTACATGCAAGTATTTGTATTGATTTATTTGAATTCGGTATCTCAACAGGATAATGTACAACTTGGGAAGATCCGAATGACATAGATACATTATATCACCTAGACTCGTGGTCCTTCGTCACAGTTCGTGGCGGCATTTGGACGTACGCGAGCTCCGAATGTGTATTGAAGGATCTTGAATCATGCCGCTAGTCATGCATCAATTTGCGCTGAGAAATAGCAGGGACGGGGTACGGATGGTTTGCCTAAGATAAGCAGGGCGTTGAACGGCTACACAACAGCAAAGATGGGAATCATTCTCCTGCTACATGTATGTGCACCAAGCGCCCAGCAAAGCAGACTGGCACCAATACTAGTAGACGCTACGTCATTGGGCTACTTGTACTTCAAGCACATTCCAACAAGCAGTACATTGAAGCACCCATAGGCCATACTCGGAGTGAAGCTTCAAGAGCGTATTGCGAACCAGTATGTGCGAACCAGTATGTCATGTAGATACACATAGCAATACGATGATTACGTGACTAAGATTTTCCGCTGCATACCATCTCACATTACAATGTGTTTTCGCGGAGGCGAGTCGTGCAAACCTTCCGCGTCGTCACTTCCGTTTCGGCGGAAATTGAACCAACTATTAAGTATTATTCCTTGGAAAAGGGTAGCGTAAGCGAGTCATGCCCGAAGCATTCGTCTGTCTGTCGAAAAGAGCTGAGGTCAGGAACATGAGATGGCTGCGTCTGAAGATCGTGAGTGCGCCATTAGCTACGCGCTGAAAGTGTAAGCCCAAGGGTCGACTCATACCTCCGCCCGTCCGCGCCGCTGCTCCCTTCGGCCTAGCGAGTGTACCGCAGTGATCTCCCTCGGCCTCGGTCACAATCTATGACCGTTTCGTGAATGGCAGTTTTTTTGCGATAGGGGAACAGAGTTCGGTGCAATACGTATTCCTATTTGTGGTTACGCGCTAGGCGCGAATCGG